TTGGCTCCTTCCTGCTATGGTCCCTCATGCCTCCTGCAACCTTTGCTCTGGAAGGTTGTGGGAATGTCCATAAAAATGACTATCAACAAAAAGTGCTTAGTCTACCCACCCACTAAAAGACCCATGCAACAGCTGTTCTCAGTTTTAACATAGGCAGCAATTGGAGCTGGAAAATAAAACAGGGGTGGGCAGTTTTGACTCTCCAACAAGCTCCAACTCCAACCAGCCCCAGCTGGGATGATGGGAGGTATACCCCAAAAACATCTGAAGGGCCACAGGACCCCAATCCATGGTGTAAAATGAAGTACAAAAGGAATAATTCTGGACGCGGCAGCAGAAAAATAGAGAAGTTTCAAGTAGTACTACAGTGGTACCTTGAGTTAAGTACTTAATTCGTTCCAGAGGTCCGTTCTTAACCTGAAACTGTTCTTAACCTGAAGCACCACTTTAGCTAATGGGGCCTCCTGCTGCCGCTGCGCTGCCAGAGCACGATTTCTGTTCTCATCCTGAAGCAAAGTTCTTAACCTGAGGTACTATTTCTGGGTTAGCGGAGTCTGTAACCTGAAGCGTATGTAACCCGAAGTACCATTGTATAGCCATGGGATGGCCATGGCTATCCTTTGGAGAGAGTAGGAGTATAGGTTTTGGGACAACAGTAATTACTGAAGGCAGGCGGTCAAGGAGGGGGCGTCCCTTGAAATATGTCACATGAGAAAGTAAGCAAAGGTCAGAGACAGTATTAAACACAGCATGGGTAGCCCAGCAGGTGTCAAGTGAAGTTAAGGCTAAGAGATTAAGAGACTCTCAAGTGAAATCCACTTAAAGATCTTATTCAGCATTTAGCAGAGAGATAATGAGCTTTAAACCCTTGAATAGCTTACTAGGAAAGCAACAAGTGAAAAGGATCTAGGATTCTGAAGCTGAAGCAGAGGCTGAAAAACCTAATGAGGGGCCAAACTGTACATGTTATACGAACTATGGATCTGTGCCTTTGAGTGTGTTCCTCTCCCACCCCATGAATTGCCAGCGAGTCCTTGACCATCTAAGATTGCAACTCAAGTGTACTGGCAGGTGACTTTAATCCTACAGCCCAACTGTGGTCCTGCTTTAAACTGGGATCCCACCCACCTGCAATTTACAATTGATAAAAACCATCCCATTCCCTTCAGCTGAGCTCTTCTCCTGCATGCAAATTGCAGGGATGATGCCCCTAATCTGAGCTGGGGGAAAAATTTCCCTAACCCCTAGGGCTAAGCTTCTGATCTAGAATGACCCACCTTCCACAACTGCAATTTATGTGCCCCTTCCCCTCACTTAAAAGCACAGATATGTAGCTAATGTGTCCTCAGATTTGCAGAAAGAGTTCCTGACTAAGGGTGGGTGGGGTGCATCCCTAGTCAATTCAGAAGGTCTGGCAATCCTACCTTACAGGCCCTTCACACACATACTAAAGCCCTATGGAGAACTGGAGGGGGGCAAAAACCGAGATAACAACAAGAAAGCTTCACTGTAGAGATTTAAACTCAGAATCAGAATAAATCAATCCAGTTAGCAGCTGTCCATGTTGAAGAAAACACAATCCTTTAGCTACACTTGGGGAATCAACAAAAATAATCTTATAAAACAGGAAAGAGCGAAATATTTCCCCATTTCTAATCCTGACAGAAAAGTTTAGAGGTATTCCTTTGGCACAGTACTGTTACCTCATCTTTCTGGGCTACTTTGCTTCCCTTCATTCACACCCCCATGATAAAAAGGTATGCTGCCTGGCGGCTGTTGCCCCTCTCACCAGATCATTTTAGCATTCATGCAGCTTATTTTTTGGTATGTCTAATTCTCATGATTCATCCTCCCCTCCCCCCAAAATGCTGCACACAACTCTTTTCGAAAGCTGAGCTCCTCAAAATGTTGTTTCTTACTTTAAATATATCCAAAGTGAAGCAAGACTCGCACAAGAGTATTAAAAGCTCTGCCTCATATGATGACCAGTACAGCTTATGTGAGTTTTAGAAGTCTACATAAACACATAGGCAAAACAAATAGTTTTCAGAAAGTTAGGTATAAGAAGAGAAGGTGCTGAAGAAAAAGCAGAAAGGGTGCAACGTTTTGTAATGATATTCTTAGCACTTTGCTAGCCCCGCTCTTTGTTGGTGTAAGTCAGGGGTAGGAAACTTCTGGCCAACCCCATCGCAAGGCCTTTTTGGCTCATCCGAAAGAGGTTTACAGGCACTGCTGTTTGGTGCCACCTGCAAAACTCTGTGCAAAGCATTTTAAAAGACCCAACTATCTTCTGATAAGCCTTTTTATCTAGCAAATGTATTGTTTGTGGGAAGCAGCAAACTGACAGTTAACCACCATGAAGGAATCAGGGTAAATCTACACACCAAAGGAATGACAAACCTGGCAAAGAAGGAACTAAATCAATATTTTTGGTGCATGAAAGAATGACTCCTTATTTTGCTAAAAATAAAAATGAGACTACACAACTGAACTTATACTTACTAATAATCAATATAAAACAACCACACTTGTACATTACTGTTTTTCTTAGCACAGAAAGGAAAGTTCAAACATTATAGATCCTTTTGCTTTTCATAGCATGGGATCATGTTGATCTCCTCACAAATCACTGTCAGCTGCCAGGCTTGAAAAGATGTACCCACAGCTACCAAATTATGCAGGAAATATACCATGATACCGTGGGCCCAGTTTGGTATTTAAGCAAGGTAGGAGAAGAGGATGCAGGGGCGGTATTTAATCTACCACACCTACAATGTGCAGTGCTATTCATATAACAAAAATTCACACCACCATACAGAACGGTATGACAACATTTGCTAACATCTGTACCCCCATCACCCCCGCTGCACACTGCAGCGCTATCAGAAAGGGGGAAACCTCATACTGGATGCAAGGACGGGGTGAGAAAAGAAAATCACTTGTATTTTAGCCACTGATTTATCAGTCAGATGGCTCCGAGACTGTAGTGGCAAGAAGTCTTCTGCGATCGCCTGTGCACATTCTGTGTATCCTGCTGAATGTAGTTATTTCTTAGACATAGGCAGATGTAAAATAATTAGAAAATGAAGCACTTCAGCACATACCTTGTTTCACCAAACTTCGTCATGGAACAATAAGCCACAGAGACTGAATTTACATAAAATTATCTCACTCCATTTTATTTAAGATTCTTTTCTCCAGTTAGTAAAAGAAAGATGTGTCTCTTTTTATACATATGTACAAGTTCAGTTATAAAAATAGACAGCACATTCAAAGAGGAAAAAAAGGCTTGGCATTTTCTGATTCCCTCTAAACACTGTATATACACATGTGAATCTGAGCGGGGTGGGGTAAAATCTTCATGATTTAACTTAAATATCCCCTCCCCACCCAATTATTCCCTCCAAATCTGTTTTTTTTTTTAAATAAAAAAAAAACAATTTAACTGAACTTATTTCTGCTATTTTCAGGTGTGCAAATTAAAGGCAGAGTCAACAGGAAGCACTTGCTCTACACTGTGGGACACCAGGCAAGGTGCATGAGACTGAAAAATCCTTTGCTGCCTTAGCTAAGATCTTCACCTCGTAACCTGGTTCTCCCTTGAAAGATGAAAATGCCCAGAAAGAAAATCCATTTAATGTAAATGTGAAGGCAAGAGAACTGCCTCCCTCCTTCATCTCAGTGCAATGCAGACAGAATATATATATTTATATATATATATATATCATGCCAAAAGCAGATGGTTCTTGTGCATTCAGAATAGAATACCACAACAAAGAGTTGCACTTAATGGCGTTGCTGCTCTCTAACAACTTTCACTAGCATCACAGAGCTTTGCTACAGTGCTGGATTCATCACAGTGGAGCAATCCAAACCTGCTGGGTGTGGACACTGCTGACAAATGAGTCTTGCTAAAGAAAAGGAACACAGTGAATGGATGGCTTGGAATGAAAGACATCGTTTTAGCTGGGGACTGTATGGATCAGAGAAATGGAAGCATTCCCCAATGCGCATCCTTTGCAGTATGGCCAACAGTGGTACCTAAAACATGTTTTTAAAAAACTCTTCTATGGCACAATGAGATGAAAACCAGGGACAATTCCCTACTACTCCAATTTCTTCTTGTAATTGCACACAAAATGGCTTTGTAATCTAAAGCATTGAAGAGTCCCACATAAGCCAAATCCAAGAAATTGTACTGAAAACCCAAATGCTATGAAAGTAAATGTATCCGAGCCTGGGTTTTGCAATGCTAATTGGCAATTTGAAACTTCCTTCTGCTCTGTGAGGCAGAGGCAGGAACATCATTCTCAAAAGCTCTAATCTGCCCTATTGTCGTTTAGCCAACCAAGCAGTACTCTAGTAGTTCAGAAGCATGATACTGACAAAAGCCCCTTTCTAGGACGCAGTGCAAAACTCCTCTCTCCTTTCCCCTAGAGTCTATTCTTCATTGCATCCACCAGTCATACGCATTAGAACCACCAAGATGTTTGTCCACAGCTCCCTTTAAAAAAGGCGCACCGGCCAGAAGGCTCCTCTGAATCTGCGGGGCACCCCCCCTCCCAAGTTTAGTTGCTGATCTCCTTCTTATAAGAATGGAGTTGAATTCCGTATGAAACCTGAAAGACGAGGGGGGCAAAGGGCGCTGGTGTGAGTACAAATGAAGGGGGAGGAGATCTCGCAGCCAGTCTCATGTGGAAGCCGGATCCTTTCCCTGCATGATTTGTAGGATGCCAGAAAGAAGCCTAATGGAAAAGTTAAGCTCAAGCATCCCAAGTCTCTGTCCCTCCTCATCCCAAATCTGCAAAGACAGCAAATGCGGGCTACACACGAAAGTGCACACAGAATACCTCTTGCCCCAGTAGTGCAGTTGTCTTCTCCTCAAGCCCACATGTGGGATGGAAACAAGGCATCATCTGTAAACCCTTTTGCTGGTAGGCGTGGGTGGGCTGCTTAGGAAGCCGCTATGGAGACACACAGGTTCCAGGGTTTCAGAATTACTATCGCCCACCTGAAGTGTGGGCTCCTTTGTATTGTTTTCGGATTGAGGTTTCTGGTGCCAAGGAACCTGTCAGGTTTAAGGGTTTGGAGGTTCCACAAACGCTGTTTCCTTTACTCAAGGGGGAAGTGGCGCTTGACTGTCCAAAGTCTGAAAGTCCAGCAGGTCGGATGAGAGGAGTCTGAAGAGGGCTGCCTGAAGACATACCTAGCGACAAAAAGCAAATTTTTTCCTCATTGGGCCACACCCAGACTATAGCTTTTTAACTGCATACAAAATTAAAACTGCAGGATTAAGATTAACCAAGAGCTTTACTGACAACTTTAGCCAAGAATTTTTTTTTTAGTATCTTGCCCTTTTACCCCAAGGATACCCTAGGCAGTGAGTATCAAAATCTGAGTCCATTCATTACAGTGGATAGAAAGCTGTCAAAGAAAAGGAAAACATTCTATTTTTTGTACGAGTATTTAGTACCGAGGTTTAATCTGACCAATCATAATTGGATTTTGTGATAAAGAGACTTATTAGGCTAATTAGTCCCCAGAAAGCGAGTGAACCTTTTAATTACGTATAAACATACTGATAGGAGCAAAAATGTGGACTTGAGCCGACAACAGTTCTACCTAACTGCTTATCTTTCAGGGACTAGAAATGAACTTTTATACCATCATATGCGCTGGAACTTCAACATGCCTGGATTTCAAGTGGAGACTTAGATATCCTACAAGGATATCTTCAGCTGTCCTTAAGGACGGCTGAAGGCCTGGTGTCAAAGCATAAAGGGTGTTCAACGCCCCACACAGCCTCCTACCTTTAGACACGTTGTACCCATACGCTGCATATGCGGCTGCTGAGGCGGCGGCTGCTCCTGCTTTGGCACCTGCCATGGCAGCTGCACTTCCGGCTGTGGATTTCCGGCTCCGGCCTTTCCCTGTGCTTTTTGACCCGCCATTTGCACCTTTGGGACGGCCTCGGCTTCTACCTGAATGACCTCGTCCTGTGATGGGCATATCCTGTATTGAAATTCCTTAACAAAACCAATGAAGAAAGAACATTTAGTGATGTGTAACAAATAGTAACTGTATAATTAAATATAATTTAGTAAAGGAGACCAAAATGTTTTGCCTTCATAAGCCCCCATCCCCTTTCAAGGAAGTTACCTCATTCTTCAAGGCAGATAATATTCTGTCACAAACAGCAGAGATATTTAGAAAAGTGACTTTGGGCAACAGTCGCCTGCTACCTGAGCCTTGTACGACCGAGTAAGACTATCTTCACTATGACAATCCAGTGCTTGTCCAAAAACTAAACTTGTTTGATATATTTAAAAAGACATGCTTGGGGATTAAAATGTATGTCCTTGCTGAATCCATTGTAACTGCTAATCTTGTACTGATAAATATATTGTAAAATATTTTACATCAACGTTTTATGATCTACCCAAGTCTACTTGAAGCAATTCAGATTTGTGCCTTAGGAAATGAATTTGTATACAGTGGTACCTCTGGATGCGAACGGGATCTGTTCCGGTGCCCCGTTCGCATCCTGAGTAGAACGTAGCACACGAGTGCGTGTGTCGCTGCTTCCACGCATACGCATGACGTCATTTTGAGCGTCTGTGTGAGCGGCGAAACCCGGAAGTAAGGCGCTCCGTTACTTCTGGGTCGCCGCGGAGTGCAACCCAAAAATGCTTAACCTGAAGCTACTTCAACCCGAGGTATGACTGTATAAGCATTTAGCTTGCTCTGCTTGATACTTCATCGTTTTAAAAAACATAGCTTAATCTTCCATCAAAGGGAACTAGTTCAATAAAATCATCCACTTACTCAAGTCTATACTATTCTAGCGACTTTTGAAAGCCTTTCTTCGGAAGCAACAACAATGACCTTCCAAATCAATTAAACAAGAACTGCAATTCTTTTTAATTTGGGGTGCCTCATAAGTTTGGTGACAGAGCTCAGAGATACAATGTTTTAGAAATATTATCTTAGAGTTTATACAAGGTCAAAGCTGAACTGCCCTAAATGGCTTCGGCCCAGTATACCTGAAGGAGCGTCCCCACCCCCATTGTTCTGCCCAGATACTGAGGTCCAGCTCTGAGGGCCTTTTGGCAGTTCCCTCACTGTGAGAAGCAAAGCTACAGGGAACCAGGCAGAGAGCCTTCTCGGTGGTGGTGGCGCCCGCCCTGTGGAACGCCCTCCCATCAGATGTCAAGGAAATAAACAACTACCTGACTTTTAGAAAATATCTGAAGACAGCCCTGTTTAGGGAAGTTTTTAATGTTTGATGTATTTATCATCGTTTTTAATATTATGTTGGGAGCTGCCCAGAGTGGCTGGGGAAACCTAGACAGATGGGTGGGGTATAAATAATAAATTATATTATAACTGAGGGATGGGGAGTGGGAAAGGCAATGGTACGCAATGTTCTAACCCAATGGTTCCCAATTAGATATGTATTGTGGACCCCCTACTTTTGTAAATTTTGATATCTCTATGGTAGTTTTTGCCATGGACACCCTGGATGGGTTACACGGACATCCTGGGGTTCACAGACGACCAATTGGGAACCACTGTTCTAAACTGTAAAGCTGATGGCCTGATCCCATAAACCAGTAACATTAGTCAGCTTTGTGGAACTACAGCAACTCTACCCACTACCTGGAACTTGCACTGCTGATAGCTACCGTATTTACTCGAGCCTAATGCACCATCGAATCTAATGCGCACCTCAATTTTCAGAACCTTGAAAGCAAAAAGTATTTGCTGGCAAATGTAAATGTGCCATTGAATCTAATGAGGACCTTAATTTTCACAACATTATTTGGCCAAAAAAAGGTGAGCATTAGATTCGAGTAAATACGGTAATTAATAGAGCCCCCTTTTCAAACCGGTAATTTCAGGAAACAGTTGTAACTATTCAGACTTGGACAGAATGGAATTAAGAGAACTGCAATTTGTCTGCATTCTGCAATGGCAACTCAGCCAAACGAGTCAGGGAGAAGGATCGAGACCCCCATTTCCCTTCTGGTCACTTTTCTTTTCAATGCCTCCTGTGAGAGACAATGCTGCAGGCAAGAACTAAAAGGGAAGGCAGAGCAGTTGAAGGTGTTTCAAAATTTATTTTTCGACTACATATACCTCTAAGCAAGAAACCTCTCAAATACAGTAATGAAAAGAAGCTTGGCACTTCTGATATGGGTATAGGTCAGTATTATCCTCCTCCTAAACTGTAAGGCAAATGGGGCGCTGAAAGAGACAGGAGTTGCCTAAACCCATCCAGTTAAATTTACAGCCGAGTTGAGATTTGAAATAAGAGCCAACTTCATACTTTTGTCCTTATTCCAACTTATGAAGCTTATTTAGAATCAAAAGAATTAAGCGGTGAATGATCAAGCACATTAGATTTCACCTGAGCTAACAAATCTGAAGGAGACATTATTTGCCAGATTAACTCCAGTCCTGCCCGTAAGCAAATCCAGTGCTCAGAAGCATGGCCATATACAGAGTTCACATTATGCTCCTTGTGCGCCATGTTTAAAGACAAATACTAACCATTCATGTTGTCAGACACTGAGCCCGTGATGGAAGCAGGAGAGTTAGTAGCTCTTGACTGAGGCGCTGAAGATGCTGGATCATCCACAATCACCAGCATGTCATTGCTGCTATCGTCAGGTGGGATGGATTCCATGTGCAACTCACTGTTGATGGAAATCTAGATCATATAAAAATAAAAGTCTGTAAGTTTACATTAAGCTATGCTTTTGGATTAAGCCTGCATGCTGTAATCAGTGCCCTATAGAAATAATGCAAGACTATAAAAACTGCTAGAAGCCTTGGAGAATGAAAGGGTCCTACTTTTCTTCTACAAAATGTGTTGCTGCCTCCCTCACCTATCACAAATGGGACCCATCAATGAGAAGAACCTCTTTCCATCTGCCATTCACCTATTCTTATTGAGTGTGGGCACTCTGAAGCAGCCCTATGATGCGGATCTTAAATTTTGAGTTGGCTCAAACGGGACAACTTTTAGGGACCATGGTCCCAAGTTATTTCAAGTTAAAGCCAGAACTTTGAACTGAGCCTTGAAATGTACGAGAAGTCAGTGCAAGATACTTTAAAATAGATATCAGATATATGGTCAGAATGGCAAACGGCAATCTGATGTCTGCCTTGCCCATATATTCAAAGCTAACCTGGAAGTTTCTAAAGATTGGAAAAGTGTTGTACAGTGGTACCTCGGGTTACATACGCTTGAGGTTACATACGATTCAGGTTACAGACTCCGCTAACCCAGAAATAGTGCTTCAGGTTAAGAACTTTGCTTCAGGATGAGAAAAGAAATTGTGTAGCGGCAGCGCAGCGGCAACAGGAGGTCCCATTAACTAAAGTGGTGCTTCAGGTTAAGAACAGTTTCAGGTTAAGAACGGACCTCCGGAACAAATTAAGTACTTAACCCGAGGTACCACTGTACGGCTATCTCCATCCACAGCTGGTGTACACTGCGATAATCTCATTGCCATGTATGAAGCAGCCCAATGGTGTTGGTAAAGAAATTCCTACCTCACTGAAAGGGCTGGGCATGGCAGAGTCAACACTAACAAATGACTCATCCCCGTCAGCTGAGAGGTTGGAATTATCTGCAGATGGAACAAACGGGATCACCAGATTCATGCCTTCTTTCCTTTTCCTCCCGTCTAACTCGTCTTCCTTCTTCTTCTGAAATCAAATTAAGGAAACAACTATCAAAAGGGCTGGAAGACATGGAAAAGTGGCTAAAAGCAGGCCCTTTACTGAACTTTGCAGTGCAGTTCTCCAACCAAAAAAATTAACAAAAATGTGTGTTTTAGTGAAGTGTGCATAAAAATGCATATATTAGTGAAAATAACATACAAAATGCATTATATCAGGAACAACTATTTACAAAAATGTGCATATTAGAACTGTATAATGAAAATTTAAGTTATCTACCAGGACCTAAACTGTTTGAGGAAAACAGCAACATTTTCAATGCCAGATTAGAAACACTGCTATCCAAAGGAGGCTCTATTCTCAAGTATTATTATTTCAGGAAAATTCATTTCAGACAGCAAAAATTATATTTATTGAGAATTTTCATTCTCTTCAGAAGTGAGCTACAATCAAATTAGAATGACTAGTTTTCCACTTTAAATCTGAATTAACCCTATCTGTGGAAAAGCAAATACAAAGCAAAAGACAGAAGAACAACATTCTTTAAAACAGAGACACATCCACTGGAGAATTTGCATCACTTGCTCTCCCAGGAAGATTGAACCTCCTTGATCAGGAAAGCACTAAAATTAACCTGAGTGGGACAGGTGGCCTTACTGCTCCTGAAGGTAATAATAAAAAAAAACATTTAAAGCAATAATGTAACAAAATAACAGGAGTGTTATTTGAAGTACCTTTTCAGCATATTTTTCCCTCTTTCGTTTACGCTCTTTCACACGATTTGTCTCCTCCTGCTGCCGCTTCTCCTCCTGACGCTGGCGCACTACCAGTTAAAAAATAAAGTCAGAAACCATTATTTACCAGAAGAACTGCAAAATTCTTGCAAAACACAAGAGCCCAGTTGAACGCAATTGGAATAAGGCCTGTGATGGTCCTTTAACCCCAACAATGTAACTTCATCCATTATCATGGTTCCATTCTCCGTTCCCTCAAAAAAGTCTGACTATCAGACCCAAATCCAAGAATAGTATCCAACAAAGTAGTTCCATTAGCGCAACTATTTCTGATTGTACAGTGGAACTTCCCCTTCCACTCATCTTCCTTGGACACACCATGTCTTCCCCAAATCTGCTTCAGAGAGTTGGAGGAACACTCTCTGGAACAGTTAAAAAGAGAAGGCAGCATTTCTGCTTTTAAATAGGAGCGTGATTGTGAGATTCTTAAGCTTTTAGTTTTGTAAAACAGCACTCTGAAGCAAAATTGGAGTCAAATGTCTCAACTGCCTTTAATCTTGATACTGAATGCATCTATTTAAGGGTGGATCCAGATAAAATAGTTGTGCTTAGCTCCCACTGAAATAAATGGGAAAAGATCAAGACATGACTTTCTGTTTGCACTTATTTCAATGGGACATAAGCACTTAGCTTCTTCATCTACCTCATTTTATAGTTATTGATACAAATAAATTAGCAAACAAAAACACAGGCACACAGTGGGAGCTGTTGAAGTATATGACAGAGGTAGGAGTATGGACTCACACATACATTTTTTCTCAAGTTCTTCATCATCCAGAAGAAGACTAACCACCTCCTTGGGTTTCAAGGTGTCGGGTTTGAAATTGCCTCCTGAAATCACCATCCTTTGAATCTATGGAAAAGAAAAAATGCATCTGAAATTTTCTTCTCAGATTATTTAATGCCAGAGACAATCAAGAGAAAGTGGAGGCACTTTATCTAATATCTATTAGATTGAATGTGGGAGAAATATTATGATTTTTTAAGTCTGAACTTTGAAAGTTGTTTAAAAATGGCAATGTTATTTTGTAATTCTAATCCCAAGAGGCACTCCATGGCACAAGAAGGTATGTGTGCACCCTAAAGTAGTAAGAACTTTGCTGCTATGTACAATTTACCCATTACTGCTGAGTGCTACACTTCATTACAGGCATATAAAGGTAATCATTTCCCATTAGGTGGTATTATCTTTGCTGGAGATTAATCTCTGATTTCTCATCAATCACAGCTCAATTTCCTTGCTATCCCTTCTACACCACATTATTCCATATTTTGTTACCCTTACCTCACTTTTCTCCTTGGCCCTCTGCAAGATGCGTTCCTCTATGGTGCCTTTACAAATCAACCGGTACACAGTGACCTGTTTGGTCTGACCCAGCCTGTGAGCTCGATCCATGGCCTGCTGATCTACTGTTGGATTCCAATCACTATCGTAGAAAATTACCTGTCAGGGCATTTTTTTGAGGGGAAAAGGTTACAAATACAAAACTGATTCTATGGTCACCACCCAAAGTTTGTACTGCACTTTAAAATGATAGTAAATAGCGTTGCCTTAAGAATGATAACATCTTAGTGATTTTTTTGGGGTGAACCCAGATACAAGTCCAGTTCTGTATAAGACCATAATTATTTAAAGTCTGCTTTACACATTACTATTACTAACATGGAGATCAACTTCATGCAGCAAAAAGCATGTGCACAATTCACATCTGAAATGGGGTAAAAATTATTTGTTTTTCCAGGTTTAGATTACTGGCCAGTCATAACACTTCATGAATTATGTGGGGTTGTTTTCTTTTCTTTTGCTACACTATAATTGTCTTCATACTGGAAAAAAGACAATGCAAGAAGCAGCCATCATATTCAGATTTAGGAAAGCAAAGGTAGTGAAACTTTATATTATATCAAATAATTCTGTACTACCAGGAATATCCAAGCTCTGTTAATTAATCAGACTATAGTAGCTTTATGCTTTTTGACATATGAAATATCCTGTTTTAGTGCTTCTTCCTTTCTGCTGAGTACAAACTATCCTGGAATAGCCCACAGTGTTAAGAAAACATTTTCAAACCAAGCTGTTTACTCACTGTATCAGCAGCTGTAAGGTTAATGCCTAAGCCACCAGCTCTTGTGCTTAACAGGAACACAAAGATATCATTCCTACAGAGAGAGATAGAAAGAACAAAAGCAACCATTGCAGTTGTGTTGCTACATAAACATTACTTACGACAATAATGACTATTACCAGGAGGGTTTTGACTTTTGCAATCAAAGACAGAATCACTTCACCCAACAGTTTATTATTATAATATCAACGTATCTGCCTTGATTTCTAATACTGATTTTATGCTACAGGACTTGTTGCACTGTGGCCTTTTTGATCTGGCTAAATCTTTAATGATGGGAAAGAACTCAGTGCTGGAATACCACCACAAATTTCATCACATGAAATTACAACACAAAACTCCCATGATTTTCCGAGTTAATGGGGGTGGCAAATTAATTTTGTTTGTTTCTTTGAAACAACATGGAAACCAGCATCAAACTTTCATTAGATTCCACTAGATTTCCAAAAGTGGCTGTTTACAATGTGTAAAAGATAACAAAAACCACAGAAACTGCAGGGTTAGGAAATGTCAGGAAAAGGTACCGTTGGTACTCACTTGAAATGTGTTTCTAAGGAAATGAAGAACCAACACAGCCCTAGTGTTTAAGTGAAATACTAAGGGTGATTCTTTGGACCCTCATGGGAGGAATTCATTGCAAGTGCCAGACGGAACAATCCATGTTCTCCTCCCCTTGTGTGCTTATCTAGGGGGTTCTCCCAACCCCACAAGATCCAATTTTGGGGGAGTGAGGGGGTGAAGACTCACTGGGCAAGAAGCCCTTGGTTCAGGCTTCAGCTGCCAGAAGTAAGTAGTTGCATCCCACCCATAGCTTAGATGCTGAAGAACGACAGTGTAAGTACAGTTTGTCATAAGCTGGGATCCAATGGGTTGACTGTGCAGTTTCACTTACAAAGGTTACCTGGCTCTTCCTTTCCATCACCCCTTGGCCGATGTATAGCATAAACATATTCCTACAAGAAGAATGGAGGGGCCCCAACACTAACCATATTCCATAGGAGGATGGAGGAGCCTGTGTACCTGGTGATTTGGAAACTACTTAACAGAACCCCATCGCAATAATTCAACAGAAAAAGCAAAGGGAAAAACATACCTGTTCTGAAAGTCAGCTACCATATCTCTTCTCTCAGAGATTTTTGAAGACCCATCTAACCGCATATATGTATGCTTCCTGTAAACCATGTACTCCTACAAGAAACCCAGAACAAAATCTCAACATTTTTTATCTAGATTTTCAACAGAACAAACAATTATAGTTGTTTTGAACATCACAGTGCCATGTAATATTGTGTGAGCTTCCAATATGCCAGAAGGCTACTAATGTAATTTTAAAAGCAAAATAAACTGTTTGCACCATGCAGTGCTGCTAAAAACATACTAATCCTGAACCTGTTGAATTAAAACCTGATTATTAAAAAAAGACTGAGGTGCTCAGGAAGCCTGTGTCATGTAGGTACTTCATTGCTCACCATTCAGTTAATATTCATTTACTGGGCAAATTACCAAGCGATGTTCAGTCCTTTGTTCGCACCATGTACTTAACTATTTCTGACCTCCACGGCCATTGTTATAATCTAAAATCCATAAACAGTTTCAGGCCTCTTTAAGTTTTATTTGTATTTCAATGTGCTCAAAATTATATCCAAGACGGTAGATTTTTGTATTAATTCACAAGCTCATCTCACTCCTTTTACACATTATTCTGTACTTGAATTAATCTCTAAATTAAATTTGATTTTAATGTATGCATGTACTTTATTCTCTCTCTCTCTCTCTCTCTCTCTCTCTCACACACACACACACATTGAAGCAGGAGGAGGAATGTTATTTGCAACAATATGAGCAACAGCAATGAAAGAAGCCTGAAGGGGACTAAGGAGCACAGGAGCACATAGTTTTTTGCACCTTTCTAGGTTCAGAAGAATATATGCACATTTGCTTGGTTTACAAAACATACAATACACAAAGTTTAATATTTTTGATGCTGAATTTATTTTCAAGAAGTGTATATAAAACTCTGACAACAGACTTGTTTCGGGGGGGGGGGTGTAATCAATAAACAAGCTTTGGTATAACTCAAGGTCATAATGCTGTTGTTGTTAACTGCAAATATCAGGGTTCATATCTCCACTCAGCCATCAAGCTCACTGTGTAATCTACAGCCAGTCACAGTCTCTCAGCCTAACCAACTTTCATGGGGTTGTTGCACGAATAAACAGGAAGGGGGAGAAACAGGTGCACCACCTTAACTTCATTGATGGAAAGGTGTAATACAGTTAAATAATTTTTTAAAAGGTTTCACTGGGATCAAAGGAGTTGGGTGACTCAGTGGTCTCATTTGAAGATAAAACCAAACCATGTTTGTTTAGCTAAACTGTAGCTTGTTTGCTGCACTGTATCCAGTACTGTAGTTCTTGTTTTTCCCCATCCATAAAAATAGATCTTTGAAAATGAGGATAGCCTGCCAAGAGCAGACTGAGTAAGGGAATAGGTTTTGTGTTTTATATTGTTTAAATGAGGTATGATATAAATATTGAGCATGCTAAAAGGTAAAGGACCCATGACAGTTAAGTCCAGTCGCAGACAAATCTGGGGTTGCGGTGCTCATCTCACTTTACAGGCCGAGGGAGCCGGCGTTTGTCCACAGACAGTTTTTCTGGGTCATGTGGCTAGCATGACTAAGACGCTTCTGGTGAAACCAGAGCAGCGCACGGAAACGCCATTTACCTTCCCGCCGGAGCGGTACCTATTTATCTACTTGCACTTTTTGGCGTGCTTTCGAACTGCTAGATTGGCAGGAGCTGGGACCGAGCAACGGGAGCTCATCCCCTTCGCGGGGATTCAAACCGCCGACCTTCTGATCAGCAAGCCCAAGAGGCTCAGAGGTTTAGACCACAGCGCCACCCTCGTCCCTCCATTGAGCATGCTGCGTGAATGCAAAAGAACAGTAGTGTTCTTGCAGTCCATCTTTTTGAATTATTAAAAAATATATATGAAATATTAAGAATATTCTTTCAGGCCTTGTGCATGAAAAAATGTTGCAACCACAAACAAAAAATAAGGATAAAAACCCAAGTTCCTATTTAGAAATCAAAAAAGAAAATATTGAACTGCAATCAATGCTTAGTTCCTGGAAGGATATTATGACCTCAGTAGAGTTCATCTCCCACCAGAGGGTATACTGGCCTTCCACTGAGGAAAGGGGTGGTATATTAGAATCTGTCTCAAATAGGTTAAGTACATTTGCATGGATTAAGGAGGAAGAACTGAGCTAAGGCTTAATGAATTATGGTAGCTCTTCTTGCTAATATAGACCAAGACAGTTAGAATGATAAAACATAGTTATTTAATGACAACTATGGTATTTGGGATGTTAACAACAGCATAATAATTACAGTGGAAGATTCAAGAGTTTTTGCAAGAAAGTCTTTCAGATAGTTAACAGCACACAGGTTGTAGACTCTTTTTTATCTTTGTAGCTTTTTTAAAAGTAAAAAAGATACTGCTAATCCTAGAGGGATAGTTATATTAAAACCTCTTGAATATCCTCCCATTAAGCCTGCTCAGCTGACGCTGTCAGCATGACACTAGAAGTAGTAATCCTTGAAAATAATGAAATCAGTCCTGGGTAGAGTGTGCTGGTTTACTGAGGCAGCAGATAAAATAAGTAACTTCATCTCTTCCTTCCTTTGGTAAACTGCAAATGACAGGGACTTTACAACAATAGAAAAAATATATACACCATCCAATAGTAATTATTCAAAACCAAGAGCAACCAAGCAATTGATTTAGAGCCTGGTCCAATAGTTCTACTGAACTATGATTCTGTAAGTGGTCCACTTGGTCAGTCTGAAAGTGACAGGGTTACGCTGGTGCAGCTAAGTATCTAGGACTTCACTTGGACAGCAACACAGAACGGCATGACTGCAATGGGCCAGATCTTACATAGCTTAGGGACAGAGCAGAGAGTGGGGGAAAGTATGCATGATTCTCTGTAAATGTATATCCTGGTCCAGCATGCTGCTGCGCTAGCAAAAGCATGCAATCCACACAGCCTCTCCTTTCCTTAAAAGATTGTATTTATGTCAAATACTATATTTCCTTAGTCATTAGCTTCAGTTTCTCCTTCATGCAGGGTAAATGAATCCTACCTCCAACAAGTCAATCATCCGTGTCATCTGAGAGTAGATAAGGACTCTGTGTCCTTGAGATTTCAATCTTGTCAACAAAACATCAAGGGCATAAAGTTTTCCACTGTCTGTGATCAGACTCTCTTTGTCTAAAGGGAAGGAAGGGGGGAAATATTTATTTATTTATTTAACTTGTATACCGCCCTATACTCAGCCTCAGGGTGGTTCACAGGATAAAAATCACAATATAAAAACACAAATTACATAATCAAAATAAAAAAGAGAACATTGAGAACAATGTGGGGGCATTACTTTTTGGGTGGGGGTGCAGCAGGGAGAAGGCTTATTTCTCTCTAAGTGCTATAGCCCCTAATGCAAAATGCCCCTGCATTACAATTAAGATCCAAAGGCCTGGGTGAATAAGAATGATTCTGCCTGGCACCTAAAAACAGTTAGTGATGATGCCGCCAGATGGTGATTGTAACCCACCATGAGATCTTATGGTGAAGGATAGGCAAGAAATCAACCAATCACATAGAGGAAACTCATTCCACTACCACTTCCCAATAGAATGTATGAAATCAGAATGGATAAATTAGTTACTTAACAGTCTTTTAAACTACTTTACAACAGGCGACCCAAGTTCATCAGGAACCAAATAACAGGAAAAAAGAGTTTAAAACAACAAAACACAAGTATTTTTAATTCTTGCCTTTTTCTTTAATATCACATTTCACCTGCACTAGTTAAATTATTTTTGAACTTTGAATAAATCCTGCCACCTAACGTTGAAAAGAATACCACGAATAAACAATATTTAACTTTTTCCATTTGACTGCACTCTGCTCCTTTACCATCTTTAGCGGAAATAAACAGAACAAAAGAATCATTTGTTAAATAACACCCAAGATCTGATTCTACTCTGAAGATAAGATTTTCACATTTGGTTCAATGGGTTGTATTGAATGGTATCACTCAGAATGGGGAAGAAAACAGTTTCTACTGATTCCCCTGCAGCTCCCTCTCCCCAATCTGTTCCAGAAGACTGGGGGGGCCTTTTGAGCAGAATTTGGGGTTCAAGGGGGCACAGGAGGATGCAGCCTTGCTTTCAGTTATGCAACACCGTTGGATAAAATCTAACACACATAAAGGGTTAGATAGGAAAATCTGTCTATTTCTGGCGCAAAATTGTGCTGTCAGGTTATAAATCAAATGGGCCTCCTTTCATTTAAGAGAATTATTACTTTTAATCAGACTTATCTAGACTTGGCTGGGGAATGAGAAGATGCTATGATGTTACTGTCTGGGGAAGAAACATGTCTGGTCAAAATGACAGCTTAACAGAACCCCAATTATAGAGTCCCCTCTCCTTCGGAGCCTGACTTAATCTTAGTTCCCTCTAGGGAATTAGAAAATGCACCTCTGCTGGTGTAAAAATAAGAGTAAGGAGGAACAAATCATAGTTTCCAGCCGCTGCCTCCCTCCTCTAGAAGGCTGCAGGGCATAAAGGGGTCAGTGCAGAGCTAGCTAGCACTCACAGTAAACAGCCAGCAAAGTTGGTGCTTTTTATCAATGCAAAAAGGACTCAGACACTTCCTGCCATTTAATCTAAGATCATTTCTCTTTCAAAGAACAGGAAAGGCCTCCAGAGATTCCCACAGTGATCGCAACTACAACAGTCTGAGAGAGGAGGGCAGAGTTAACTGAAGTAGCAGCTGTTTTGCTGTTCACTGCAACTTTGTAGCCTGAAAACTAGCCCTGTATCGAATTGCTCCTTGCTCCTTGAGTTTAATTCACTTGCTCAAACAAGCTTCATCTTATCTATTATTTACTGTATTTTTATCCTGTTTTTCAGACAATTATAATCTTGGCAAAGCGGCTCACACCAGTTAGAGAGAAAAGAGCGACAGGCCTTGGTGTTCTTACATTCCCATTAAAAAAACCGCAGTGAATAACTCTGGAAGTACTATAAATATTTCAACATATTCCACATTAATAGGGGTGTTAGGTAAGTTTTTGCCTGGACACCTCAGGTAAAGGTTGTAAAATAGGCAAACTTGCAATTAAAATGCATGAAGCTGACGGCTGCAAGATCAGAGGCCCAAAATTTACAGTGGTACCTCAAGTTAAGTACTTAATTTGTTTTGGAGGTCTGTTCTTAACCTGAAACTGTTCTTAACCTGAAGCACCACTTTAGCTAATGGGGCCTCCTGCTGCTGCCGCGCCGCCGGAGCATGATTTCTGTTCTCATCCTGAAGCAAAGTTCTTAACCTGAAGCACTATTTCTGGGTTAGCGGAGTCTGTAACCTGAAGCGTATGTAACCTGAAGCGTATGTAACCCGAGGTACCACTATATGTGACAATGAACTGATGGGTCAACATACAAAGTACAGTCGTATCTTGGATCCTGAACGCCTTGCGACTCGAACGTTGTGGCTCCCAAACAGCGCAAACCCGGAAGTGAGTATTCCGGTTTGCGAACGTTCTTTGGAAGCCGAACGTCCAGAGCAGCTTACGATTGGGTGCAGGGAGCTCCTGCAGCCAATCGGAAGCCACGCCTTGGTTGTCAAACATTTTTGGAAGTCGAACGGACTTCCAGAACGGATTCCGTTCGACAACCAAGGTATGACTGTAAATTTAGATTTGTGAGCTGCCATACCAAAGAGGTTGAGAATCAATGGTTTGAACATCCTAGCTTTAATAACTGTTTTGAAGCTTATCATATACTTAATGTTAACCACATTGCTCCTCCTGTAAAGTACTTGCTCAATATCTTTGTTTCTTAGCCTCCTCACTGGTTTTGACAGGAACCAGAAAATAGGGACAGCTGGGATATATGGGAGTGGATGAAAAAGGTAAAGGAAGAAGATCAGTTTGAAAATGCCAGACTGAACTAGTGAGCTGCGGATTTGGTCCAGATACCCAGAATGGTGCAGAGACGAGAATCACAGAATCAGAGTTGAAAGGGATCCTGAGGGTTATCTAGTCCAACCCCCTGCCTATGCCAGCACAAGAAAGCTATCAAATAGGCTCAATTAGGTAACCACTGATCATTCTCTCACACACCCAACTTTCCTACAAGTTTATTGCAGGAAGATTCCCCAAAAGGAAGTATGAATTATTTCCCAGTTTGTCGTCATTTAATGCATGGGTAGAACATACTAGCATATGTAGATAAGCAAAGTCATATAATCCACTTTGTTATTAAACTATGCAGTTATAGAGATGTTGCCTACCTGGTATCCTGATGAAAGACCAGCCGTTTTGAGGTCTGACCCCTAATAATCCCCCTGGAAATTCCGGAAAGAACTGAGAGCACCGTTTTAGCCAGCCAGCTGCTAGTTCAGGCGCTCCATGCAATACACATTGCTTTGCTTCAAGGCTTCCTCCGTCTTTAAGTGCTCTGCGCTCATATTCTGCACTCCGATCATTGCAGTAGAAATCCCGTGGCACAGCTGTTACCTGTGGATTAAAAGGGTATAATTATACTGGAGAGATTGTGAAAATATTGGCTGAGATTAAATATCAGTAATAAATGAGGTTCCTTTAGCTATATAGTACTGATTCAAAAACGGTTACAAAACTACTCGATCACTCTCATCTTTCAAGATGACTTGTAACAGTGGCAGATGTTGGCCCACAGCCTGATAATATTTTCACTTCTTACTGCTTCAATTTAACACTTCTGAAACCTTAGCACCCAATTAGACAGACAAAATTCAGAAGTTATGTGGTTCCTGCCCACAGGGATTCAAATCTATCAAAGTTCAAAGGATATAGGAAAGGACTTGAGAAGGAAAAGGAGGGAAAGGTTAGCTGGCAAACCAAAGTGTAGTAAAGAAGGAAGAAAAACAAGGCTTGATGAAGGAGAGGGAGACGACTTCATATCATATGCAACAGAAGAAGGGAGTGGCAAGGCATAAGGCTTGAGGCGAAGGTAGCTTTAAAATGCCAATCACTGCGCTCATCCTCTCTTCACTGGAGAACCCCACTGGGTATGCTTTGGTTGCTCTGTACTTCTGGATCATCCTTTAACAATTATGTAACGGACTTGAGATTTTGATTTACTCTAGCCTGTTTATACAGTGAAACCATTGGTCAGAATCAATACAGCATGAATTTCACTGATTTAGCATGCAGGAACACACGTTGTGTAAATGCTATCTGAAGTGACTCAAAAATGCAATAGAATCAGAAAAAATGAATTATCTGGTTTTGAAATTAAACTGCACTTTACTACAAAATAAATAAAAAAATAGTCCAGTAGCACCTTAAGAGACCAACTAAGTTTGTTCTTTACTACAGCAGCCTTCTATTTGTCTATTTTTAACAGCACAACAGACCAGACCAGTTCCTCAGGTACTTGACACTTGGAAAGAGACATGGTAATTATGGAATGCTCATTTAGTGTCAAGTGTGTCTTCTATCTGGCATCTCTGTAAGGCCTTCATACATCTGGTAGTGTCAGGCGTAAGAAAAAGCTGCCTTCAAAAATCCTCTTTCCTATTCCTTTTGCAAAGCAGGAATGATCTCTTCTTGAAACTTGATTGCACTTGTGTCTCTGGGAATCAACTGCAGTGATTGTGAGGCTACTCTTCTACACTAGATGTGCAAATGGCAGTGGACCTTTAAGCCATCTGAGTGTAGACATGTCGCACAAGGCCCCTACATTAGCATCACAGTATGTGTGCTTGAATTGTAAAAGTCAGGTTTTTTAACGCAGCACTTTCTTTAAACTCAACGCAGTTCTGAGCTATCCAAATGCAAAATTTCATTTCCGTATTTAGAACACTGAGGTCTTCAGTTTATCTTCCTTTGCATGTCACCTTCCCTACTGTCAGCTTCAATATAAATTACCCAGTCAAACAGTGCTGCCAACACAGGAATCTAATCTTTATACCAAAGTAGCTATCTTGGACCATCTCCATCATTTTTAATCTTTGCTGCTATCTGGATGGAGTAGAATGTTAGCCAAACAGCTGTTTCTTCAATGGCTGAATAGCTGAATAGTCTCAAGATAAGGAGTCTGTTCCAGCAGACAAGGTTGCCTTTTGTAAAAAGCTATAGTACTCTCTTATCTCTCCTCAACAGGCTAAAATGCAAGTCCGTGGTGCCATCCTGTACAGCAAGTACGTGCTCTCAAATACATTTTCACAGCTAAGCAGTGAAAGCCAAATCAACAACAAGGTAGATACTAGACTCAGTGAGAAAGAAAGGGACTGCTGTATAAGCCGTAATCATAAGTTACAAACTCTGGTTATCCATCTGCACAGTAGCTGTTCCGGAACACCTGTCATCTAGAGAATTATTCAACAAAATGCAACGACAGTGAAAAAATTATCTTGTATATATGGCAGATTTTTTTGCCATCTACCTTTTCACATGCAGTCCCTTGCACTATCTTATCTGCTGGTTGGAGGGTCCACCAACCCGTCGCAGCAGATTTTCAAGGGACGTGGGGGGGTGGGACTGACAAAAATACAATCCCCCGTTTCCACTGGTAGGAGCATTAATAGAACTCTGTTTATGGTATACTCCTGTCAGCTGAGTCTCAGTTAGGATCTAAGCCAATGTTCTTAACAGTAAAAGATAAAGGAGAACTATTAGGTCTGTCATTTATCTCATGTCTACAAGCATGTTATCCAAGATACTGGGGTACTAAGAATAATTTATTGTTGTTCTTTTAGGAGAAATAAAAATAAATTGTCCATCTCGATCTCAACTCCTCCTTTCTATTAAAAAAGAAGAAGCATCAAACTGATATCTTTAAAAGCAGAACGTATAAAAACAGAGCATGTGGGATGTGGGAGACTAGCCTAAGGCACATACACATAGTATCAAGTCATGTGAATCATGTATTGTATACAATTTTGAAGGGGAATGCTGTGGCAAAATGTACAATGCAACATAGCTGAGACAATGAAAAATCACCCAAAGTGGCTTATGGAACACATGGGTAGAGATTTGGGGGGCGGGGAGTGCTTAGTTAAAACACACAGATTGACTCATGCTTGTAGAGCAAGTGTGGGGAATAGTTGCCTCCCAGATGTTGCTGAACTACAACTCCTATGACCTTGACCACTGCCCATGCTTGCTAAAAATGATGCGAGTTGTAGTTCAGCAACTCTGCATGGTTAAAGGGTTTCTCAGCCCTGTTGTAGAGGGACACAAGTGCACACTGTGGAAAGGGGCAGCAATTTTAAAGGTAGCTTTTATCAAAGAAACTGAATGCAACTACACTAACTTATTTTGGGGGAGTTAACTAACTAGTTGCCAGCTATGAAAAGCCACAGCATAAACGGAAACGCAAAGCACTCAGCACTTTTTCCAGCAGGATATACAATACTGCACTGCCATCTTCAGACAAGAGATGGGAAATGAAAAGAGCAAATACACTGAGTCAAGACCATCTTTCTCCGACTGACTCATTCACTAGAGAGGGGGGAAATTATATGCACTGCTTTACATGGAAATGTTTCCATCTCATATTTTCCCTTCTATTACCCATTAGATACAACAGAAGCGAAGCATAAAATATCATGGCTGATACAGGGCTGCACAAACTTTCCTACAGGATAAAAGGCACCTCCTGTAACACAGACACAAGGAGGAGATTAGAAGCATGTTTCCAACTTTAAACTAACTAGAGTTCCCAATTACGTCAGAATTTGGGGAGACTCTTAGTTTGAAATTCTGGTTTGTTCAAACAAGCCAGGATTAAGCCATGGTTTATTTTCCTGGCTTGTTCAGATGTTTAAAGGAACTTTGGTTAACAGATACTTCTGATCTTCTTGCAGCCATGCCAGAATACTAGAAGGGAAGGTCTTTTATTTGTGTACCTGTAACACAAAACTAGGGCCTCTTGGGCCTGCCGATCAGATGGGGTGAGCTCCCGTTGCTCGGTCCCAGCTCCTGCCAACCTAGCAGTTCGAAAGCACGCCAAAAAAGCGCAAGTAGATAAATAGGTACCGCTCCGGTGGGAAGGTAAACAAAACTATTTCAGAATTAGGCTAACGACATACTGTATATCCCAGGAGCATGAGGATAGTAAAATAAGTCATTTTGTATAGCGAACTCTCATAGTATTATTGAAGAATCATTAAAGAGATGATGGGAAGCATATAAAAACTTAGAGCCTAATTTTATGTTACGGCAGAATTTAGGATCATATTTTGCACTCCCAGATTTGTAGCCATTGATGATACTAATCAGTGCTGTAGAAAAACTGCTGACAGTAGTTCCTAAACTCCCCCCTCTATCGGAAAGGAATTTGCAGACCAGTTTGAGAACCTTTGTTACAATTAATGCTCAATAGGCTTAAACCTTGGAAGGCATGTGGTAAAGAGTTCAGTAAGGTGGTTCTTATATTTCATTCCTCATATAGAACTGTAGAGTTGGAAGGGACCCTGAGGATCATCTAGTCCAACCCCCTGCAATGCAGGAATATGCAGCTGGTCCATACAGGGATTGAACCTGCAACCTTGGTGTTATCAGCACCATGGTCTAACCAACTGAGCTATCCAGGCTCATATGTCAGCATGAAGGTCGTCATATCTTATTCAGACAATGCACAAGTATGTGTTATTACTAAAACAAGTACAGATCAGGAATGGAATGGAATGAAACATTTGGGAGGCTTTTGTGATAAGGGTTTTCTGCTCCTTGCCTGCTTTTATATGATTATTGCTTCACCATACACTGCAGTATTTATTGCTCTGCTCTTGCTTTCAAATAATTAGCAGACATTATGCTGAGGAGTGTAAGTTAAGGTCAACCAGATGTCTTCACTGGTGGCAGGTATCTCGCTAGACAATCCTCAAACACATTCAGGGTGGGGAGGGTTTTCTGGTAGCAGATGGTTAGCTGTATTTCTGGAGTCACATCTAGTTTATTATGGCCTTTCGTATTATGTTAACACACAGTGCTTGCAAGAAGCCAAACACTCTCCAAGTTTATTGACTCATAAAAAGAAGAGTGAATATGCAAGACATGCTCCCCTCCACCATTTTATTAGGATGTGATCCCTCCCCCAATAAATAATAATTTATATTTCATGGAGTTTGTATGAAGTGCTGAGCACTAGAAATCTGATATCCTGAAGGGCCAATTCTGCAGCAACAAGTCATTTCCTCTGCAATCCTGTATAAGCTAAATTCCTATGGACTATTAAATACGTTTGAGTTTCTCAGTAGCTTACTGCCTAAGAAATGTAAATGCAGGTCAACAGTTCAGTAACTGAGTTAACTTTAAAAACAAAAGTAGAGAGGGAGAGGAGACCGAGATCGGGAAAGGCTAGAAGGGTCCAAGACAGGATCTCTGTCTCAGTGTTGAGCAGCTATCACATAATACTGTGCTCATTACTTTTATTTTATTTACTGTAGCTCAATACACATTGGTTCACCCGGGGGGGGGGGGAGAGGGAGGTCTCAATTGCTACTAAAGCCCTGTGAAGAATGTTACTGTTGATGGGAAAGGATTGCATCTGCCCATTTTGCTCCAAGAGACATCTGTGTGTTGCAGTGTCAATCTATATGCTTAGGCTTGACCAGTGCAATCTGTACATTACAAAATTTGAGTGTACAGATTGCATGGATCAGCCATACAAACATGATGGCCAACTTATACACATCAGGCAAGGCAGATGTAATCCCATTCTCTTCATCAAATGTGGTATTTCCAGTGGACTTGAGTTCCTACAGTTAAGCAAACCTAGAATCACTGTTAATGAAATACAAATACAATAAGACACAAACTAAGTGCTCTCTGGAAATATCTGAGAACTGGAAAACGTAATCAGAAGAGGGTAGAAAGGACTTCTTTTTTAAAAGACTTACCCTTGGGCTCACTACAGACAGGAAGGACGGCAGCTCTGTGATTTGACAACACTGTTTCCATGAGGTAGCTGATCGTTGATGGATGATGTAATCAGAGTAGCCAATTACTGCTTTACAGTGGCCCGTGAACACAAGGTTCTAAAAATTGATGAAATTAAAAATGTTTTGCGAAGTTTTTGAAGAGTTTTTTCATAGCAGTTGTATCCTAATATCATAAAGGATACAAATGAACAATTCCCAAATATTTAATTTGAAATAAGGACCTTTTTTTCTGAGAAGACATTCTGAGGCCACTACCACCACTGCTTAATTTTTTTATTCAGCTTTTACAACTAATGAACAACTACACTGGGCAGAATTACAGCATGCAATACTACTAAGGAATGATTTCTACTAGAAAAGAGATCAGTTTACATATCCTGTCCTCAGTGTTTAGTTCTGAAAGTTCTAATCCTTAGCCAAAGTACTAGGAGAAATATTTTTTGTGTCTATAAGCAAGACTCAACTAACGCTGGGGTTATGTTCTGGGGACAGCACCTAAAGCCAAAATCGCATATAGTTGCGTTTGATGGCGCAAAGTTTGCCCACCTTGGATGTCCACCCCCTTTTTAATTTTTGCTAAGTGTGTAAAGTGGATTGCATACAAGTTAAATGCATGTAAGTTGTGAGTTACCTGTATACAGTAGTACCTTGTTTTGCGGCCGGGATCCGTTCCAGAGCCCCGGACGCTAGCCGAAAAGGCCACAGGGCAAAGCGCCGCATCTGCACACACATGCGGAGTGGTTTGTGCTTCTGCGCATGCGCGAAGCACGATTTAACAATTCTGCGCATGCGTGAGCGGCAAACCTGGAAGTAACCCGTTCCAGTACTTCCGGGTTTGCTACAGACGTTCGCCGGAATGGATGCTAGATGGACGTTCGCGTAGGTATTACTGTATACACACATGTAAAACACAGACACTAAGTCCTTGTAGTTCCCATGCAATCTGGTTTTCATATGATTGCCCATGGGAATATGTAAGATCACCAGTGGTTGTGAGCAAGTAAGACGAGCCTGCAGGTCAACGGTCCTCTAGTCCAGAAGCTGACTAGACGCCTTTTGTAGTCCTGCAAGCTACAAGCACAACTGCACTCTGCCCACCTGTATTCAGAGGCATAACGCCTGCAGGGCGCATATGGAAGTAACAGTCGCATAAACTGCTTCTATGCAGAGATATATATGTAGAAGTTTTTTAAAACTGCAAGGACCAACTCTTTGTAATTAAAGGTTCTCTCACTCATCCTGGTTAAGCTAACAGTACCTGCAGTACACTGAAAACCTGTTCAAGTTTCCTTTATGAATTATTCACTCTAGTTACTAAATTTAGACAAAAAACAAGTCACACAATGTCCTCCTTCTAATGTAATGCTAAACCTTGGGCTCACACTCTCCCGAAGTCTTTGGTGGAGTCATGAGGAGAAATAAGCTTTTGTTTCTGCTGAAGATTAACTGCAGTTTGTCATGTCATTCCAACCCAGACAAACTGTAGTCCATCTTAACTACAGTTAAGTTGAAACAGGCCCATTTCGAACCATAACTTTTGAAGCTGGCTTGCTTCAACTAACCATAGTTAATATCAACCAAAGTTTAGGGTTTGGTTAGAAGAATAAACTGCAGTTAACATAAAACAGAAGCTTTAGATCTCCTTCTTGCAGTGCCTCACTGGAGGGGGAGAAAGAAGAGAAGAGCACAAAAGTATGAGGTCCACTGTAGTAATATTAAACCCCCGTTAAGCACTGCATCTGAATGCAGCCACTAACTACTGCTAATCTTTGTTGTAAAAGGAGCACCAGTGTGTAGTTTAATGATTCAAACACTATGTACATAGAATAATTATCTCCTAGTCACACGATGTGTGATGTGTCACACGAACCTAACAAAACAGGGACTAAATGGTCTGGTGGGCTACTAGAACATGAGACACAGACATTTTACAAACGGTTGGTCCAGAAAGATGCACTTCAAAAGCCAAAATGGTTGCTTTTAGCTTGGTTTTGACCCCTTCTCTTCACAAGCTCTACCACGCAAAAAACTATACAGGCTTTAGGGATTACAATTGCCAGATCCTGCAAAAGTGCGACTGTTAGTGATCCCTTTTCTACCATTAAATGCTGGAGCGAGAAGGTAGTCATTACAGCATATGACATAGGGACATCATTTCCAACCTGTGACATAAAGTTAGTTATTACCCCTTTCTTTAACAGTTTGAGATGACATTTATTATTTAAAGTGACTGTGGGTGGGGGCAGTTATAGCACAACCTTTTCCCCTAATTGATGAACAGAAAGCATAGACCATTGAGCATCCCTACATTACAGGTTTCTATTATTCTTTTTATGCAAGGTCTTTCTGCCCCTAATGCAAAGTTGGCATGGGGATAAATTCAAATTCATTCAAAACCAAAACATTTGAACAAAAGGATTGCCTGGTGCAGAATCTTATTTTATTGTAATGCCAAATGGTTAACACAGGTTATGTGTGGGTGGGCTGGAAATGCTCTTCCAGCTTAAAAATATTTTTAGATACTTAATACTATTATTTGCTGCTGCAGGTTTAACACTGATGCGTCTTACCACTTTCAATGTTTCTAATTTTTCCACACCGAGAAGCTTCAATATTGGGTAGAATGTAAATAATGTGATTAAGTAACTAAATAGCATAGAGTATACATAACCCTGACCACATTATTCCACTCCAAGATCTATCTATCTATCTATCTATCTATCTATCTATCTATCTATCTATCATCTATCTATCTATCTATCTATCATCTTTCTTTCTTTCTTTCTTTCTTTCTTTCTTTCTTTCTTTCTTTCTTTCCAATTTCATTTAACTCAAGCAGTTTGACTTGCATACAGCTGAAAGTATTGCTTACCTGCAGCAAAGTGCAGCTGTGCAAGTTTGGGGAGGAGAGTGGGAAATTGACATCCAGCAGGAAATCTTTATTCTTCAGACGCTGAGTCTTATGCTGGTCATCTTCTTCTGGTTCTCTCCAGAAACGAAAGTGGTGGAGCCTGTAGGCGGCTTTCAGACACAGGAAAAGAGCTAACCATCTGAAAGAAATCACAGTAGACATTCTTATTCATACCTCTGCGAACGAGAACTTAAATACAGGCATACCTCATTTTTTTGTGTCTCACAGATACTGCTCCTTGCAAGGACGCGGGTGCAGCTGCAGGCAGCCCGGCTGCTTCCAGGGAAGGGAAGCTCACCACCACCCCTCTTCTGGCCATGGAAGTGGAGCTGGTTAGGGCTGGAGATGGGTTTGTCCCCTTCCCCCTTGCAGCAAGGGGGCCCCTGGCTTAACTGACTACAGTACAGTGTATGCATAGATTTTATCTATGGGATTGCTTCCCTTGTTGTTGTTTTATCACTATGTCCATTTTTAATGCCCGATTATAGGTTTTATAATTGTCCAGTATTCCAGCATGGAATATATATAACTATCAGCTGTAAACATTTTGCAATGACAGATACATGCACCCATTTTTCCAGCCTATTTATATGCAAGTGATTTTTTAAATAAACACACACACACACACACACCCCCACACACACACACACACACACACCCGGTCATTGTTTTAAGATTCAAACAGAATTGCTCACCTGGCTAGATGTCCCTGATGCATGAGGTTAGCAATCTCTGCTGGAGAAACATCAATAAACCGTAGGAAAGAGAAACAACTCTCTTCTTCAGCACCTATAAAAATGACATGGCTGAGAATAAGCATCTGCTACAGGAAACAAAAGACATAATACAGTGCTGAAAAATGCAGATTCCTTCTACTTAGTACCAAGCTACAAAAGATAGTTGATAATAAGAATTAAAAGTACCATTATACTGGGTGCTAATATGTTCTAATTTGAAGTACAGTCGTACCTTGGATCCCAAACGCCTTGCGAGTCGAATGTCTTGGCTCCCAAATGCCGCAAACCCTGAAGTGAGTGTTTTGGTTTGTGAACGTTCTTTGAAACCCGAGCTTCCTGCAGCCAATTGGAAGCTGCGCCTTGGTTTCTGAACGTTTTGGAAGTGAAATGGACTTCCAGAATGGATTCCGTTCGACTTCCGAGGTACCACTGTACTATGTTCAATTCTGAACAGACTAGTTTAAGATCAATCTCGGTAAATGAGAAGAATTAAACCAACAGAAGGAAAAGCTCTTATGAAACAATGGGGGAAGCAGTGATGGCATACACCAATAGATTTAAGAAGACTGCAGGGGGTCAGTTGGGGGCTCCACAATTGCTCTACAATTCTAAGGTGAGTTCTAAGGTGAACGATTGTTCATTTATTGAGGAGAGGGTGATAAAGATTTCATCTACAGAAAGGAAATTTGGGTTAAGCATTAAGAACACCGAAGTGTAAAACGGTTCAAGAACGGAATAATCAATCTAGAAGACACTGCCTTCCTTGGAACTTCAATTAAAATAAAAATTCTAATCCTAATGCCAATAAAATGTCTTCCTTCACATAATGAAATAAGCTACCTTCACCCTTATGTTTTTCAACCTACCTCTCCTATGGAAGAGAGACTGCTGGATGTGGTCTGGAGCAAAAGGAGAAAGTATAAACTGCAACCACCTATAAATTGACAGAAGAATAAAAATGGGACAATTTAAACATATATTAATTAACTCCTGTTCAAAGTTTTGTTTCTTTTGTATGCTACCCTTCCTCTAAGGAGCTCAGAACATTGTTTTCGTCTAACAATTCTGTGAGGGAGATTAAGCTTCCATTCAGTCACAACAGCTAAAATCCATGAGTTCACAATTGTTTTCTCTAGGCTACAATCACTCTACCAGGGAAGATCCCAAAATGGCTTCAAAAAGAACCAAGAAACCTCTTCCCTGCTGCCCAAAGAAAGGACTTCCTTGTTTGTTTTGAAGCCATTTTTAGTCTTCCCTGGTGCATTTGTGATTTATTATTTCTCTACATCCCACTAACCATAGCTGTGAGTGGCTGATTTTTCACAAAGTAATTAGTTAGAATGGTCCCTACTTATTTTGATTTGTATCTCTTGTTCTACAGGGTTTTCAGACTTGCTTTTAAAAAAGGAAACAAAAAATGAAAGGTTAGAATCTGGATCCCCTGCTGGCTCTGGGCCCAGTATAGCAGGTTCACCTGTATCTTCCCTCTTGCTTACCTGTCCCGTGAGTGGTTAAACACCCTGATTTGCCCATGGCGGTAGAGAAACTTTGAAATCTGGTATGGCTTTACTGAAATGTGAAATGGAGACCAAGTTTCTTGTCGTTCAAAGAGTTCTGGGTGATTGCAGACCTATAAAGAAAATTATAAGTCATCAGAAACTGCAGAGGGAAAACCTGTGTATTAATTCTTCATAATAGCTGGAAAAAACCTGGACAAATTGCGAAGCACGTTCTTAATAGGACTACTTGATTAAAAGTGGTTTGAACATCGTAATTTAAAAAGTTAATCATTTTAGGCTAGGCACATGTGAAATCTAGGCAATATAACTGTGTTCTCAATTGCCCATCCTACTTTCTTTCAAAAGGATTCACTCTTCCCAGCACAAATTAATTTGTATTGTGTGAAATGGCTAGAACTCCAGCTGTGACCTATTAGCTGCAGCATACAGCCACAACTAAAGACTGTCTGCAACTTGTTCAATGTTGCACTTTAATGTAATGGGATGTAGGTATCTGGTCATTTTTGCTGAAGTGATCATCAGACAACCGTATCAGTGTGACCAGTATTCACAAATCTCACCTTCCGGAACTGCATGACTAGATTCATGAGGCTACTGGTAGTGTTCTGTGCTTGCTGGGTAGTACCCATTGAGGACTGCAAAAGGTCATCAATAGAAATTTTGTTCTTCAAAGCCTGGTACAGTAATTTTTGCCGGCTGGTTTGCTGGCAATACATAAGGATCTCAATCTTAAAGAGAAAGAGAGAAAGAGATTGAAGCATATTAAACTCTTATTGAAAGAAGCCAGTAGCAGAGGCAGGTTCAACCCATACACAATCCATGAAAGACTGTAGTGGATAGGGCACTCACAGCCAGCACAACCTGATTAAAATTAAAAGAAGGCCCTCCTTGATAAAAAAATATTTTTAAAGAGTGAACGAGACATAGTGTAGAGATGGGGCTTGCTAGATTTCCCCTGGGAGGGAACAGCATGGATGAGGTGGCAGCTAATCTTTCAAAACTGAAATCCAGAAGCAGGGAAATGAAACAGAGAGGCAGGGAATGGAAACTAAGCCAAAAAATGTTATTTGTGAGATATCATGATGCATTATAGTCAATGTTATGGAATAGGCATAATTTTGTGGACTGAAAAATGCTAAGAGTAGCTGCATGACAGAGCATCAGCCTAGATACTCTTGGTATGATAATGCAAAGTCTTATTTGGACTTTTAAGTCTGATTTTGCAACATTTGATTGTTGCACTGAAATGCTGCTCATTGCAAATAAAAAGCAAAACCAAAATCCACCCCTACAATTACTACATCGACAATAAAAAACTAGGTTTCACTACTTTCATTTTCATTTTGTCGTATCTCATAACTGCTAGCAGTGACCAGTTTATAAAATTGAAGTGATGCAGCCAAGGTCTCGGATCTGCGAATGAGTGCATTCTGACAACTGACAAAAAGGTTTGGATACACAAGCTGACAATGCAGCATCTGTTCATTAACTGACTTTGCTTTGTAAGCTTTAAGGATTTTTAGGGTCATATTTTATATGAATGTACAAGTTTTGAGAGAAGATGAGAATGCCATTTGAATGTGCTGGTAGAAGTTCAATAACTATTAGAAAGGGAGAGGCCTTTTGAATTCTGATTTAAGGGAGAACACGAAAACTGTAAAGCAAGAATAATTAAAGCCTAAAAAAAAGGAAACAACATGAGGGGAAACAGAATTTAATTCTGTTTGGCACCTTATCTGACAGCTCATTTTCCACATCTTTTTTGATTCTCCTCAACATGAAAGGCTTCAGGATCATGTGCAAGCGAGAAAGCTGATCTGAAATTTGATGAGAAAGAAACAACAACCTACGATTAAAAACTTGTCAGTTTGCATTTCTTAGTACAGAAAGTACTGATCTGATGTGTGGAGATCTTTCCTATTCTAATTCATTCAAGAGGGTTCTGGAAGCTTCTCTGTGTGAAAGAAACAAGGATAAGGTTCATGATGTTTGGGCTATTCCTTCAGAGAAGTTGAGTAAAGCTGGCTTAAACTGGTTGTGTTATCTTTTTTTGTCAAGGTCATGCTATGATAATAGGCTAGATGGAGCCTGGGTCTCTCTCTTTTCTATCTCTTTCCTTCTGGTGTGCTGCTCTGTACAAAGCATGCTTAATGTTAAGATTTAGTCTTATTATAAGTTATTGTAAGTTTCAGTTAAGTCTACTGCAAGTGGACTTAATATGGACAGTGCCAATCCTGAATGTATTGGATTTGTGACCATTATGCTCATTTGCCTTCAGTAGCAGTAAAGCTCTGCTGGATGAAATATTAGGAGAAGAGTTTGGATTTGATATCCCACTTTATCACTACCCAAAGGAGTCTCAAAGCAGCTAACATTCTCCTTTCCCCTCCTCCCCACAACAAACACTCTGTGAGGTGAGTGACCCTGAGAGACGTCAAAGAAGTGTGACTAGCCCAAGGTCACCCAGCAGCTGCATATGGAGGAGCGGAGACGCGAACCTGGTTCACCAGATTACGAGTCTACCGCTCTTAACCACTACACCACACTGGCTTTATTAATCGCCTCTGGTCTATTTTTGGCGAATCCTGCAATGTGTTTAAGTTTTCAGTCTGCTAACTATACAGTTGTACCTTGGAAGCCAAACAGAATCCATTCAAGAAGTCCGTTTGACTTCCAAAACGTTTGAAAACCAAATTGTGGCTTCTGATTGGCTGCATCAGGAGCTGCAGAAGCCCCGTCGGACGTTTGGGTTCCAAAAGAACATTTGCAAACTGGAACAATCACTTCCAGGTTTGCGGCATTCGGGAGCCAAAACGTCCGAGTTCCAGGGCGTTTGGGATCCAAGGTACAACTGTACATTAGAATTCTGCTCTGGATCGATATTGAGTAGAATTCATGACAAAACTAGGTTCTACTATTTTGGTTGTCATTTAGCCATATTTAATAGCTGTGCCAGCAGTGACCAGCTCATAAAACTGAAGTGATGCAGTCTATGTCTGGAAACTAATAATGAGCACTGACAATTTAAGTTTTGAAAATAACATGAAGTCGTCATAACTAGTAGTTGCAAAGAACCTTATTCTCCATAAATGTGTCTAATACCCTTTGAAAGGTATGCAATTTGGCGTCCATCACTAGATCTTGTAGGATTGAATACTCAAGTTTATCTATATGTTGACTTAGGAAGTATTTCACTATCTCAAATCTCAGACACTGCAGTATTCTCCTTCCCTATGTGAAAAACTGCTACTGCTGCTCTTTCCAAAAACTCATCTGTAGTCTTATCTCAGCTTCCACAAAAACAATCCTTAGCAGCACATATTAAGTCTATCTGAAAGTAGAGTTAAAAAGCAATTAAGGAACAGTTAACAATTCATTTTGGTCACTGCGGGCAGTTCTGCTCAAGCTGCAGAATTCTCATGCAGAAAAGACAAGATTCCTGCACAATACTCACTCTCATCAATGGCCGATTTGTTCTCTGCATGGCTTTCGATATCTTTAGAAAACCACTCATTGAATTCCTCGTGCGAGTCAAACAGTGTTGGCATAATGAAATGAAGCAAAGCCCAGAGCTGCAACATAAGAGCAAAAGTAAGCACTAGAAGTTAGCCCACCAAGTAATTAAACTATAGAGTATTGCCAGTAACTCTGTCACCACTTAAAAGGAAACCTTTCAATAACTATGACAGAGAAGCCCCTCTCCACATCTGATAGTAGGGTGAAACGGGTCTTTCCCTTTTCTAGTTCCAAACCCAACCACTAGGATAAAGCTATGGGCACAGAGTGAACTCCAGAAAGAGAGGTCAGCAAGAGTGCAACTACGCAGATTGCACTAAAATAATTCTGTTTTCGATGAAAGGTGTCTCAGAGTCACACACGTCTGGGCCACTAGCAAGCTTCTCTGCTAGGAGACGAGAACATGGTGCTGTAAATAAAGAAGCAAGACACAGAATAACTATCTTCCAGATGCATAAAGAAAGTGCCCTGACTGTGATTCAAATGCAGAATGAAGCTCTTCTGCCAATTCTCCCACCCTTCATAGTAAATTTTCAGTAGATGTATAAAGGGTGACTGGGTGCCTATTTGCACTTCAGTAATAGCATCCCTTGCTACCTCATTCACAGTTGGTGCCCCCTTCTAGGACCCTGAAGAATAAGAATGGGAGAGAGCAGGCCATGTGCAACTAACCCAGCAGTGTAACCATTGAAGATTTTGTATCTACTAGAACTGTAAGGATAAAAAAATATCATCTGTGACCAGTGAGTGTATCACAAGGTGAAGCAGGGGTCATTTACACAGCTATTCAAGGGGTTTCTGCTGAACAGTTAAACTATCAATATATGTAATCTGTGCACCTATCAAAATTTAAGCAACTTCATTATCCTAGTCAGTCAGCTTATGCAGATGTTCAAAGTGCATAAGAAATTGTGAAAAGACACAATCATTCATTTATTCTTTGAAAAACCAATTAACTGGTCTATTATGCATCTTTAACACTTTTCAGTCCAATGAATGGGATATAATACTTCCGTTCATTTGATCCATGGTTATTGTTATGGTACAGTGTCCAGGAACATGGGAATGATATGAGCAAACATATGTGGACTTCTACTAGAAAAGTTCCACTGTCAAAAAGGAGAAGCTAGCTTTTAAACAGAAAATAATAGAACTGTTGCAGTCCAAGCAACAAATGAAACTTCAGCCTGTGTGGAGTTTCCTCCCGAAGCAATCGAATTCCATGTTTAGATACTGATCAGAATATCATTGTTTATAAATTAATCTAGAATAGTGTGAACTGGAGGCAGTCGTGCATACCTCAGCCATGGTGTTTTGGATGGGTGTCCCAGTCAGCAACAGTCTATTTCGGCACTGGAACTGAAGCAGAATTTTCCAACGAACGCTGAAATACCAATGTTATTTTAATTAATAGAATTTAGCTATGATAAAAAGTGGCAAGAAAGAACATTAATGTATAAGGTATCTTCTAGGAAAGAGAAAAGACTACATACAATTTTCTTATCATGTTAAGTCCCTACATTCCATTTCTTTCCTGAAATTATTCTAGAGATGCAACATAATGTAAACCATACGTTGTGATATAAACAAATGATGTCAAACATTACTGAGCCATAAATACATATGACCACTAGCTTCAGTCATGACCCGCAGTCTGTAGTGGTGCTGCCATTGAAGATGGTATAGAGGCTGCAGCTAGTGAAGAACGTGGCTGCTGGCTGGCGAGGCAGCCTATGGGATCAAGCATTGCTGCTCCTGAAAGCACTGCACTCGCTGTCAGTGAACTACCAGGCACAATGTGAAGTGTTAGTACTAGCATACAAATCCCTTTGTGGCTTGGGACCCAAGTACGTAACAGATTGCCTTCCCCAATACAACCATCTCAGACTCTATTGAGTGGCAGGTGAGGCCACAACTTAGTTGGAGCTAACACAGGATAGGGCTTTCTCAGTGGTGGTTCCCCATTTATGGAATGCTTCCCCTGGTCTGTCTCCCTCATTACTTTCAGAAGGAATTTAAAAACAATCCTGCTTACCCAGGCATTTAATGGCAAATAGATAATGTCCCTGGCAACATTGAAATCATTGGCTGAGATAATGTTTTTAACCATCTTTAGATATGTGTTTTGTTAGCTATGTGTTTCCTAACCTGAGCTCCTTTGGAAGGCAGGTTGGGATATGAACTGAATTAATGAAATAAATATAATAATAATACCCAGGGATTGTACAATGTGCTACAGAAGACTCAAAGGGAAACATCTCCTCTGGGGAGCCGGGCTTACTGCATTACAGGTTCAGTCAAAATTTATAGCCTTGGATCTAGCGCTTGCAGGGACAGCGTCTTCTATGGCTGCTTCAGCAAGACTTTGAGAGCTCTCCAAGGTCCTGCAGGTACCATGGATTCCTGATATCGACGATTGCCTTGGGACGCTGCCAGGTTTCTCACAGGAAAAGGACAGCTTTCCATTCAAGTAGGTTAACACAACCCCAAGAATTTCAAGGAGGTGGGTGCTACCGATCAATTCCAACTTAATAACTTGTTAAAGATTTTGGGAAAACATTCTTGCATCCAGTTGAAAAAGTGAATTTTCCAGTTACAAACTGCCCAGATTCCTTTGGGATGATAAAGTATGGGAACCTTGATGTATGCATCACAATTTATATACTTCTTGATTGTGTTTTGTTTTTTAAAAAATAACCTTCTAAGCTATCACAACAGTGCATATCCAAACTAGGTTGATCAGAGATGGAAAAATATATAAGAAAAGAACTACAATATTAAGCATTTTAAGATAGTATATATCTGTTACAGCCATGTTTCCTATTCTATCACTGGCCAAAAAGACTCAGATTTTTTTTCTTTCTTACCTAGAGCTACTCTTCAGTGCCTGTGCCTCATCTAGCACCATGTATTGCCACTTAACCCGTTGAAAATACTTCACATCTTGGACTACAAGCTGATAACTGGTGATCACGACATGGAAAGGAGCATCCTGAGTATACAAAGTCTTCTGCAATTATGAAAACATATTTTAGTTATATAAACTGAGTTGACTCATCAGTGATACTAAGGTAAAATATCTGTATTCAGGAACTCGCACATTACATTCCCCATCTTTTTCCATATTCAATGCCTGAGTTGGGGGGGGGGATCCACACACCACATTAAGAACATTGTTGGTACTCTCCCTTAAAATTATACCTCCAGTTTCCTAACTAGAAGGTCCTGTATCATAATGATTTAAACCATGACATGTAGTTCTACCACTCAGGAAGCAATCTGCTTGCTATAGTCAGACTTCCACTTACATTGTTCTAAGAGTCAGGGCCAAAGTAGTAGCAGATTCTTTCATAAGAAGAGCTCAAATGTTGGAGCAGGGAAGGGAAATTCCCAGAAGTTCAGAACAGAAGCACACAAGGAAAGGGGAGAGTAGGCATAGATGCTGCAACTGGGCAAGAGAAATATAGGATATATAATGTGGACTAGTGAGAACTGGGACTTAAGAAGAAGGAGGAGAGTTTGGATTTGATATCCTGCTTTATCACTACCTGAAGGAGTCTCAAAGCGGCTAACAATCTCCTTTTCCCCTCCTCCCCCACAACAAACACTCTGTGAGGTGAGTGAGACTGAGAGACTTCAGAGAAGTGTGACTGGCCCAAGGTCACCCAGCAGCTGCATGTGGAGGAGCGGGGACGCGAACCCAGTTCACCAGATTACGAGTCCACTGCTCTTAACCACTACACTAGGAAGGCTGTACAATATGTGATTTAGAAGAAACACAGAGGTAGGTATCGTAGGGAAGATGAATATTAAACTAAAACTGAAAATGGGAACAGCATAATGGATATGTTTATGATTTGTCCTTTGGGAATATATCATCATAGGCTATTGTAAATGAACAAGAACCAGAAAGGCTTTTAAAATAAGTTAAGACGTACCTGACTCCAGAATTTCCTGATCACTTTTCGGTCATGGGGATTTCCCCAGTAAGGTAGCACCTAGGACGGACACACAAACAAATGTCAAGAAAGTGCTTTCTAACAAATCTGAAGAGAAGTGGAACTATTTCATATTTCTGCCCTATGCAAAACACACCCCCCCAAAAAAAATCCAATAAAGCATTATTTTTCACGAAGGCAGGCTGAAATCAGAGTGCAATTCATAGCGTAAAAGAAAAATGCAACAATATTTCTAAAAGCACAGATCCTATTTGTAAGATATTGCTGAACAAGAATGGAAAGTTGATTCCAGCGTCAATTTCTCTTTCAAATGTAATAGATTTAATGCTACGCTGCCATCTGCTGATAAAGATAGGAACAGCATAAAACAAATTATGAGTATGTATGTATGTATAGTTTCTCTAGAGCGCTTTTCACTTTATGCAACAACCACATGAAAATTGTGGGTTTTTTCTGATAAATATGTAAAGTGAACTAAAGACATACAGTCCCCAAACAGACATTGTACACATACTTGCTTAGGGACATGTTCTCTTCCCTCCACACTTTACATGTTTACCATGAAAAATGGTGGTAAAGCCAGCTGCCATGTATCGTGTGAAACAGCTTTAGATAACAACAACAACAACAACAACAACAACAACAACAATAATAATAATAATTTATTTATACCCCACCTATCTGGCTGGGTTTCCCCAGCCACTCTGGGCAGCTCACAACAGAATATTAAAAACACGGTAAAACTAGGAGGACTTGTGGGCTAGGCACTGGGGTGATGGGACAATCCTCTCAGTGTACTAAGACCCCAAAAATGTTATTCACTAGAAATTTAGAAAACAATTAGGAAATTACAGCTAAAAAGCCCGGTGAGAAGAGGGGAGAGACTGAACCAACATGCTTATTACAGCCTATCAATTTTCAGTCTAAGCATATAATAGAACAGGAAGTTAACTGTGGAATCATTTCCAGAATGCTTGTTACCTTAAACCTAGGAACAAATCTGGCAAACTCCTGATGCCAGTTGTTTAGGGTGGAAGCCGGTGAAATAATTAAAAAGGGTCCCCAGATGTTCTCTCTCTGGAAAAGGAAAGAGAACTTAACTGAATGAAGCAATATCCGAAACAACATTAAAATGAAATATTGTGTATAAAGAAAACATATAGGCTATGAGGAAATTATGTAGAAAAATATATACAAAGCTCAGTTAAGATAATGGAGCAGTAGGGCTATAGATCAGGAGGGGGTTGACTAATACCAGGGACACAAAAAACATGCAGCTATATAAGTCCTGGAAAGACACTTAAGAATAGCAAAGCAGGTCAATTCGGGTGATGTATGGACTGAAAATAAATGTCAATGCAGAAATGTATAAAATGAGGTCCATTTAAACCACATATTAAGTACGGGGGTTGTAAAAGACAAAGAATCCACCTACCTCAGCCAGATGTGCTAACAAGGCAATACTCTGCACTGTTTTACCCAACCCCATTTCGTCTGCCAGGATTCCATTGATGCCCTGCAAGAGTTACAGCCACTTTACAAGTCTAGTCTGAGCAAGACAGACTAAAATGCCCAAGAGACAGCTAGAAAATCAGTAAATTACTGAAGCCCGCTATCCTCCCTCAAACATCAGATGCCACTTGAAAGTTCCATAATATCTGATAATCTGTCAGGTTATCCCTGATACCATATCTTGAATTGTCCTTATAAAGGATTTTTTAATTACAAGACTATCCAGTTCATCTATTTGCAATGCATCCCTTTCCCTGGAGCTCTACCAAGAAGGAACTCGTCTCAAAGAACTAGCTTCAAGTAACAATTGCATACCTGCTCATAAAGGTTGGCCAGCCAGTTCATGCCTTTCAGCTGGTAACCTTTCAGTTTACCATTGAAAATGGTAGGCTGTGGAATGTCCTCTCCTGCCCGGATAGATGGGTTGGCAAGGCTGTAACTTTCTCCGAAGCCGCTGCCAGACCTGTTGGCAGCCCGAAGGGCTGCTGCCCGACTCTCTTTAGCATCTTCATCAAATGACCGTGTCTAAACAAGGAGAAGTGTGGGGGGGGAAAGGTTATAACCCCATGAAAACTTAGTGGAACGCCATTACTGTTGGGAAACTGTGTACGTGCAGCTACTCACACAGAGTCAATTAAGGTTTGGCAGACAGCCAGAAGGCAATCTGAAGGAATAAGTCTGCCTGGTGATAACAGAGACATGGAGACCGCTCCCTGATTGGTCAAGCTCTCTCAAGGGAGTGATAATTAATGGCCTACTAACTGTTAGTTCAGTGGTTCGTATAGGAGTTGTGTTCCGTGTCAGAGAGAGCTTGCTAGAGATCCGTGTTCTGTTCCTGTAAATAGTCCACTGTATATAATAAACACCTAACTACAAGTTCCTAGTTCCTGCTTCGTCTATCCTGTCTGCAGCCAAGTCGCCAATTGCTTCCGTAGTTTCTGCGTGTACTCTGCTAGGTCTGGCTAAGGTCCTGCAACTAGTCAGAAAGTTGCGAAACACCAATAGGTTTTGCCAATAATTACCAGTGGACAAACCTCAGTAGTTTCTACATGAGTGTAATCAGGGTTAACAAACTCACTGTAGTAATATTTCCCTTTAACTTGCTCTTGCTTTAAAATCAGCAGAAGCCAGCTTTCTCATAGTTTTGATAGACACAGAATTCCAAATTAACAAATTTATGGTGCACAGACTAAACCTAGTAATATATAAGGCAAGCTTAAGTGTCCTGTTCCCATTCCAGGCACTCCAGGACACTTTACTCCATTGTTCTTTCTGAGTACTTACCTGGGCCTGATGAATCCGATAGGCATCTTCGGCATTCTTCAGGGCCTGAGCCTTGTAGTAGTTACTATCTGAAAATACCACCAAATTTGCAAAAAGAAAAAAGTCCACATGGATTAATCTCAAGGCTTCATAGATAGGCCAAACACACACATATCCAAAAGCCTGCAATACAGCAAGACTTGCATGATTCACCTAAATCATGCTGGAGTTCAGTTTAACTCCTTACCATAATCCTCCTGGGTAATGTTGACTACGACTCCTCCACCAATATCAATCTGCCTCTGGATAGAACTGTCTTCAAGTTTCCTCAAGATTTCCTCCTGGATTCCATCGTGTCCTATATCACGTTTGCGGCTCATGAAGTGGGCATACAGCTCAGTCTGCGTAATCAGGAAGTTAAGTTTTCTCTGCTGCCGTTTAGCCTAAAATAAGTTACAGAAGGACACAGGAAATCACAAAAGTGCTCACTTTGGCAGGACATATACTGAAGTAACCTCAAAAGAAGTTAAAACAATACAGGTAATTTTGATGACTGTAAACATATTGAAGACTTAATTATATCCTTGTACCATTTTAATATCAAAGTGATGACAATCACCCTACCACTGCAAAAACATTTGTTCTTTCTTGCTAACCTTGAGATGTAATCTTATGAAATGGCACCATATGTTTATAAGGTAAAGCAGACCTTGGCTGGATTATACAAAATCAAAACAGAAAATAGAGCTTAGACAGCAACAAAAAGAAAAGACATTTTCAGCTGAAGAGAAACACAGCCAGGCCTTTCTTTAGTGGCTTGCATATTGACACAGTAAAAGGTTCCTGTTCAGGACATGTAAAGAGATCTTATTTCTCAACTAAAGGAAACCGGCACCCTAGCACAGAAAATTGTGCTATGCAGGCCAAAGGACACCTGGCTTATCAGATGCACTTAAAAAGCAGCACTCAGATCTGCACCAATGTATCCACAAATATCAAAAGTATTTCCCCCAGGTCAAGGGTGAGGAAAGGTTGGCCCACCAGTTGCTGTTGGCTGAGTTGGAGTTCAAGAACACCTGGACAGCCACAGGTAATCTAAAAGTAACAGCGTGAGGAGCATGGCATTTTTTTTAGCTGGGAATTAAACTAAAGCAGTTGGAACACAATCATAAAAAGAAATAAAAACTGGTCTGCAGTGAATTTGATTCTCTTGACATACAGAGCACTGCAACGACTGCAGTTGATATCTCAGTTCTGCTGCCTAAATTTTCATCTATCTGTGATATAGTCTCACCTCTCTCATCTCCTCATCCAGTTTGCGCTGCTCCAGTGCCTCCTTCTCGGCTCTTTTGCGGTGTTCTTTCTCCACTTTCTCGTATTTCTTCCAGTAAAGAAGCATCTCCTTCGTAAGGCGGCGTGCCCTCGGTAGAGTCTCCTTGCAGTTCTTTTGGGCTTGGATAGCTGCTCGACGCACCTCTCTCATACACTGGTGAGCCAGCTACCAAGGGAAAGGTAGGAAAGATGGAATTTGAAGACTGCTTGGAAATGGCAGCTAATTCAAAATACTGCTACAAGATAGCAAACTGAGACTGAGCATTAAGAGTCATATTATGCCTGTGCTTCATCAACTTCACTGGCACCAGGTTAGCTTACAGGCCAAATTCAAAGTGCTAGTTTGACCTATAAAACTTTTCACAGCTTGGAACCAGTGTATCAGAAATATTGCCTGTCTCCACACAATCAAGATATCTTTTTCTGGGTTCCCTTGTGATCTGAGGTGCAACAGGTGGATACGGGGGGAAAGGTTTTGTTTTTTGTTCTTTTAGTAATGGCACAAAACTGTGGAATGCTCTCTAGGAGGCTTGCCTAGTGCCTATGTTGATGGCATTTTGGGGCCAGACAACCCCCTTTTAATTTTTCCAACATCTTTACTTCAATTGCTTTATCTGCTTCTTTTGGTCTTTAGGGGTTTTATGTTTCTAATGATTTGGGTTGTATTTCTGATTTAGTATTGTAAGCCCCCAGTAATTTGAATGATGGCATATAAACGCCTATAATACAAAAACAGAATAATATAGAGTGAAAGGTTTCACATAAAGTAAATTTCCATCTTGTCTTAGTATTAAAATAATGTATGATGCATCTTACCTTTCGACTGTTGCTTAAAAACAGGTTTCGGGCAGAAACTTTTTGTTTGTATGCCTAAAAAGAAGAAAGAGTTAAAGAAATCATTGCCTGGTCACATTCTTAAAAAGTAATTTTATTGTTTCCAAATATATCTGAATTACAATATCAAAGTGTGAGTTGTATAGACAGCTGACTATTATAAAAATGATCAAGCTATGGGGCATGCTACAGCTAAATAAAACACAAATAAACACGCCCCCCCCCCCTGAAAAGCTATGATCAATATCACCAAGGAAGTATGTTGTTTGCCTTTAATTCCTGAAAACAATTTTTCCTCCTATGGTAAAACGAGTAAGTTTTTCTCTACAGTTGTTACTCTCTTTCTTTTAACTACATAGGTGGTGGATGACCTTGCTCCAAAAAGCGTGGTCGAAATTAAAGGGTTTAGGAACTCAGACCGGACCAAATTTCATAAAATCATACACAGACTTTACTAAAACAAAACTCTACAAGAGAGAAAAACTCCAAATAATTACACACGATTAAAATAGCTCAGAAGGTAAGAAAACAACAAGCACTAACTTATCCAGCTACTTAACAAATGCTTACACTGAAATCTCAGTAGGCTGGGCAACAGAACAAGTTGCTGTCAAAAGCCCAAATAGACTCTGACCTCGGCTTCGCTGGCTGCCGAGAGCTCCCACCAACACAGGTTTTATGGGAACATAGATTATGGACATTCACATCTTCCACCCAATTACCTTGTGACACCAGCCTTGAAGCCTTAACAGGAGACCGCTGTATGTAAGCTCATTATTCCTGAGGTTCTAGCCCATTCCCGTAAACCAGTCCACAACACAGACAATTATTTCTTCTCTAGATCAACTCATAGTTGTATCACATCAAAGATATTCGATTTTACATGCGCTCCCCCTCTCTTTCACTCTTTTTGCCATATTGATTTACTGCTTCTTTCTAGGCAAGCAAAACGTTGCTTATTTAAATCAAAACCAGAAAAGTAACTGTAACAAGTAAATACACCCTAAAAGCAGATGTCTATAAACCAATATTGCCAACCTTGGAAATGACCAATAATAAAATATTAGCCTGGCCTTCTACCTTACCTTATTCTGCATGCCTGCATTTGCTGACTCTCTGCCAGCCAAACGTATTTATTTCACTCTTTTTTACTAACAAAACTCACCTTTGGCAGCTCCTTTTTAGCAATGCTCAGCCATACTTTGCGCCGGCGAGCATTTAACTGTTCAACGGATAAATGCTTTTTCTTGGACCCTGGCGGAGGGGTATCATGAGAGAACTTGGCAAAAACTTTGGTCTGGTGGTGATGGCGCCGTGGAGACTCCTCAGACGAGAGCTCTTCATCCCGTCTCTTCTTTTTTTTCACCTTTTTCAACTTAGCTTCATGAGAACAGAAGGCCACACGATTAGTCTACCCCTCAACAAACTGAGGCCACTATTATTCATTCATGATTTTTCCTCTATTCCTTCCAATAACAGATAGCAAGAGGACTGCTTTGAAACCTGCTCCTGATCCTATGTATAACATCTGCTAATTCTTTTCTGCAGGTCTTCTCACTTCATTTTTATACAGAATCCTCACTTCATTTTTATACAGAAATATCTTGTGAGAACAAAATAACTTTTCCTCTCTCAAATGGAATTCTATTCACAAACATTAAAGAATATAAACACAATGAGGAAGTCAAATTGAGCCAAATTTGCAAAGATTTGGCGAAGATGCATCAAGATGTTACATATACCTGTATAATTAGCTAGAATGTGAATGCAAGTCTGTGAAGTAAGTATAGAATAATACACTGGGGGAGGATGAGTGAAAGAAAAAACAAAAGTTTAGAAGCCCAGTAGGAAAGGAAGTCTACCCTTATAAAATCTTAAGAAAGTAAATCAATACAATGCTTACCTTTTAATTTTTTTTCCTCTTTGAACTTCTTTTTCTTGGGTCCTATGAGATGGCGCTGTTGTTCATAGTAAGGATCATATGTGGAGAGCAAACCTGCGCTGTAATACTGGTACTGCTGTAACTGAAGCAGACTTCAATTGTTATAAATATGTATTTGACTTAAGAAATGCTTTAAGGAACACAGCTGAGCTGGAAAATTCGCAGTATGAAAAAGAAAGCTGTGCTCTTTTGTATGTCACACTAAGAAGCTGGGATGAGCAAAATAATGACCCCATGCATCTTTGCAAGCCAGCAATGTTTTCACTGCTCTAAAAACAAAGACTAACCGGATGAAAAGCCTGGTTTTTGTACTGAAGGGCACAGGTTAGCAAAGCTACTCTCCAAAATTGTTGGCAAAGGACAAATTACGCTCTAGAATTTTACCTCTTTATCCTTGCTGTATTTACTTCGATGCAGTTTCTTGTACTTGTGCAGTCGCAGCATATTGTGAAGTTCTTCCCTAGATAGAGTAAATTCATCCCCTTCTTCCCCATCCTCATCAGTTGCTGACTCACTGTCACTGGAGTCATCACTCAGGAGAATGCTCTGCCAAAATCGAGAGGATTTTAGGTCAGTAAGAGCGAGCAAAATGACCAGATTAGTGTACAATAATTCCTTTAAAATGCCTGCCTGTTTATGACTGTTAGGTTATGAAAAAAATGAGCAACACATTCTACAGACCATCCTAAGCCCCTTAATATTTCCTAACATATCTTCCCACTACCTCACCTGCTTGCAATCCTAAGAAACTTTTATTATAATAATAAGAAAAAATAGTATACACTCTCAATGCGCGCCAAGATTTTGAAACTCCTATGTCAGGATTCCCTATCTCCACCCTGCCCAACTTGTTCAGGGATTCTTTTGATGCCTTTCTCATCACTCTAGGGCAGACCAGGTAAATAATGCTACAATTCTATGCAAGCAACTGCACAGATAATGTAGGATTAACAAAATTATTTCCTCTCAATTCCATGAAGCCAAGAAGTTTTAACAGATGGTGAGGTGCTTTGACAGCTTCACTGTTTTTAGAAAGCTTTCTGATTTCTGTAACTACATCATAAAATAACGCAACAGAAGTATCAATGTAAACACATTTGGATTTCAGAATAATAAAACTCCCACCTTTAGCCACTTTCTGCTTTTCTTCAATTTGGAAAAGTTGTATAGATTCCCTTTTTCTGCTTTTGGCTCTGTTTAAACAACACAGTAAGATAAAAAATGGTATTATTCACATGAGTCAACAGGTTTAGCTGAAGAAAGCATTTATCCCTGCACTAAGTACAAAAAATACATACGCAGTGATAACAAAGGCTACTAGCCTTCATCCATTTGAAAGTGGATAGTTTAAATTCTGCATTTGGCAAGCATATTGGTCCTTGTCCCAAACACATGTCTACTGTCAAAGGCCAGTTTACTCACCCAATGCAAACTAAAATTAATTGTAAAGCACATTTACCAGATTGCAACACTCCATTGAGCGAATGTGTGTTTAACATTCCAGAACTTCCTGCTCCGGATGACTCCCCAAGCAAGGAGCTTGTAGGTTCTTCTTTAACTTGTATCAAGGGACCCCCAGGCTGAGGAAGCAGAGGATTGTCATCCAATCCATCTTCACTTTCATCACTACAATAAAGTTTAAAATAATAGTTATCACAGCGAAAAGGACAAGTGATGTATAAATAAACAACCATGCTCCATCTCAGCAAATGCTCATTCTGCTCCATCCCCAACACTGGATATATTTGTAATTATATTATGAACAAGATTAAGCCATTTATAATTTCATATATAAAAAAAGAGTACAATTTAAAATTCTAACTAAATTAAACATGATACATTTCATGCTCTTAAAGTATTTTAGGAAGTTCAGGTTTTATAAGGAAGTTAAGCATGTTTCAGTTTTGCACAATATTTCCTTTTCCTCCCAAAAGGAAACCTTTTGCTCCCTTGGCTTCAAATTTTTCAGAAATTTTACATAAACCACTCATATGTGAAAACTAATTATAAATTTAGTTGCATATTTTTTTTAAAAAACCCCACCTACTGTCATTCTCTACTACAGTTTAAAGGCCAAACCAGATGAGGAAATGTTAATCCCCACCGAGTTCTGCTGATTAAAATCTGAAGTTGCTGTTTGACCCCCTTCATCTGCATCACCCTCCACTATATCCCAAGAGTCCCTTAACCCTTAGGAACTGATCTTTTTTGGGGGGGCGGGGAGGGAGAACTGGGGCATGCAGAGGGGGAAAAGCTCCTTTCCATAAAATTAAGCCAGAATTCAAGCCAGGGTTCATAGCATCCCACACACTTAAGATGAAAACAATAAGATGCCTCTTTTCTACGTGCTCCCAAATCGAAGTAAGTACCTGGATACATTCCTGTTGAAGATAGCGGAAGTCTGACGTAAAAAATGATCCAACCGCAGAGCTTTCTCCAGATATCGCAAATAGAGGGGCGTTGCCAGCTCTGTGCAGTTGCCATCCTCTCTTGCACCCAGCTCTGAGGCCATAGAACAAGCCTCTCCTCATGCAAAGTTGCCTCCTAACGCACAGCTGTTCCAAAACAGAATGTAACTATTTAGCATAATCACATCTATTTGAAGTCCTTGTTTTTTTAAAAAATGTTGTTGTTGTTGTGAATTCAATTTCTATACTGCCCTTCATCCTAGGATGACAGGGTGGTTTACAATATACATAAAAAGTAATAAACTCACAGGATCCTGTTTCTTTTCATGGGGATTTTTTTATTGTGGCTTATATTGGGTTGACCTGTAATGCCTGTCAATGCATGTGCTTGGAAGATCAGGTTGCTCATGTCCTATTTAAATTCTATACCAATAGTCATTGTGGTATATTTCATTGTGGAGTTACATTTTCAAAGTTTGTTCCCATGACTGTCCAACTGGGTAACAGAACAAAATTAAACATCATGTGATTAAAAAAAATGTTCAAATGCTGAAGCCTGTGAGCGTGGGATTCGGCGGGCACCTTTTGCGCCTCCCCCACTCGCGGGGAACCCCGGTTTTTGGGGCTCCGGAGCGACGTGGGGTGAGTGGCGCGGTGCATCAAATCGTCTGCTTCTTCCACGGAGCCAAGCCGCATAGCTGTTGCCGGAGAGCGCTGACCTTTTCCTGTGGACAATTTGACTTTAAAGTAATTACCCGTGAGTAGAGCGGAAGAATTGGATTTCTAAATGTTTAATTTGGTACCGTAACGGGGAGGTTCAAAACAGGAAGTCCGCCTCCCCCTTTTGTAAATAGACTGAGGCAATGAAGTTGTAAGCTGGAGTCCTGGAAGGTCTTTTGTAAAAGATCAAAGTTCCAACGGTAAAGAACATTAAACCCCCTCTTGGAGGCAGGAGAAGAGAGGGGGAGTTGCGGATTGAGTATGCCTGCGGGAGAGAGCGAAGAGACTTAAAACACCGCCGCTCTGACCCTGGAAACGGGCTGCTAGTAGGACTGACGTCTTTTGGAATGTTCATTGACAGCGCTTAGAACGTTCATTGACAGCTAGTTAAATAAGAGAAATACATTGTTTCTACTGTCTCCAGCTGCTTTAAAAAGGAGTAAAAGTAACTGAAAATTGAAACTAATTTGAAACTAATTTTGGATTGTTTAAAAGAGGATACTATTGACTATTACAAATAGAAACTGTTTCCCCCTAGTGGAAGCCTTTGAAACCAGTTGCTTTACAAGAGTTGGACTAGGGGAATTTCCAGCTGCAAGTTAAAAACCGTGAGACTCTGGGACTGACCTTGAATCTTTTAAATGTTATGGTAAATGGAAGAGGAAAAACAGATTAGTCAACTGCTGACAAAACATTAAGGTCTGAGAGGACTTGGTAACAATCCAGGAGAGGTCTATCATTAGGCCCTCCTGTTCTTTCTGTTGCTGTCTTTGTGCTAGTATATTTAAAACTAAGAGGAATGTCGACAGAAGAGGCTTTAGTGGCTGCATTATATAAGATAAATGACTCATTGGATCAGCTTCACAGGAAAATGGACACGATAAATGCGAAAGTGGATGTTTCAATTACTAAAATTAACTTAAATACAGAAAGTATAAATAATACCAATACAGAAACCACCCAGAAATCGATACAGGAACCTACTTTGATACGGCAAACTGCGGAGGAAGCCAGGGAAAAAGCCGTTGTTGCTGAATGTGGAGTAACACAACTGGAGAGAAAGAGAAAGAGAGCCCCAGCCCTACAGAGGCAACTCGAGGAACATAAGTTGACGCTCGCTATGACTGAACTTAAAGAAAAACAGACGAATTTGAGGATTAGAGTTCACCTTTGGTGGACATGCCCAAGGATTAAGACACTCTGGGAGATGATTCATAATGAAATGAAAAAGGTATTTAAATATACCCTTTTGAAGAAACCAGAGGCCTTTCTCCTGGGCATGGTCGGCCAATTGGTGTTAAAGAAGGATAGAATTTGTTTCATGTATGCCACAATAGCAGCAAGAATACTCATTGTGAAGTACTGGAAGACACAAGATTTATCCAGTCAGGAAGAATGGCAGATGAAGTTGATGGACTATATAGAATTGGCGGAAACGACTGGCAGAAATCCGAGACCAGGGAGAAGAGCTGGTGGAAGAAGACTGGAAAAAGTTTAAGACTATTTATAGAAATATTGTAAAAACAATGAATGTCAGAAAAATGTTGGAATGAAGTTATATGGCTTAGTAGAAATGCTATAAGGAATCAAGTATAAATAGATTAATAGTGTATTAAAGGGAAAATAAGGTTAGAATATGTTAAGATAATTATAGGATAGAAAACAGAGGAAGATGGAAAGGAATTGCTGAAATAATTAATAGAAGTGGAAAACAAAAAGGGAGGTGTGAGGAGGTCGTGGAAATAAGGGAATGAAAGATTGAAATTGTTATGGTTTGTGTCTTGCTTTGTTAGTTTCATGTTTTTCTTTTTTTTCTTTTTTTCTTTCTTTTTTGTCTTTCTGTTTTGTTGTGTTTAAATGGTTGAAAATTAATAAATATTATTTTTTAAAAAATGTTCAAATGCTTTCACTTAAGTCTTATCAAATTTTATCAGCAGGGATTATAATTCAGGTTGCAAAAAAATAAATAAATTGTTTTTTATTTGGCCTTGCATCTAGCCCCCTAGCAAAGAGATGAGAAAGACCTGGCCTGAAACTGAGGAATATCAGTGGTTTTCTAATAGCATCCTTGGGAACCCAGGGGCTTCTTGGAAGGGTTTGTCAAGGAGAAGTAACAAAAGGAGGTTTGCCCAACCCTGTTGATCTTCCCCTGCAATGTACAGCTGCAGGAAAGAGATAGGTGTATCCTAGTTTATAAACTCAGTTCATATGAGGTAACTGTGAGACCAAGCCGACACATTGTGTGAACTAAACATGCACTCTAGAACAATGCCGGAGAATCCCACAGAGGGGTCCATCGCAAACAAGTCAACGAGGGAACTGTTCCACTGACTTTTAAAAAATCATCTATCTGACGTGATATGAGAGCTCTTTATTCTAGAATCTAATATAAGTAGTTCATTGACAGGGATACATAATAGCACAAGTGATACAGGAATAATGTAGGAAAATGTGAATTGGCTTGCTATACATCTAGTGTTCCAACATCTAGTGTTCCAAGACCATGGTAAGCCACTGCAACAGTTGCATAATGCAGCATACAAGCTCACATATCTCAACAGTTCTCGTGATACTTATTAATTTAACAGGACTTATGCTAGTTCTTCTTGCATTTGCCAGCAGATAACACAATACAGATGTCACAACTTATTTATGACATTAACACTGAAGTTCAGAAATTGCATACTGCTGACTTCACGTCTCACAGAATATATAATCGCAAAAGTAAACACAAGTTTCAATATTATTTTATTATTTATTAATTAACTTTTTCTGCTGTTTAATATAATAAAAGTCTCTAAGCAGTTTACATCAAAACAATATGCATCTGCATTAGCCAAATAAAACTGAACAGTTTTTATTTTACCTAAATGTTACCAGAGCATAGACAACAGAAGTTAAGCTATCTCTGTCCAGATAGGGGAGCAGCTGGGCCACTAGCCAAAGCTGATGAAGGCACTCCGTGCCATTGAAGCCACCTGAGCCTCAAGCAACAGCAAAGACTCCAGGAGTACCCCCAAGCTACTTACCCGCTCCTTCAGAGGGAGTGCAACCCCATCAGGAGCAGGCAACCTCTCACCCATCCGGTCTAAGCAATCACCCACTAACAGTGCCTAAGTCATATCAGGATTGAGCTTCAGTTTTTTGGCTCTCATCCCATCCATTCTTGAGGCAGGCCAGCAATCCAGCACATCCAATGCCACACATGCAGATGTAAAGGAGAAATAGAGCTGTGTTTCATCAGCATATTGCTGACAGTGTACAGTGGTACCTCGGGTTACATACGCTTCAAGTTACATACACTTCAGGTTACAGACTCCGCTAACCCAGGAATATTACCTCGGGTTAAGAACTTTGCTTCAGGATGAGAACAGAAATTGTGCAGCGGCAGTGCAGTAGCAGCAGGAGGCCCCATTAGCTAAAGTGCTGCTTCAGGTTAAGAACAGTTTCAGGTTAAGTATGGACCTCCGGAACGAATTAAGTACTTAACCTGAGGTACCACTGTACTCCAAAACTCTGGGTGAACCCACTCAGCAGTTTCATGTAGACATTAAACATCATAGAGGGAGAAAATCAACCCTGTGGAACCCCACATTGAAGGCTCCATGGGGCCGCAGAGCACACTCCAAATATCACCCTCTGGAAACGACCACCAAAGTAGGACCGGAACCACTGCAAAGTGGTGCCACCCCCACCCCACGACAGTCACTCCACAAGTATACCATGGTTGGTTGTATCAAAAGCCACTGAGAGGTCGAGAATTAACAGGAAAGTATTTTCCCCGTCTTTCTTTTGACAGAGGTCGTCATACAAGGTGACCAAAACAGTTTCTGTGCCAAAACTGGGCCTAAACCCTGACTGCAATGGATCTAGAAAATCAGTTTCCTCCAAGAGTGCCTGGTTCTGGTCCGTGACCACCAGCTCAAAACCCTATAATAATGACTGGAAATAATGACCTTGGTTCCCAAAAGGTTTAGTTGTCAAACAAATCTGCTCCCAAATGCTGCAAACCCGGAAGTAAGTGTTCTGGTGTGTGAATGATTTTCAGAAGCCAAACGTCTGACACGTTTCCCACTTGAGGGCAGGAAGCTCCTGCAGCCAATCGGAAGCCGTGCCTTGTTTTTCGAATAGTTTCGGGAGTCAAACGGACTCCCGGAACAGATTAAGTTTGAGAACCAAGGTACCACTGTATTATACTTAGGAGCTGTGGGGTAAGGATTTGCTGTGCAGAAAGGAGGAGCTCTATTAGCTAGGAATTCCCAAATGCAAGTAAGCAGGCGCTTACCAGACAATGAAATGCAAAAGTTCACTTTGCTGGTGAACTAGAGGCGCTCTGCTCTAACTACTGCTAACTAAACATTCATGATTCCTTTTTTTTCCGTTCCAGAATCTGTGCTCTGGCACATGACCTGCACAATAACAAGTTCCACCACAACTCCTTGCAAAGGGTGAATACTGTATGACTGACATTATCTTTCCCTAATAGCTGACTCTTCTAATGGAGATATCAGGGGAACCAAACGCAGGAAGAAAGCAGAGAGCCTGATAAACAGTAGCTGGGAAGATGTTTCTTCCTCTCCATTCCACCACAGTCACATAGATCTGTGGATGAAGACCTGTTGATGGTGCCCTGTGGTAAACCATGCTGTGTCTCCAGCACATGCTTTTAGTATTGTGTCTAGTATTTTTAGAAGGGAAGCAATCCTCAATCAACACCATTATGTTCTCAACATCCGTGGGAAACTTTACTTTTCTTCCAAGCCTTCCCAAATTGGTCTATTTCATTTCTGCCATTTTAAAATTCATGTTGATTTTTATATTTTAAAACTGCTTTTGTATTAAGTATTTAATTCTATTTTTGTAGACTCCAAATATATACTCTGAATATAGAGTAGTGTAATAAATTCTTTTAAACAGATAGTGTTTTGAGCCCAGCACATTTCAAATATCAACCCTTCTGCAGGAACACTATGCAATATTAAACTATACTAAAAACTCCATCAGATCCAGACACTATGGGCAATGCTCAGGCCAGGGATAGTGAGAGTTGCAGTCCAGCAACATCTGGGTTGTGGAAGGCTCTTATAACCCTTTTATATAAAAAATAATAAAAATAAAACTAATCAGGGGCACCCCAGTAGGAAAGAGAGCAACTAAATGATGGTTGTCTCTCTCAATAGCTAGCTTATCTACCTATAATGAGCACTTAGGCAAAGGTACTATTATGCAACTGCGGATTATCGTTCTGTATTCTGCCCACTCCTATACAGAACAGACCATAAGCAAATCTTGCAGAACAACCAGCAGCAAACATTTGCACATCCAGCTGTTCTTATGTGGGGTTGCCACATTTTCATCTTGCAGGGCTGCTATAAGTTCAATTTTGTCTGACAGACAAATTATGTGCAACCAAACTTAGCATGGGGATACAGTGATGGGTGCAGGTGCTATTCCGCTGTCAGAAGCCCTGCTAGAATAGGTGGTTGGCAACTCTACTCATCTTGCTTTTAAAACTCACTTTAGCACTGATATTGTTCAATGCAAGCTTTGTCTCAGCTGTTCCTATAAGGGCAAGCAAAGAAAGCGCCCCCACATTTGTTGATAATTTCAACGGCTTTAATGGCGAGATCCCAAAACAGAAGGAAAAGTGGTGCTAGTTAACAGCTGTGTGGTCAATATACCTGTAACCTCTTACCCATGTAGGACTTGCCTTTTCTGCTCTGGAACACCTCAGCTGTGCATTGCATAGATTGGCAGGCTTCCCATCACTCTTTTTTGTAGGAATGGGGGCTTCCTTGGCCACACAACAGCCGAGCCAGAAGAGGTAGGAACACAGAAGCCACAATTTCTGGCTTGGCTACCAAAGGCACCCAACACAGACAGTGTGAATCCCTGACAATCTCAGGTGTGCCTGTGTTGACAGGCTCCTCTCAGCCTCCTTCACGTGGAGTCTGTGTACGGGTTCAAACCTGGGACCTCATGTATGCAAAACAAGTTGGCCTTCAGAGCAAAAGCTTTAAATAAATCCTCCCTAGTCCTAGTTTATATCTGCCAGGGCTGTCGGATGACAAAGGTTCCATCCTAGGTTTTTCTCCAATTGATGTTTGATTTAGGGAGCTGCTCTACCGAGTGTGAAGTGTGGCATGTTATCTCTACCTTTTTTTGCTTCCAAGACTATTGGCTACTTAGCTAGGTAGCCAAAATGTGTGTTTTCCCTTGTGGTGGGTTTACTAAATCCCTAGGCTAGGAGTTGAACTGCTATCCCTTATTTCCCATTTTTATTATCTTTCCTACTGGCCTACCAGGGAGCTCATAAGGTTGCACCCTGGGAGTTTGTTGTGGCTACCGTGCTTGCTTTTTCGTCCACTGGCTAGCTGATCCCTCTTGGTATCATTCCCTTTATCATAGCCTACTGGGCCTTGAATTCTTCTCCTGGGAAACCCAAAGATTTGGGTTTGGGTGAGCTAAGATTCAGAGGTTATGTTGTGATTGCTTGCTATATATTAATGTTTTCGTTAACTTGCAGCTGATTGTTTATATCTTGTACGCAATGATTTTATAGTCATTTGTATGTAACCATCCTTGGATTGTCAAACTTCAGGGCAGGTGTAGAAGTTGAGTGAATACATCCAATAGTGTCTTCCAAATGAGCTAAAGATATGCTTGGGTGTCGCAACTTGCAGCATTCATACTTACTATTCTTTTTTAAAACTTCATAGAGTGACCCAAGGCAACTTACATTTTAAAAAATAAGAACAACCAAAAAACTCAAAATACACCTATAAAATTGGAAGGGAGATCTATCAAATCCTGGGCCACTAAATAAAGCCAGAATGGCACCCTTCAAATAAAGGGCCAAAAGCCCAGGCAACATTTCCTGTGTTCCCCTATGCCCTTGCCTGATGAAAGTGTGACTATTTATAGGCTGACCATGCTTGTGATATAAGAGGACACAAACTTCAGGAGTGCATAGGTACTGGTGACAACTGCTGGACTATGCTGGCTGCAGGATGGTAGTGTGAACTACTAAGGGCACTAGTGTGTCTTTGTGACTGCCAGATTGGTGTGTGAGGCAGGATGGCAGCAGAGATGCGTGTCTGCCACCACAGTAAGTGGGTTGGTTTCTTCCAATGCTGGCTACTGTGCAGTGCGCAGGCATCATTAACACATGACGCTGTGATTTGTGGGTGTAAGCAGTGTTGCCAGGGATGCTGAGGGGGAGTCCGTCAGTGTTGTTATGTTCTTCTTTAAAGTGGCATAATTTTGCTGTTGACTTTGCTGCTAGGAGTGTAAGGGATCCCAACTGCATTAAGCTACTACTACATTGACATCAGTGGCATTGACACAGCAGTACCATTGGATTACGCTGTTAGTCAAACTGTGACTTTTGTTGCATTCTCACATAATGGCAGGTGAAGAGAAAACAACAGAGTACAGTACGTGATCCCTCACAAACCCATATAACCGTCAGTTCTGGGTTGTGGACTATGCCACATCTAAAATCTGCACACGCTTCTAATCAGATATTTGTACAAGATTTCTCCAAAAAGGCTATTTGGAATCTAGTACTTTCGGAGAGATCTGCAACACTAAAACGCCTGTATGCCACAGGTTCAGGATAGCAAATCAGTAATCTCAAATGGACATGTTCTTGAAAAAAGTGTTCAGGCTCTAGCCCAATAAAGGCATTATTAACTTAGTAAGTATGTAGAAAAGCCTTTTTCAAGAATAGTTAAAGAATTACTATATAACGATGAAGACTGAAATTAACATAGGAGTCCGGACAAAAACATACTTAATATATGTAAAAACGTACCTACCACAGAAAGAAATGAGCAAACTAATAATGGATGACTTTTCAGCAGCTTAACACATTTTTATAGGTGAAAAACTACTTTAATTCTGAGAGAAGAGCTGCTTTGTAACAAATCCACAAGGGTTTGTTGTACCATTGTATGTAGTAAACTTTGCTGTTGTGTGGTAGAAAACACAGCCAAGGGTTGACAACTAGTGATATACACATCTGTCACACAGACCATTGACCCTTATACAAAACTAGTGCATAGGTCGCTTCACAGCCAATACATGACATTTGTGGTTTTGCTTTGCTGGGTCAGTTGCTTCTGTGCTTAACTGGAACAGAATTCTCTTAGGTTTACTGTGCGGGGTTCCACTAAAGCAAAAGCATTTTTACCATCAGATTATGGAAATAAACCAATCCTAATTTAATATTCTTCTGTACTTTACTTTTTCTTTAAATTTTGCATCCGTTTCAGTAAACAAAAAACTAAAATTGATTAAAGTTAAGTTTCATTTTGATTTGAATCTGTGGCTATCTAAAGTCAAAGAACAACATATTCATGGTTGCTAAACAACAGAGTTGGGGGAAATTGCTAGGAAATATATTGATTTGGATTTGGGAAGGAAGTTCCACCTTTTTCAAAGACTTTGTGAATGTATAAACTATACTGAGGTTATACTGCTATGAACACTTACTTTGGTGTTGACTTTATTAAACTTGGTGGGGCTTAAAGGTAAAGGAACCCCTGCCCATACGGGCCAGTCGTGACCGACTCTGGGGTTGCGCGCCCATCTCGCTTAAGACGCCGGGGGCCAGCGCTGTCCGAAGACACTTCCGGGTCACGTGGCCAGCGTGACGAAGCTGCTCTGGCGAGCCTGCACCAGTGCAGCACACGGAAACGCCGTTTACCTTCCCACTATAAAGCGGTACCTATTTATCTACTTGCACTTAAGGGTGCTTTCGAACTGCTAGGTGGGCAGAAGCTGGGACCGAACGATGGGAGCTCATCCCGCCGCGGGGATTCGAACCGCCGACCTGACGATCGGCAAGTCCTAGGCACTGAGGTTTTACCCACAGCGCCACCCGCTGTGGGGCTTGCTTTCAGTTAAAAGATAGGTAGGATCTGGCCATACATTTCCATTACTCATCTGTGAAATGGTAATACTAGCAACCAACTGCAGAACTGTTTTGAAGGTAAACGTATACTTTGCAAATCTGAAGTACTACGTAAATGTTTAGCAGTGATAAGATTTAACCTATGCCACATGTTCTTTCTCATTGTAATTTTTCAAGTAGCAGTACAAGATATTCTAGTTGAGCGACTGCTTTTGGCTTCTATAATTAAGATGTTAACAACATAACATTTCTAATCCTGAAGCACTAAAAAGCATGAAGAAAAACAATCAAGCTCCAGTCAAAACAGCCCCATGTTGGTTTTGATAAAGCAGAGCAGAGGTGGCTAATTTATGAATGGCCCTCCAGATACTGCTGAACTACATGCCCCATTATCCTTGACTATTGACCATGATGGCTGAGGATGATGGGAATTGCAGTTCAACATCATTTAAAGAGCTGAAGATTAGCTACCCCTGCAGTAGAGGAACCAATTTAGCTGCTCTGAATCAAACAATTTATATCCAAAATTTGGAAATGATACACTGTGGTGGTCTAATTGCAAGCAGACCATCACACCCCTTAGTACACTAATAAGTACAGTCAAACCTTGGTTGTCGAACATTATCGGTTCCAGAAGCCTGTTGGGCTTCTGAAATGTTCAGCAACCAAGGCGAGACTTCTGATTGGTTGCAAGAGCTTCTTGCACTCAAGCAGAAGCCACGTCGGGCGTTTGGCTTCCAAAAGCCATTAAAAAACCAGAGCATTTACTCCTGGGTTTTTGGCGTTTGGGAGCCAAAACGTTCGAAAACGGAGCCATTCGACAACCAAGGTTTGACTGTACTGGTATTTACCTCTCCTCTGTCAAGACACTACTTCTACCCAAGAAACTTTGCAGGAGATTGCATAGAAGTCAAGATTAAGATGTGTACTGAAGTTTTTTAAATAACAGAAACACTCACTCCTATTTGTAGTATGTATGGAACACAGGCATACTGACCTGTCACAAATACACTTGTGAAAGGTAAGGGTTTGCTTGCAACCAGGGGGCAAAGGAAGTAAGAGTCATCATGTTATGCTACAAGCTAGCCAGACCTTCCAGTTTAAACATGGAACAGCACAATCTTAACCAACAGCCCTCCATGACTGCCAGTCTTTAATTTCCAGTTACTGAGGACAGCCCAGCAGCCAAACGTTTTGGAGTGTGATCAGGATGCACTATATGCATCCCAGATCAAACTACCAAATCACACTTACCATGTGACCAGTAAGTCATTTACAGCTTTTAAGCACGTGCTCTACATAATCCATGCGAACAGAAATTTACAGATTAAAATTGCGAAACCGAGATGCACTTTTATTTTCTGTTTTGCGCTTGACACTCAAGTATGCTGGGGTCTTGGAATCTGCAAGCACTAATCCTGAACCCCCACAAACCACACCAAAATAAAACCGAATAAAGAGTCGAGCCGCCCGTTCCAATGGTTAACAGGCCGCATAGGAAGCAGAGCGGTTGGCAATCCTATAGGCTAAACCGGGACGCTGCTTAAGGCGGGGCTGTCAAGCCCATACGCTGAGCTCCCGTTTCCTCGTCCGCCGCCTTCATGCAAAGCGCGGGGCGCGCACGTGGGCTGGGTGCGACCGACACACCCTCACCCCGGCGCCGCACGCTGCCGAGGGGCGGCACAGGCCCCGCCAAGGGCGCCTTCCCTCCTTCCGCGGGAGCGTTTTGCGGGCGAGGGGAGGCTGCCGGGGTCCCGCCCCCTCCGCAGTGGGGGGCGCGCGTGTGCCTGCTCTCCCTCCCTCCGCCCCAGAGGAGCGGCAGGGCCTGTCGCTTTAAGAGAAGGCCCGGCTGCCGGGGCCGCTGCGGAGGGAGCGGGAAGGAGGGGTTGGGTTCGGGGGGGAAGCCGGAACCTGGCCTAGCGGGTCCCTCCGGCGCTGCCCCCTGCCTCGGCCCGGGAGCCCCGGCGTCTTACCTGGTGCGTGGCCCGGCTTGGGCCGGGGGTGGCTTGCGAGCTGCCCGCCCCGCTCTCTGGCGCCGGCCTCTCGCCCCGCGCTGCGCTGGCGCTGCCTGTGCCCTGCCGCGGTGCCTCTCGGCTTCTGCCTCGCCAAGATGGCGGCCGCGCTATTGCTGCTGAGGAGGCGGCGGCTGCGGGCGCTGGGACGGCGGCGGCGGCCACTTTCGCTCACTGAGAGGAGAGGAGCAGGGACACGGGGAGCCATGGCGGGGGGGAGGAGAGGCGCCATGGCCAGGCCAGAACAATCGAACTCGGCACCCCTAGCTGGCCCTCGGAGCCCCCACCTAGAAATACTCGGCGGCGTGCTTCGCCGCAACCGCCACACTGTCCCCGAGCCCACATCCCGTGCTCTTCCCCCCACATAGAACCCACAAGGACCCCTGTAGCATCGATTCGTTTATCGTTCGACTGGTTGAGCCTGGCGGTGACGGAAATTACCGAACGCTTTCGGCCGAAGAGACTGGCGTGAGTTAACAATTCTCGCGCGAGGCGCCAGCTAAAGGTTCGCGAGGGTAAGATTCCAACGGGAGCTCCTTGGAAGTGACGTAGCGTTTGGCTAACCTTGCTCCTGTGTTTAGGGGTGGGGCTGTGCAGACCTTGGTAGGCCTGCGATCAACTCAGAGCCTTCCTTTTGATTGAAAGTATTTTCACATGCAGTAATCGAATTCTCTCTGTTCGCAGTTCGTCTCCACGCGGTTTCTCCAGCATGCTTTTGCCACGGCTGTTTTTTATTAAAGCCCGAAAGACGGCACATAAATCTCTTACAGTGAATGAAATAAGATTGAGAACTGGATCCCTTTAATCAAATGCCCCATGCATTAATTTGATATAACCTGGTATCAATTTCTCTTTCAATTCACCTCCCCACCCCCGGAAAATTTCTTGTCTTACCACTTCAGTATTACTGTAAAAGGTTTGCCACTGTGGAAAATAATTGAGCTATTTTTGTAACTGCCTTGCTCTAAGGTGCTGCAGTGTATTTTGTTCTTGCAATGTATTTGTTTTGGTAAAAGGATATAAATTATATGTAACACTGTATGTGTGCATGTATATATATCTGGCCAGGACTTTCCTACTTATATCTCTAAAACCTAAGGACACATTTTAGACAAAATTTAAGTTTTTTCGTGTTGCATATTTACAACTGGAAAGATGGACACCAACTTGAAAGGGCAGATTAACCTCATCCATAGATCTGACTATTCCTAGTTGTGATGACTATAAGCTGCTACTGAATACCAGGTACCAGAGAATAGCTGGTTATGTTGAGACTGCTCAAAGGTCACAGTAAGTTTTATGGCTGAGTGGTGATTTTAACGCAGGTCCTAGTCCATGTAATATCCCTGCACTTTATTCAGCGTTCTGGAGGGAAAGATGTAGAAATGAATACACTGAGCCAGGGGCATAATCTTTTCCAGTAGGTCTGGAAAGTTATGGAATCCTTTTCTTTCCTTGTTAACAGTCCTGTGTGACACCTTTTAAGTCTAACCAGGCTGCCATCCTGTTCATACTTACCAGGGAGTGATCCACATGGAATTCAGTGGGGCTTAGTTCTGAGCAATCTAGTATTTGTTGTATGAATCCACCCCTTCTGAGCCATAATAAGACACTTAGGTGCCAGGTATTAATACAATTGCAGTGTTCAAGTGGCCACAGAACTCCCCCCCCCCCAGAAGAAGTGTTTGGGAGAGCAGGAAACCCTTCTTAAAACTAGGCTATTTTTTCCATTTAGTTAGTTGCTATCTATAGAACAGCAATTCCTAAAGTGTCCACAGTATAATGGAGGGGGAAGAACTTGGCCATACACCTTAGACTTCTTAATTGCCCCACCAAGTCTAGTGGACACCAGCCACCCGTGAATGGGAGAAGGAAGCTTTTGCTCTCAATAGTGGAGAAATAGACCAGTAAGTATGTGGAAAAATAGGATGGTAGGCTAAATAGACCTTTGGTCTGATTCAGCAGGGCTCCTTTTAAGTTGTTATTCTACTTATATCTGAGGAATTGTATTTTCAGGCAGCTAAAGGGGTAATCTAGGCCGCAGTGTCCAAATCCATCGGGGGGGGGGGGGACTTAGTATAGTGGTACCTCGGGTTACATATGCTTCAGGTTACATACGCTTCAGGTTACAGACTCTGCTAACCCAGAAATATTACATCGGGTTAAGAACTTTGCTTCAGGATGAGAACAGAAATTATGCAGCAGCAGCAGAACTGCTTCAGGATGAGAACAGAAATTATGCAGCAGCAGCAGGAGGCCACATTAGCTAAAGTGGTGCTTCAGGTTAAGAACAGTTTCAGGTTAAGAAGAGACCTCCAGAACGAATTAAATTCTTAACCTGAGGTACCACTGTATATATAACGTAACAGGTACGTCCAGCAAATTAGAATAAAAAATGTTGAGGAAAGCTGCGAAACATTAATTCTGTAGTGCACGAAAGTGAATGGGGTGGTGCTAAGTTGGTTGCCTATTCCTCAAGGCCTGTGTACAGTGCAGGGGCCACCTGTTTGAAGGATGATTGCTGGATTCCATTTTGAAGCTCTAAAAGATGTTGCTCTGTGCAGATACAGGACCTATATACGTGAATGCAAAAAGACCACAAAGAAGAAACACGACTTTTATTTTAGAGAAAAACATTCCAACTGCCTTGTGAAGAGTTTTCTTGGGAAAACCATCTACCAAAAAACCCAGCATATTAGGTTTATATCTGAAATGTACACACTTGCATTTTAAGAAACATCTGTTCAAATTCCAACAAACAATATACAGCTTTGCCCTTTTATTTTGAAAATGAACAACTCATACCTATTTTTAAATAAGCATGCTTAGGATCCTTTCCTTGCAGTTCTGCTGCTGTAATGCTGCCCAACTAAAGGCCTTTTACCATGTAATTGTTTTCCCCACAAAAAAAGGAAGCCAGGACAGATCGTGATGAGTGCTCACTGGAAGGACAGATCGTGAAGCTGAGGCTCCAATACTTTGGCCACCTCATGAGAAGAGAAGACTCCCTGGAAAAGACCCTGATGTTGGGAAAGATGAAGGGGACGACAGGACGAGATGGTTGGACAGTGTTCTCAAAGCTACCAGCATGAGTTTGACCAAACTGTGGAAGCAGTGGAAGACAGGAGTGCCTGACGTGCTCTGGTCCATGGGGTCACGAAGAGTCGGACACAACTAAACGACTGAACAACAACAACAACCTTTTGAAACCTAGAACACAGTTATACAGTACTGCATCACGTGTCCAATTGATAATTGAACTTCAGAGTAAGCATGGGTAGGATTGAGCTGCTTAAAAATGTTTGCTGTTCCCTTTGTAGACTATGTTGTACAAATAATGCTATTATTTATGGGTACCTGGTGCAATAAATAACTTTCTATATTGCTCCAGGGAGAATTTTGCGATCCAGAATGGAAAACCTGTTCCAAAGATATTACTGCAAATACTGTATTGGAGAGCAGTGGGGAACAGCTAACAATTCTGCAGATGATTTGTGTTTCTATGTTGTTGGGTGTGGTTTTTTTGAAATCATCATGAAAGGGTTGGGGACTCCTTCCCCCTTTGTCATGAAGTTAACAATACAGGAAGCACATACATGAACTTAAGGTTTAGTTGGATAATTGGAGCATTCAAATAGAATGAAAATCAATGGTTCTTTGGAATATCTGGAAAAAATACTGGACTCAAGACTACAGTGGTAGAATTAACACCAGTAACATCAATTTTGTTTATAGGAGCAGGAAACTGCCATACAACATGAAGGGTATTGTGTCCAGCTGCCTCCAGAATTTGCTCCATTAATGGAAGTCTTCCAATAATGAATTTGAAAAGGAAACAATTTCTGCTCCTTGCCTCCAGGGCTTGGGGCTGGCAGCCCCAAGGCAAGACAAAGTGAACCGCCAAATCACTTCCCCCTATTCTTCTGTCTTGTGGGAACCTGGAGACAGTAATCACGAGTTGTTTGAGAAGAGGGATTTCTACTCATGGCAGCATTAGACAGAGTTTGGCTAGATTGCTTTACAGCTTGAAATGGGATCCTAGAATTGTTTGCTTTTGGAGGTGAAAGGGCAGAAACAGATTTGTTGTCTTCATTCTTGCCTTCTGTCAACAATTCCTTTATTTCCTCTTCTAAAGTCAAATCTACCTTTGTTTGCGGTTTGAACGCTGGAGATGGTTTTCTTCCTTTCACCTCAGATGCCCCCAGTACTGATTTACAGCAAATGGGACTTCTTGCTTCTGCTTCAGATTCAACATTACTCGCACCAACTGTTGCCCATTGATTATTACAATGATTTGCCTGCCAGTCTTCTTTTTCAGAGTTGTCCTGATCATCTTGACCCAAGAGGTGGAGAGGACTGGTAGTTTTAGGGGATACTGCCCTACTAGAAAGAATTAAGCCAGTACTCTCTCTCTGGTTTTCTTTCACCTTTGCTACCCTTCTTCCCATAGTTTCTAATTGCTTTCTGATGAGGAGACCTTCCTCATTCAGCTGGAAGTTCTGCATTGCCCTCTTTCTTCGTTCCTTGTAAAAATCTGCCAGTTGTCTAAGCTCTTGTGGTAGCTCCATACAGGATATCTAATTAAAAATCATATGCATGTAGATCAGAACTGTAATATACTTTTTACTACTGTTTCAAGAATAGTTAAATCTACAGATGGAGCTAAAACACTGAAAGGCTCAATACATTCTACTCCAGCTGTGTTAGATCCCTGCCAATGAGGGGCCTGAAAATCCCCACCCTGAAGCAACCCATTTAAATGGCTATCTGCTGCCTAACACTGGCAGGCACTTACTGATGCCTCTGTTGTGATAAATCCCTACCATCGCCAATGATGTGCCTCTCAGCTGACACAAACACTGCATCCTCCTAACCCCAACACTATTGGATGTGTGTGTGTTAGCATTTCACTCTTATTTTTGCAAGTAATATTTACTCTTGCATGGTACCCACTGTGATGAAGGGAACTGGATCCCCTGACGTTGGGAGGAGAACCAGCTCAACTTTTTCAAGGCTCGCTCCCCTCTGGGCAGGGTGTGTGTGTTGGCTCTTTGTGGTCACATTCCTCAGGTAAGTCCTTTAAATACCCATTTTTCATACGAAGAGGACTGGCAGGAGATATAAGACAATCAAACGTAATACTAAGGATCTGGTATTGGAAGAGGTGTGCCTGAGTGGTAAGAGCATTGGCTTTGCATGCAAAAAGGCACATCTTCAATACCTGGCATCTCCAGGTAAGGCTAGAAAAGATTCCTGCTTGAATGCCTGGAAAACCACTGCCAGTCAGTGTAGACAACACTGAGGTTATTTGACTGGGTTTGGATTGCTCTTCCCACTGAGGCTAGGCAGGCACCAATGATGGGTGGTTTCACTAGCATCAACTAAACCAGGGGTCGGAAACCTAAGGCCCATGGGCCACAAGCGGCCCATGGGGGTCGTTTAACCAGCTCATGGCCCCCCCGCCACCTGCCTGGGGACTCCTGCCACCCACTCGGTCAGCTCCCGTGCACCGCGCTAAACCGGCGCTGAGCAGAGTGGGGACCACCTTCCACAACGCTGGCCGGCTTCCCATTGGCTGGCTCCTGCAGCCAATGGGAAGCTGCGTATACCTGCGTGCCAGAAGGAGCGTCAGAAATAGTGTTTGCGCATGCGTGCGTGCACACACTCTGGCCCACCGTGGCGTCTGTGGGACCGTGAAGCAGCCCAAGCCACACAAAAATTGCCAATCCCTGAACTAAACACTCTTCCCTCAGGCGTTCTCTGACTAGCGCTGGTTCCTGTTGCATTTAGTTATGATGGTGTTACAAACAATTCCAATTAATTTTTTGTGATTTATAATGTGAATTGCTTTGGAATCTCCTGGAAAATGAAAGCAGAACAGGATTCAAACAAACAAACAAGTATCAAACCTCAGTAATGTGCAGTTCTGAAATCTAAAAACAAGACTGGCAGCAATAAGGAAGTTGAAAGTTATTGAAGTTTCACTTACCTCTGTGCTCCCCAGTGGATCTGCAGATCCTTCCCGAAAGGCATTTAGATATCCATCCACCAAAGTTGTTAAGTCAGACATGATTTCATCGAGTAGCAACATGCGGAGAGGGAGGAGGTATGCTGCCTCCAGAGCCAGCACTTTCAGCAATGCAGGTGGAAGGGGTCGCACAAACCATATCTCGGGGTTTTCCTACATACCCCAAATGTAAAATGAAAAAAATAATAATACTAACACTTCCCAAACTGGAGTTCAAAATGCAATTGCTGTGTTGGAAGGGAATTATACGGCTTTAGTAGAAATATTTTAAGGAATTAAGTATAAATAAGTATTATAGTATTAATGGAAAATAAGGTTAAAATATGTTAAGATAATTACATGACAGAAAATAGAGAAAGATGGAAAGGATTTGCTGAAACAATTAATAGAAATGGAATACAAAAAGGGAGGTGAGAGGAGGTCGATGAAACAAGGGAATGAAAGAGGATATTGAGATGGTATGATGTGTGTTTTTTGAATTGTTTTTGCTTTTGTTTTGTTTAATGTGTTAATGTTAATGTTGCGTTCTGTATTGTTTATAGTATTGTATTGTTTTTTCTTTGGCTTTTTTCTTTTTGTAAGGTATAAAAGCAATAAATATTATTTTAAAAAAACAAAACAAAATGCAATTGCTGGTATAACTTATTGGCTTAGACTTTCTCAGGGGTGCCCAAACTTTTTTTAAAGAGGGCCAGATTTGATGAAGTGAACATGTGTCAGGGCCAACCAGAATTGTTGAGCTTTTTTTGGGGGGGATAAACTGCCGCAAGGGCCAGATGAAACCAACCAGCGGGCCAGATTAGGCCGCCAATACGGACTTTGGACATGCCTGGCTGTGCATCAGGAAGCACTGGGCTGAATTTTGCCTCTCCTATGATCTCACCACGTGACTTTAGGTTAGCAATTTACTCTCAGCTGCAGCCCTCCATCTCCTGTATGAGAATACCGGCCTACTTTACAGAATTACCAAGACACTATTGAGGATTGGTCATATATACTATATAAATGCTAAGTATTATAACCACGCTAAACAAACATGATTCATATTAGCAATATCAGATTTTTAAAAAAACAAACAAATTATGCAAGTTTACTCAGATGTAATCGCTAATAAATTCAGTAAGACGAACTCCCAGGTAAGAACACACAAATACCTAGTATTCTGTACCCGATAGAATCTTGCATCTTTCATACCAAGCCTCTATTAGCCATTTGTGAACTTTGGTTTCTTGTTTCCCCGATGCTTCTATCCTTTACCTGTTTACTCTTTCTATAATATTCGCTTCTTAGACCTTCATCTTCCTTCCACTCCTGAGATTTCCCTAGGCTTTCCCTGTACCCCTTTTCCTCCCAAGAACATGTTTATAGAGAACTACTTGCTTCTGGACTCCTTGATAACACCTTTGCATTCCAAGTGTTTTCAGAACCATCTCCTGCCCTATGTAGAAAAATGGGCTTTTATTCCTCCTAAAAACAGAGAGATCTTAAGTTGCTTAAACCCACTGACTACTCCAAGTATGACTTAGTTGGATAGTATGCACAGATCACAATACCGACCCTTGGGAACCCCACTTCTCACATCTCTCCATTATGAGAACAATCAATTTATTTGTATTCTCTGCTTCCTGTCATTTAACCAGCTAGTGCATGGGTAGGCAACTAAGGCCCAAGGGCCGGATCCGGATCGCCTTCTAAATTCGGCCCTCAGATGGTCCGGGAATCAGCGTGTTTTACATGAGTAGAATGTATTCTTTTATTTAAAATGCATCCCTGGGTTATTTGTGGGGCCTGCCTGGTGGTTTTTACATGAGTAGAATGTGTGCTTTTATTTAAAATGCATCTCTGGGTTATTTGTGGGGCATAGGAATTCGTTCATTAATTTTTTTCAGAATATACTCTGGCCCCCCACAAGGTCTGAGGGACAGTGGACAGGCCCCCTGCTAAAAAAGTTTGCTGACCCCTGAGCTAGTGGGTCCATAAGAGAACTCTTAATCCATGGCTTTTAAGTTTGCTTAGAAGAAAGATTTATTTTTGCAGAAACTGTGTTAATTCTACTTAAGCAAGAGTCTTATACAGTTGTTACTTTTTTCTTTAGGAATGCTTTTCACCAATTTACCTGGAAAAGATGTTAAGCTATCTGGCATGTAATTTCCCAGTTTCCTTTTTAATAGCAGATGTATCGTTGGCCATTTTCCAGGCCTCTAGTACTGATACTGGGGGCAAGTTACTTTTTCTTTTTATAAGAACAACTATTTCACATTTGCGTTATTTTAAGAACTCACCAGTGAATACCCCCTGGACCCAGTGATTCTATGAAGTTACAAGAAAGGAGACTCCAACTAAACATCAATAACTTTCTGACAGTAAGAGCTGTCTGACAGTGGAATGGACTCCCTCGGAAAGTGGACTTCCCTTCCTTGGAGGTTTTTAAGCAGAGGTTGGATGGCCATTTGTCAGGTTTACTTTAGATGAGATTCCTGCACTGTAGGGGGTTGGACTAGATGACCCTGAGAGACCCTTCCAACTCTACAATTTTATGATTCTACTATTCTACTGTTTGCAGTACCTTGTCCTGTGCCGGCAACCAAACTAATGAACAAATATGGAGTATACCCTCTCTTTGACAAGGTTTGCATAACTGCCATAAAAGTAGCATCTAAAGGACCATAATCATAGCTAATAACATATATTCTGGCTACACCAGAACAGATTTTCCAGAAAAGGATGGGATGGCTCCATCCCACTTACCTCAATCACACGCTGCCTTTGTTCCATGAAAGGGATGCGTCTGTAGGGCATCCCCAAGTATCGCATTAAGCAGTCTTGTAGAGAGCTGATACGGTGAGGAAGGAAGCCACCTGTTTCCACTGAGAACTGCAAGACATCAGCAACCTATGAAAGGAAGCCGAGGGATCAGTATGTCATGCCCACACTTTACTGGCTAACAGCATACTAACTCTACAGAACATCAACTGCCTAAACCCTTATATTCAAGATCGGTCACTGAGACTTTCTCCAGGAGGGTTGTTGGCGAGGTTCATCTGGCAGGAACAAGAACCCGAGCCTTTAATGTCATTGGCCCAGTCCTGTGGAATGCTCTGCCAACGAAGATTCAGCAGGGATCTTTTGTTTCAACCTTTAAATGCCTGCAGAAAACTTTTCTTTGCTGTCAGGCTTATGCAGGCAACTAAGAAAGCATCTTCCCATAATAGCTAACTGATTGCTGATTTTTTTTAACATGTTTTTATTACATATATTATTGTAAACCGCTTTGATATTTCTTATGATATAGAAGTATATAATTAATCAAACAGACTTCAGATATCTATCAAATTCAGTTTTTCCCCCTGGATTCTGTGAAATATTGTACACATGAAATTGAAGACAAACACCCTTGAAATAAGGTATTTCTTTATGAATTTGAAGATGATGATGATGAAGAAGAAGAGTTGGATCTGATATCCCACTTTATCACTACCCTAAGGAGTCTCAAAGCGGCTAACAATCTCCTTTCCTTTCCTCCCTTCCTCCCCCACAACAAACACTCTGTGAGGTGAGTGGGGCTGAGAGACTTCAGAGGTGTGACTAGCCCAAGGTCACCCAGCAGCTGCATTTGGAGGTGCGGGGAATCGAACCCGTGGCTCTTCTGTCCCAACCACTTATTTGTTTACCATGTCTACTCAGAAATAAGTCCTACTGAATATAATGGGGCTTACTCCTAGGTAAGTGGGGTTAGGATTGCAGCTATACTTATTTGTTTATGAAAGATGACAATTTACACCATAAAACAATAAAATGTAATTAAAAACTCAGTATCATATAACAATTTGCATCTCAGAGGAGAATAAAATGGAGCGGGGGGGGGGGGGGGAGAGAAGAAGCACATATGCCAACTTTAGCTCCTTGGAGGAAAGGTGAGATATAAAATGTAATAACAAGTAATGAAAACAAACAATAGATACACAGCACTGAGAAGTGTGTTGAAAAATCTAGTTAGAGAACAAGTAACTAACAAGCTACCTGTGTATCAAAGACATTGGAGAGCATAACTCCATACTGGTGAGAAAGACAATCTGAAAGCCACCGGCAGTCATGGATAACCTAAAGAAAACAAGGAAGAGGTACTGTAGTAGTCGGTGAGATAAAAGTAATATATAAATAAATGCAATTTGATGTTGCCATGTCTACGTTATTTCACATTTTCTCTACATAGGTTCTCAGATGCCCTGTGCTAGACAAATACTTACTTTCAAAATGTTCTGATCTTCCAGTATCATTTGGAGTCCATTCTTGAACACTCGAGCTCCCAGAAGGAAAACGTCAAACAAGAAAACCTTGCTCTTTGTTGCAATCTATAATAAATATACAGGACAGAAACAAAAATTATACGTACCTGTTTTACTTAAATATTAATAAATATTTATGAAATATTTTCATAATATGAATCTTATTGTCCTAACAGAATCACACACACACAAACACAAACAAACACACACACCTGAGACGAAAGAGAAGACAAATAGAATACATATGATGTGCTCTGAGTGAAGGCAAGAACAGAACTGGCGCTTCAAAGGAAGAAAGCCAAAATCCTTCCAGAATGCATTCCTGCCTTCAAGCGGTAGGGGAAGCAAATCTACTTAGAGGGTTTGTTCTTCTGAACCACTTAGAACAGGGGTCAGCAAACTTTTTCAGCAGGGGGCTGGTCCACTGTCCCTCAGACCTTGTGGGAGGGCAGACTATATTTTGGAAGGGGAAAAAATGAACGAATTCCTATGCCCCACAAATAACCCAGAGATGCATTTTAAATAAAAGGGCACATTCCACTCATGTAAAAACACGCTGATTCCTGAACCGTCCGCGGGCCGGATTTAGAAGGCGATTGGGCCTTAGTTTGCCTACCCATGGCTTAGAAGGTCCCAAAGGACTCTAGAGGGCCCCAGGAATATATTTGTGTATGTTAACAAAGGGCTACATAACAACACAATAAAGGAAAAGGGGAGTTATACTGAAGACCCCAGATACAGCATATTCTTTGTTCCTGTTAGGTATCTCTTGGTTATAAGAAGACCACTGATTAAGAAACACAAAATCAAAAGTTTCAGCCCAAAGGTTCCAAATAGCAATGTTAAGTGCTTATAAAATATTCCTTCTTACCTGTAACCAAGAGAGTTTTCCATGGCGACACAAATTGACACCCTCTGCTGCTACACTACAAACATTCTGCTTTTTGATGTGCACCATCTAGTGAGAAGGGGAAAAACTACTAGGTAAAGGAGAGTGAAGAAGACAGGTCAGAAAACATGATCAGCGGCGTAGCGTGGGTTGTCAGCACCCGGGGCAAGGCAAGTAATTTGCGCCCCCTAACCCAGGGCAAGGCAAGTAATTTGCGCCCCCTAACCCGGGGCAAGGCAAGTAATTTGCGCCCCCTAACCTGCTGCCGCTGCCAGCTTCTTCTTGCTGCTGCCTGGTCTGGCCTGGTGTGGTTCTCTCCCACGCTCAGCGCTGCGCTGGGCGGCCGCTGCACTGTCCCTCCCCCAGATAGTCCCTCGCTCTCTCTCCGCACCGCATGCCTGGCACCCACCCCCTCCACAGTGGGCGGCGACCCAGCGGCTCGGATCGGATTCGCACAGCCAGCACTGCAGTGAGAGAGAGTGAGCGAGCCAGGTAGGGGCAGAGAGCTGCGAGTGCAAGCGCCCCCCCAGATGTTGCGCCCGGTGCGGCCGGCCCCCCCTGCACCCCCCACGCTACGCCACTGAACATGATGCCTCATTTGTGACAAACAAAAAATTCACACCCAGCATACATCGGAGGTAGTGAGAAACAAGGGATAATCAGCAAAGTGTAAAGATAAAAATAACCCAGGGTTTCCATTCCTTGAGCATTACTAGTGTTTATTCAGACAGTGTCATTAAATACGAAGTTTTAGGTGTAAGACATTCTACAGCCTAACAAAAGTTTCCCACCTAGATGGTGTTTACTATGTTATTTTCTCATGTAACAATATACCCTTTGTATTGTGATTACCTCAAGGTGGTATGTTAAGATGCTGTTCTTTCATCTATGGGCAAATTATACAATTAAAGTAATCCACTAAAAATTATTAAACTCAATTTAGAATTGGTAATAAAATTTTAGATTTTTAACACCTCTCTCTCTCTCTCTCTCTCTCACACACACACACACACACACTCTCCTGCAAGAGCCACCAACAACAAGCCTGAACAAGTGATTAACAGTTGTACTTTTGATTTATGGCCAGATTTTCCAGTCGTTTATTCATGGTCATTCAAGGCATACATCAGAACACTATAGCCATACCATTGACCAGGACAAGTTACAAGAAGCCTGTTGCAATAATTTCAATGGCTACTGGTGAAATTTCCAGGCATTAATTCAGTGTTGGTTATAACATACAAAGTCCAACACAACTTTGGGTCTGATTATCAGAAATACTGCATTCCATCATATGAGCTTGCCTGTTGTCAGGGAACTGCCATCGGAGCCAGGGGGAGAGGGAGGGCTCCAGAGGGATTCCGGAGAGCGTCCCGGGAGGGAGAGAAGCAGCACATCTTCTGGGGAAGGAAATCAGCGTAGCACCAGTGGAGAAGGGGGGCAGATGGGGGAATCGGCGAGGTGGCTCCATAACTCCTCGCTGGGGACCAGCGGGGAGAGCACGGGTCCTCCGCTGCCCACACCCTCCCTGCGCAGAAGGCTTCCGCGCAGGGAGAGTAGGCGGAGACTAGGCGTCAAAGAACTTCTTTGCTGGAAGAAGTTCAAGAAACGCCCACTGACGGATTCTGCCAGCGATTGAGACAGCCACGGGCGAGTGGCTGTCCGGACAGAAAGGGTTCACTCAGGCAACCCAGCCAGGTGTGGCGCCGATTTACGCACGAGCAACCCCTAGAACCATTACACCTGTGTTTCAAGATTCTCAGGAGAGGCTCCCCTTTTTCCTCTCAACCTCTGAAGCATGTAGAAGATCAAGAAAGGAGAGAAATTCTGAAACTCCTTATCAGAGAAGAATCTCTGAGGATCTTCTTGGATTACCTTCTTCTGGCCAGACAGGCAAAGATGCTTTTATTCAAGCACAATCTGACTTTCTCATAGAATCGTAGAGTTGGAAGTGACCTTGAGAATCATCTAGTCCAACCCCCTGAAATGCATGATTATGCAGCTGTCTCTTATGGGGATCAAACCTGCAACTTTGGCATTATCAGCACCGTGTTCTAACAAACTGAGCTAATCACTGTAAATATTGCAATTTGTTCAACTGGCTGTTGTTCTTATTGATTTATGTTTTACATACCTCTTTTCTGATTTGATTATTATTTTGGATTTTACTGTTGCTCACTGCTGTATCATTTAGTGGAAAAATTGGAAACAAATTTAACAAATGATGAATTCTAGACATTCAGATTTATATTAGATTTATACCACTTGGTGATTGGTCAGAGTTTTCAATGAACCTTGGGAAAAGTAGTTTGGTGCTGGGTATTCCATTAGAAATCCTTGGCTAAACTACAATTTCCCAGAACAGCAACCAAAACAAACACCCTTAAGTAAAAGTAACAATATTATACTCACTGCAGAACCAAATTGCTTCTGAAATTGATCAACAACAACATATTCTATGTCCTCCCCTTTGTCTTGATCTGCAGTTAAAAAGATACCATACTAAACATTTTCTCTTGCCTATGCTCACAGTATATGTTTGTAAAATATGTATTCAAAAATACACTATGCTTTCTCCTTTACAAAAAAGGTAAGCTGTGATGAGACATGAAACAATACTTAGAAAACAGATAAAATAAATTGATTAACTCAGTAACCCTTTCTTCAAAACATTTGGTTATAATGCTTGTTAACAGCAAGTTACACATAAATCTCTTAAAAAGCAGGTTGTTTCTGGATCCTCTTTTGTCAAGAAACAACTGTAATTAAAAGGCCTTTTTTCTTACTGCTCCATGACATGAATAGAACGATATAAAGTGATACAGTTTCCAAATTAAGCATTTGAAGGCTAGGAAATAAAAGCTAAGGCTTTCTGTATTACAGCGACCATATTATTTTTACATTCCACACATTTTCCAGTTGAATCTAGAGTCCTAGGAATTCTCTTCCACCCAATCAATTGCAGCACTAACCACAAATACTCCATTTTGCCCATTATCTTATCTACAGCTGTAAATAAACTACTGAACTGGATTTCTGGGCTGAATTGCTTACTGAATACACTCAAGGGCTGATCAACCTTCCACACGGCTTAGGCTATGTTAATGGTTGAAAAAGTGCCTGGGCAAGCAGACAGGCTATGGGTAGAGGTATGCCTGGAAGAGGGTATTTTCTGTTTTTATAGTTGAAAGTTGTTTTTACTGCTGTAATCTGCCCTGGGACCTTAATGTGAAGTGTGGGGAGCCTATAAACAAACAAATAGAGCCCCAAGTTGATGACATAAAAATTATGGAATTATGACTTGCTGCTTGGATATTAGGCTGAATTTCTGGTAGATACCTGAAAAGTTGTACCTGAAGTTACCCAGGTTGAGCTGATGAGTGTCCTGAGAAAGAGAATCAGGATTCTGTGTGTTCTGCTTCCGTGGTTCTCCTTTGTCCACTGCAGACACTTGGGTAGATAGAGCTTCCCTGTGCAACACATTATTAAGGGTGCATTTTAACTAATGTAAACATTAAAAACTCTTGGCATTTTATTCTACATGAAGCAAGGACTTCCTATGCAAACATTCACATCTTGCAAAAGAACTGGCAATTGATTTAGGCAATGGGGCTTCAGGATGGGCATCGCCAGGATTTGTGTTAGTGGGGGGGCAATGTACCCACCTGTCATCATCCTCTATCTGGCTCTGTCTAGCAAATTTGGAATGAAATGTCTCAACAACAGTCGTTTTAAATTACTTGCTTTTGAAAAGTGCTCAGAAAAATCTATCAAATTCTACTTTTAGTTAATAATTGTTATTTATTTACTTGATGGGGGGGCAACTGCCTACACCCATGGGCTTCAGGTCAGGAGAGGTTATTCTGGGTTACCCTAGAAGCAAGGAAGGGAAGATCCTCAGCAGAAAAATAGTAGAATGCAAGCAAGGAGAATTAGAGTTAAGATCACAATCCTAACTGGAATTGCTTGTAGTGGTTTCCGGAAGTAACGTTTGTTTACCTCTGAATGGAGATTCCCTGAAATTTAGCTCAATTTTTTTCAAATTACATAACATAGGACCATGCCACTCCTCACCCCGCCCCCAACACAAAATATTGCTTCAGTTGTGGAGGAAGGGTAATAATGAGAAGCTGGACCCAGAAACAGAGGTTATTTTAAATTAAGAACTACAGAGGCAACGTGCAAAGTTCACTGGCTATCCTGTAAAAGGTTATGGGACAATAGATTACAGCCATCTTGCAAGTAGTAGGCTTCTGGACTGCTTTAGTTTGCTGAATCAGTATACATATAAGATTTTCCACCTAACGTATCCTAATATCCAAGTTCACCAGTGATCTTTGATGATAAAACTCTTCATACGTACCTGATAGGAGTTGTCTTTCCTTCTGCAGTGTGTTGTTCCGAGTCATCAATTAATTCCACTGAAACATGAATATACAGCTCCAATTACAGATTTTGCCTTCAATGAGGAACTACACAATACCTAGAAAGTTGAAGATAGGCCAAAAACTCTACTGGCAAATGAAGAATGCAATCATGACTCCCAAGAAGAAAGGAAGCTACCAGGATCAGAAAAGAGGCACTCATTCTACAGGGCAATAAGCATAGCATGACTCTTAAGAGGGTTAAATTAAATGCAAACATGTCATGGAAATAGGAAATAGGATAGAAGTTACACTAGCCTATTCTACAGAATCTCTCCAAAAACCGCTTTGGCTCTATTGACAAAAGCAGCTAGTATTACAGTACTATTATGCTCTCCACAACAGGCTGCCTATTCAGGATCTGAAAACAAGGTCCTTGAGAAGGTAGAATGGGAAGTGCACAAGGATTTGAGAATGAAACAGGGAAGGGGCCAGGGGGAGAGAATGGAAACAGGGCTCACTGAATTGAGAAAGGCTGCAGAATATGCAGCCCCTAAGACTCTGCTGGGCGGCCCATTCATTTGATACAACCCTACGTAGGTTTTCCTCCCATACCCCAAATTTGGTTTGAATCTTACCAATGAAGGGCAAGTTTGAAAATGTTATGAAGGATTTCTATTATGTCCCTAAATGACAATTGCAACTTCCATGCATACATTTTAGATTTTGGCAGAATTAGCAAAAGTTAGAATTAATGAAGGTTTGACTAAACTGTGCCAAACATGGAAATTCCTAGACTTGCCTATGCTAAGAGGGCCAGACCGACCTGGTAAGGCAGGCTGAGTGCAGCCATTAATAAATAGAGCAGAATCATTCCCATGACAAAAGGCGAGACATTCAGCAGCAGACAAGGGCGGGAAAGGTTGCAAGGGTAACGGGTGTGTGATGCCTCCACAGGAATAAAAGTGTCCTTTTAAAACACAGGCTTTGAGGTAAGACTTAAAAGGTGTACATTTCAGAGAGAGCAGGGCAAAAGCTTCTGAAAATGTCTGTTCTACAGGCTTACAATATGACCTTCAAATGCTTTCATGTCAACCCTTCCTCCATATAGTTCTCAGAGCTTTTACTAAATGCTTTTATTGAGCTTTGCCTGTAATCTATCAATAACTGTGTAGGCTAAGTTATTATTATTATTATAACCATATTGCAAACAGAAGACTTACTGTATAATCCAGTTTACCCAAAAGTAAATCCTATTCTGTTCAAGGGGGCTTACTCCAATGGGAGAGGTTTGTAGCCTAAGATTGAGAGAAGTTTGGAAGAGGCAAGCTCTGAGCAAGCTATTTCCTAATTTACAACTTAATACCTTAGCAGCCACCAATTCATTGCTACAGAGGAGAGTCTGCTGGAACCAACAAGGAAGAGTTTTTTCACTTGCTTTCCCCACTCTTCCTGCAGGGGGCATTGTTTTTGCTGCTGTTTGGATGCTTTGTATTTTATTGTTAGGCATTGTTTCAGTGTTTATTAACGTGATATGTTTGTTTGCCCTATTAATAGTACTGTGGCTTTTTGCTTAAACTGTGTTGTGTTTTGTAAGTGTTAATGCATTATCTTGAAATGTTGTTATATTTTATTCTGTATGTTATGAGCTGCCGTTCTACCATAGCAAAGAGACATACAAATATACTGATGCTGATGATTCTAATTATAATGATCACAAACATGAAATATTCATTATTTAATGCTTAAATCATTCCACTATCTACTGTACTGCCATCAAAGCTTCAGATCATACGTGAGCATGTATTGGCTTTAAGGATATGCAAAGACAATATTAATGGGTACTTGACTTGCAGCTTTTCATGGAACATGCATTTTTGTAAAATGTTGGAAATAACTTGTGTAATGTGTTGAAATGTGACCAACAGATCTTTATTACAGCTTTTCCATAGCATTTTATGAATCCTGTGGTATTACTCACTGTAATAAAATTGCACATATATTTGTCAGTTTCACTGAACTGGATGTAGGCACATGGGGATAGTCAAGGGGGGGCAGATCAAGTAAAACAATAGAAATACTTAACCAACTGACCAATCACATTGATTTTGCCCTCCCCACAAAAGTCATGTTCCTCCCCCCCAACAAAAATCCTGGCTACGCTCATGCATATGCATCCTTGAGTAGGGAACCTCATTTGAAAAGGGGTGGGACAAAAAGAACTGTCAGATGGCATTAAACCCAACCAAGAATTTCTGAGTATAACTAAAGATATATATTCTCACCATTGACAATTTCATGGCCAAAGAACATCTTTACTCCTGGTACAGATCTGCCACTTTCCAAGTTCTTAACTGAAGTAAACAAAATACAGTAAGGTAAGTGCCGTGGCCTTTAACCAAAGCAAAAAGGATTTAGAAAAGTTTTTAATATTTGATGTTTTATTCTGTTTTTAATCTGTTGGGAGCCACCCAGAGTGGCTGGGGAAACCCAGTCGGATGGGCGGAGTATAAATAATAAATAATGATTATAATTATTATTAAGAATCATGAGATATAAAACATCACTGGTGAACATAGCAGAGTGGAATTCTGTGAAAATCATCCAACCGTCAAGCTTTCTTGTAACCTTTGAACAGTTTGCTCACTGTATAGTTTGCTTCTTCATAATTAGGTGGGCACCATACTTTTAGTATAGCTAATGTACAGTACATTGAGGATTTTTTAAATTGTGTGCATCAATCCTATTTTCTTAAGGTGCTTTGTAGCACTATACTGAGCTAATCTGTTTTATGATATTTCTTTACTGTCCTGTTTAAAATGGTGAAGTTTAAAAGCCAAGCACTGTATGTATATTTATATTATTTTCAGCCTGCCCTTCATTCCAAAGGATCTCAGAGAAGAGTATGAATTAAAATGTATTCCACATAAATAATAATAAAATAAAGACACATTCAAAATAATAGGAGGAACTAAACCAAGGGAGTAGAACCTCGGGTCTCCAGGTTCCCTCACTATGAGAAGTGAAGTTACAGGGAACCAGGCAGGAATTGCCTCCCATCAGATGTCAAGGAAATAAACAACTATCTGACTTTTAGAAGACATCTGAAGGCAGCCCTGTATAGGGAAGTTTTTAAATGTTTCGTGTTTTGTTGTGTTTTTAAATCTTAGTTGGGAGCCACCCAGAATGGCTGGGGCAACCCAGTCAGATGGGCAGCATATAAATAATAAAATTATTATCGTCAATCAAATCAGTGTGGCCTAACACCCTATGTAGGTGTTTGCAGTTTCAGATTGCAACCTACACACCAAATGAGCCAGAGTAGTCATACTTATTCCAATAGACAAGAATGTGATTAAGTGATTCTTCCAGAGCAACCTACATTTTTGTCAGGACAAGGCCTTCGCTGGAAGCTGTTCTTAGACTGTTTTCACTATCTAAGGTTTGTGGGTAACCACCAGAAAACAGCCTTTTCTGTGGTGCCTCCTAAATTATGGAACTCCCTCCTAAATAATGTTTGCCAAGCATCTTATTACCTATCTTTTAGGCACCTGGCAAGGCCTATCCTATTTTAATGGCATTTAGTTTAGTTATGATTTCGGTTCTTTCTGTCCTTTCAACTTAATCTTCTTGGCTAATCTATATGTTTGTTTTATTTGCTTTTTATTTTTATTTCTTTTTCCTTTTTACTAGTGTTAGCTACTTTGTAAGTTCAGGAACGAGGCAGGACAGAAATCTAGACAATAAAAAGTTGTTTGTTCCTTGAAAAAGTGAATATGAGGGATCCAGACTGCTATGTAAAGAATCAAATTCTTAGAATATTTATCCTTTTTAGCATAATAAAATGCTAGAAACCACTTAGGTTTTCTTACAATCAGGTGGTATATAGATTTTGTTAAACAAACAAATGAATAAATTCATGCCAAAAAACATAATGTTCTGCTGTAACTGGTACAGAAAATGCAGCAGATGTCTGCACATGTAACTGTGAGAGATGATTCTACCCTATCAGTTGCTTAAGGTATTACTTTGGAATTCATCAAAGGATGCCAACTATTGAGAAATTTATACAGCACAGCTGAGATTAGCCTTTTTTGACTATATAAAATATGGATATATTTAATGCCTTATATGCCAACACTGTTGAAATTCTCTTGCATGTGATAAAAGTTGAACAAACACCTGCATTTCATCCAAGTAAATAAATCTTAAAAGAATTTGCATTCCAGTGTTCTTCCAATGAATTTAGTAGGACAAATTTAAAAAGCTTAACTTGCAGACAGCTGCTAAGGAATTTTCAGTACAGTAAATGAAATCTTGTTATTATATTGTATATTTAGCATTAAGTAAACAACTCTGGAAATCTAGTCAATCTCCTTGAGATGCCACATAATAGATCCATGTGCCGTGCTAGCAGCAGATTTTGAGGAAAGTGGATAGCTACTGCCAAAAGCATTTCAGTGATAAAACGATAGGGCCCCTATCATTTCAGTGATAAAGGACCCCTGGACGGTTAAGTCCAGTCAAAGGCGACTATGGGGTGCAGCGCTTATCTCACTTTCAGGCCGAGGGAACCGGCCTTTGTACACAGACAGCTTTCCAGGTCATGTGGCCAGCATGACTAAACCGCTTCTGGTGCAATGAAACACCGTGATGGAAACTAGAGCACATGGAAACACCGTTTACCTTCCCACCGCAGCGGTATCTATTTATCTATTTGCACTGGTGTGCTTTCAAACTGCTAGGTTGGCAGGAGCTGGGACAGAGCAACAGGAACTCACTCTGTCTCGGGGATTCGAACCACCAACCTTCTGATTGGCAAGCCCAAGACGCTCAGTGGTTTAGACCACAGCACCACCCGCATCCAGCGAACACAACGAAATTATTTGCGGTTATGGAATGTTGCTAATATCTTTATGCGCCCCCTTGCCCAGACTGTCTGGAGTTTTGGGCTGGGTTGTCATCAATATGCTGATGACACCCAGCTTTATCTGTTGATGGACGGCCGCCCTGACTCGGCCCCAGACACACTAACCAGACGCTTGGAAGATGTGGCTGGATGGCTGCGTGGGAGCCGGTTGAAGTTAAATCCTTCAAAGACAGAGGTCCTCTGGCTGGGTTGGGACGACATGGGGTTGGGGGGTCAACTCCCACCTCTTGCGGGGGCTCAATTAGTGCCAGCTCCTTCTGTCAAGAACTTGGGTGTAACCTTCGATGCCTCCCTTTCCATGGAGGCACAGGTTGCAGCCACAGCAAAGGTGGCATTTTTCCAGTTCCGCCGTATCAAGCTGTTGGTCCCTTACCTTTCTCGCCCTGATCTGGCCACTGTGATCCATGCGACGGTCACCTCCAGGCTTGATTATTGTAACTCGCTCTACGTGGGGATGCCCTTGAAGCTGACCCAGAAACTTCAGCGGGTGCAGAATGCCACGGCGAGGCTCCTTAGGGGGTCCTTGCCATGGGATCACATTCATCCAGTGCTTTACCAGCTGCACTGGCTCCCGGTGGAGTACTGGGTCAGGTTTAAGGTGCTGGTTTTGACCTTTAAAGCCCTATGCGGCCTAGGACCCTCATACCTACGGGACTGCCTCTTCTGGTATGCCCTGCGGAGGACCCTAAGGTCCACAAATAACAACACTTTGGAAGTCCCAAGCTACAAGGTAGTTAGTACTGGCCCCAACTTGGTGGAACGTTCTGTCACAAGAGACTAGGGCCCTGCGAGATTTGACATCTTTCTGCAGGGCCTGCAAGACAGAGCTGTTCTGCCTGGCCTTTGGTTTGAACTCAGTCTGACCCTTATGTTTCCCTCCTCTTATGGTTTTGATTTATGGGCTACTATTAAAATGAGGCTATTTTAAATTGTATTTTAACCTGTATTTTAATAAACTGGTTGGTTTGTTTGTTTGTCCCCCCCCCCATTATGTTTTATTGTAATTTTATTGGGGATTGCAGCCCTGAGCCCGGCTCTGGCCCGGGTATAAATAAAATTATTATTATTATTATTAATCTCTTGCTAAAAACATTATTTGCTGATTGGTGCAGTTAGAGTACTAGAAAGGCACCATTATTATACTCAGGCTGTAAAATCAGGAATGCTTTTCACTGAGAAGTTTCCAATGTCTCGTATAACTGATCTCTGTGTTAGCCTGTTGCAGAAAAAAAACACAGCTTTCTATCATTTCCAGATGGGTGTTGATTTAGGAAGCTAAATCCCCTAAACCATGGTGCTTGGATACCAGCAACTAAGAATCCAACCTACCTCCTGCTCATCCAGGATCAAATATTTGCAGTAATAGGAAATGACAGCAAATACCACTGAAGGCAGAAGAGAGGAATGCTGTTCTGCTACTGTCTGCCAGGAATACACCTCAAGCACTGAGTAATCCAGTACATTCCCTGATTCTAGAGATTCTTGGAATTTGGGCTATTTATGAAATTAGGCTGCACCCTTATTTGGTCATACATCAAATTACCTCAATGGGGCTTACCTTTGAGTAAATTTAAAAAGGATTATGCTGCATTTTACATGCTCATATAGCGTAACTGTGGGACGTGGGTGGCACTGTGATCTAAACCACTGAGCATCTTGGGCTTGCCGATTGGAAGGTTGGAGGTTTGAATCTGCTCATGTCCCAGCTTCTGCCAACCTAGCAGTTTGAAAGCACACTAGTGCAAGTAAATAAATAGGTACTTCTGCGACGGGAAGGTAAATGGCATTTATGTGCACTCTGGCACTCATCAGTGTTCCATTGTGCCAGAAGCGATTTAGTCGTGCTAGCCACATGACCTGGAAAGCTGACTGTGGACAAACGCTGGCTCCCCCAGCATGAAGCGAGATGAGCACCGCAATCCCATAGTCACCTTTGACTGGACTTAACCGTCCAGGGTCCTTTACCTTTTTATAGGGAACTACTATCAGTGAAATACTACCAATATACTTGTTCTTTTATTTGGATTTTTCCATGTGCATGTAACATCAAACATCCACATACCTTAAATAACCATCACCTAGATAACCTAAGGAAGAAGAACAGCAAGAGCTGTATGGGCTAGTATTTCATGCAGTCCTGGAACACAGGAGCAATTATATTTAGCACCCCTTGTAACCCTTTTGCTTTTAACATTTCAAATTGTGTAGGTAAGCATTCCAAGGATATTCAATACAGAAATTTATTTTGACTATTACACCCAAATACTAACATTGACAGATGGCTGTATTGAAAAGGGATGACCAACTGGTGGCCTGCGAGCCAGATCTAAAATTTGGAAACGTCGGGGTGAAGAGTGGAGAGATGCCCATAGACTGACGTAAGGAAAATGATCAGTTTTCAAAAGTTCTGAGAGACAGGGATATAGCGATGCTAAAGATTTTTGTAAATTTTGAGTATAATAACTCATTGTGTGACAGATATTTAGAGGCTTTATAATATAAGGCTTTATCATTTGATAACCATTAGAGAGACCAACATACACTTCTAATCCATAGACCATTGCTTCTAGAAAATTCAAGGATCTCCCCTAATAATAGTTGAAAAAACAGTTTCCAATAGAAATTATTTAGTTCAAAACAAATGTAGAACCTCTGTTCAGAAAGATGCTTCGGCTGGAATCCACATGTTGCAGCACCCCTTGGAATGTGCCACATTTCAGTGTGATTTTCACAGTTTTCCTCAGGATGTCATGAAGGAAGTGGTAATTGCTGCTAGGATCCATTATGTTTTTTATCCTTCAAGGAATCTGGTGCTCAGCCTAAATAAGAAACTAAACAGAAAAGCTTTCTGTTAAGTTATCATTAGTACTATTATAAAAATTATTCTACAGTTAACAGGGACACTAAAGATAAACTACGTAAGGTAAACAAGAACTGCAGCAAGAAAAATATTTCAATTACTGTACTTTTCTGTGTATAAAACTAGGTTTTTTTTTACTAAAAAATAATGTTAAAAATGGGGAGTAGTCTTATACATGGAGGCAATCTCCCCCCATTTTCTTAATTTTGAGTCCCCAAAAACAGGGGGCGTCTTATACATGGGGGCGTGTTATACACAGAAAAATATGGTAATAGGCTTCCCATGGAATAGGGTATCATAAAAATCCAGGCCAAGAAATTTCCTATAAAGTGACATTGCAGAGCACAGATTGCACAGTAAAAAATTAAATGTAAAAAGGCTTGTCAAACAAGTGGCTAATGTTGCAGAAAAAGTCAAACAATTCAAAACTACTCCAGTGTGATCAGAAAGAAAACATTAAGGCTGCAATCCTAATCCCACTTACCTGGAAGTAAACCCCACTGATGTTAATAGGACCTACTTAAAAGTAGACATAGTTAGTTCTGTTAGTCATAAAATCCAGCTGTTTTGGATATTTGCAATTTGTAGTAATAACAGTTCAGCATGCAATTCTACATACTGGAAACTGCAATCAGCTAGCACCTTTAGTGGGCTATGGAAACAATTTGAGCAAACTAAAATTGAGCAAATTTGTATCTTTAATACACCTGCTCTAAAGGTGGATTAAGGTGATTTCATGTAAATGCTGTTATTTAATACACTTCATCTTGGCACTAGCCAACTCTATGTGTTATCCCTTGATATTGGAGAGTAAAATATGATAAGCTTTATCCTCCATACAGCTTGAAGCCACCACTAAATATAATTTTAAAGAGAGAAACTATTTGAAACCTTTTGCCCAGGGGTCAGCCAAACAAAACTACAGCATATTTTTTAAAATGGAAAGAGGTATTTATGCACAGCTGCAGCGTTTTAATGTGTGGGAACTAGCAAGTCTGCCCATTTAAAAGAATCAAATGCTTATCACATCACTTTTCATTATCCAGAGATCAGTTCCCACCACTATCACTGAAGTTTTGTGCATATGTAATTAAAGTTTTGCTTACTTTTTGCAGTTTAAGGCAAAAACAAAGAGCAGCATTATCAGTCACTCGAGCCCCCAGGTAGGCCTGCAAGGAATTTGTGACTTTGAAGAATGTATTTGAAAAGTTTGTTATTCCATTAAAACCTGTTTTGTAAGTAATGACACACCCTATTTCAGAATACAGAGACACTGTTTTCTATTTTGGGGTCTGGCAAATCTCTGAGGAAGAATAATCTTATAAGATTGCCACTTTGATACCAACAATTGGTCTATTACGTATAGAATTTGAAGGAAGAATTCAAAGGCAGGAAGATAAAAGCAAACTGAGGAAATTACTGACACGCTGCTTACATATAAAATGCATACATACATAGTTTTTACAACTCCTTAAACTTACATTTTGCTGAACTTGAAATATGCTTTAGGCACTCATTTCATCTCATTTTATCAATACACATAGCACCAAGGGATAAAATGACATCCATATTAGATTTTAATTCTAAAAATAAATTTAAGACAAACTAGTGCCACAAGGATTATAAACCAGCTCTTGAGTGTCACAGTTTTTGAAACTTTATCACAATAAGGTATGAAAAGGAAGTGGGAGGAAGACACTTTATCTTGTCCAAAATCTAGAAAACTGCAGGTTTAAAGAAATTAAGGTGGAAGTGTGTGCCATACCGATCTAGGTTTTTCTGACAAATTCAAGTCTATATTTTTTTTTACTAAAATGTGCTTTTAGCCCACTCTTCCAGGGCAAGCTACAATAAAACAGCATGAAAGATAAAATAATCCAATAATAAATACCAAGGCATTAAGATGTATGTGAGATTCTTGGCCGTATTCAGCACAACTTCAGAACAATCCCAAACAGATTTACTCAAAAATGAGGCCTATTAAATTCAGTAAGAATTGCTTTCTACATATTGATAAGATTGCAATCTTATACGTCTATTCAAAAGTAAACCATATAGAGTTAAATAGGAACTTACTCCCAAACAAGTGGGGATAGGACCACAGCCTTGGTAGCCAAATGCAAGTGATCAGGCCGGCAGACAAACCATGAAACCACACCCAACATAGAAACCAAGAAAACTGTGAGATTATAGGAACCTGCTGCTCCGCATTCACCACACAAATATAGCAGACTTTTTGCAAGATAACCAGAATTCTCCCTTTTCCCCTCTGCAGGCTTCCAGCAAGCTTTTAAATACCGTACTCTTGAAGCCGAGGAGCTTTTTGTAGTCTTATTTACAAAAAGGTGCCTTAGAAGTGAGCCATGATGGTGTAACAGGTTGCTTCCTCTGCCTTTGATCTTATTAAAAGTAGCTGCACCTGATAAAGAAACTGATGTGAAAGGATTGCCCCTTCAGTCAGGAGATTAACAATTTTGACAATGGGCATTGTTGACTATCAACACCAAGATTAGAATAGCCACTATTTATTACGTTTTGTCTGAAAACTCTTGTGCATTTCCCTGAAATAAAACACTGTCAGCAGAGGAAAAAGAGCTTAAGTTACATATTGTTGGGAACCGCCCTGAGATCTATTGGGTATAGGGCGGTATACAAATGTAATGAATAATAAAATAAAATAAAAATAAAAATATACACTACAGCTAAGGGGCAGCTTCTTCTCGCCTAGGAAAGCTGAGGCCATTTTGAAAACCTGCAACGTAAAATTATTTCACAGCTCCTCCACTCACGAGGACTTCCTGGACTTCACATAGAAATGAATGCATGACTAGCTTAAAGACCGCGAAGCCGGCGCAACCACTAGGAGGGCGTAAGCGCCAGACTACAATTCCCACAGTCCTTTGCGCCTCGCCAGACTGGAAAGTAAACAATAATTGGGGAGGGGGGGTAAACCCGCTACCTTTCAACACTTTCGAGGCTAACCAGCATAGAATGGTGTAATATTTTTTAAATGCCTATGCCAAGTTCATCAAATACAAGGTAGATATAACCGCCGTTGTGGACTGGAGCTGGTATTTTTTTTCCCAGAGAACGATTAAAAACCGCCCACGGTGACGTCAGAATCAGACCGATCAGGGCAACCGAGAAGGCAGGAGGGTCGTTCTGCGCAGGCGTAACGCGCGGTAGGCGGGGCTACCGTGGTCTCCCTCGAACTGCCGGGGGCGGGACGGGGGCGGAGCTCGCGGCGGCGATAAGAGGAGGGGCGGCGCTCTGGCCCTCTGTGTCCCTCGCAATCTCGGTCGCTGGCGCAGCGTCTGCGCGGCTGATTGGCTGGCCGACTCGCCGCACGGAGGACCGCCGGCCTTAGGCCAAGAGCAGTCCCTCTGGTGCTTCGTCCAGGCGGTTGTCCGGCCGTGAGGCAGCAGCCGCGATGGGCTCCCGGGCTTCCACGCTGCTTCGGGACGAGGAGATTGAGGAGATCAAGAAGGAGACAGGCTGTGAGTACCGAGAGAAGCAGCTGGAGACCGGGGGCGCTGGGCTGGCCTTGCTTTCTGCGGCCGACACCCATTCACGGTCTCGTAACGCGAGGCGGACGAGCGAGCCACCTGCGTTTTTTCACCTTCCAGGGCCGAAGGTGTCCGGGCTGAGGGAAGAGGCGTCGCTACTTGTCAACCGCCATTCCCCGCCGATATACCTGGGAGCCTTTTCGGCGGCATTGGGTGACCCTTGACTGAGGCGCCTGTGGCTTGGCCTGAGTCGGGGTCGCCCGCAGCCCGGGAAGCTGTGTGGGAAAGGAAAGGAACTTGGGCAGGTGCCGCTTATCCTGTCACAGGACTCGGGAGTGAGAAGTGGCACCTGCCGACATTCCTCCTCCTGCGCACCTCTTAAAAGTACAGGAGCCCCACATTCTGTTGCCTCTGGTCACCTCCTTTTGCCGCGTGACGAGAAAGGTCAAGTTCCCAAAGGCGTGCCTCCTTCCTCTTCAAGTTGCCCGGCTGCCAAATTCTGGTACAAGGTATGCTGTGTGAGGCGCAGCCTATAGTTACCGACCTGATAAACTTGGCACGTAGGCGTCGATACTATTCCGACCGAAGTATCTTGATACCTTGTGTGTGTGGTAGCCTTCTGTAAGAGAAGAGAGGGGTTTTTTTGACGTCTGACTGCTGTGAGTTGCCCTCCCCTTGATGAATCGGCAACATCTGAACTTTCGAAATGGTTGCAACATCAGTTTGCTATGTGCTGTTTTAAAGTCAAATGCTCAACCTGACAGTGGGTTGGAGGAGCATTTTTATCGTACTTTATCCTGCCTTAGTGATTTTTAAAATTATTCTGCTTAATTTGCCCCGTATAATTATGGGGGGTATAAAGCCCTTGTAGGAGCTCTTTCCATGTGAGTTGTAGCAGAGTAGAGAAGGGAAAACAACTCTACACAGGCCCTCTTAATTACAAGTGCTACGCTTGTTCCTGAGGTAAGCATTCAGGACAAGTGCTAGCTTAAATTAAGCCTCTATTTGTTGTGAATGCTCCAACCTGTATCAAAAGTGTTGCTTGCTGCATTCTAGATTTTCTTTCAAAGTGTTAAAGGTGCCCCTCCTGCAGTTCTATGAATCTAAGTGCCATGCACATTGGTGGCACATTATTTATGTATAGAATGCATTTCCTCTTGACATGCACTGGAGCATTCAAAGGACTGGTTAACATTTTTTATTTCATTTATAAATTCCTTTCCATGAGACACCCTGAAGCAATTGTGTAAGCAGTTCTGATAGTCTTTAGCACAACTTTATTTAGGGCACTTTTGATATAAAACATATTACAGCCTTTATCTTATTACAAAGATGAACACCCACATGATATCGTTGGAATTCTCATTTTACAGCTTGTTTTCTGAGGCTCAGATAGCAACTTGCCTAAGGCCTCTTGATGGCTCCATGGCTTAGTAATGTACATCTCCCATAGCCCAACAGAACGTTATATAGTGGGCAAAAATACAACAGAAAACAAATGTGCTATTAGGTTATAGCTACAGACTAGTTACACATGACTATTATTTTTCCTACCCCAGTTCTGGATTAGCAAATCCCGTCTACTGTTTTGACTAGTAGCAAATGATAATATATCCATCTACAGATATTTGATTCCTAGTATGTAGCATGTAGTTAGTTCGCTTGAAAAAATAGGAAACGTGAAAGTACAAAAGTTCAGTCAGGACATTCGATTTTCTAAATTGCCAACATGCAGTTCCTGGTAGTGCCAGGTGATCTGTGGATTACTGCCTTATTGCATGATTGATCTCACCTTTTTCAATTGTTTAATTACAATGAAAGAAGCTAATAATATATTATTTCCAATAATTACTTTGTGTATGTAAGCAACTACTGTATTTACCATAGGGATATAGCATGTCTATACAGGTAGGCTTACTGAGAGTAACACAGTAAGGAGGAATTCTAGAGGAAACTAAGCAAAAGCTACAGTCACTAATTATGCTATATTACATAGTTTAATGCTCTAGTAGCTACTGATTTTTTTCATTACTTGTTCAATGGTACAAACTTGGCACTAAGAAAAACAAATTCAATTAGATTTTGTCGTCATAGTGCTATCAGTTTAATATAGGGGTCGGCAACCTTTTTCAGCCGTGAGCCAGTCCACCGTCCCTCAGACCATGTGGTGGGCTGGACTATTTTTTTTGGGGGGGGGGAGAACAAATTCCTATGCCCCACAAATAACCCAGAGATGCATTTTAAATAAAAGCACACATTCTACTCACATAAAAACACGCTGATTCCTGGACCGTCCGCAGGCCGGATTGAGAAGGCGATTGGGCCGCATCCGGCCCACGGACCTTAGGTTGCCTACCCCTGGGTTAATACTACTATTCTGAGTAGTGCTTTATTCTCGGGAAGCTAAATTTTATGTTATGCAATTATTTGATCCTTAATAAATAGAATTATTAGCGGGAGCATAAGGTGTATAGAAGCAGCCCAATGGTTTATATTCAGTAGTGGTTTGGGGCTAGCAAAAAGCATCCCTGCTTTTTACATTTTCTTGTTGGATGTCTGTATGTGGCTTATGGTAAAATAAACTAGCACAACTTTCTCAGATCAGCATATTTTTGAGAAAGATGTTAGCAGCAGCAACAATATTGTATGGACATCACATATACATTTACTTATATATTAGTACGAAATGCAAAGGCTTTTAAAAATGAGCCAAAATAGTAAATTTGCTGGCAAGAAGCAGAAATAGTACCTGAAGAATACTGTTTATTCAGTAAATGTCTGGATCACTAAACATTTAAGAAAAGGTCAGAAGACTGGAATTGAGACATCAACTGAATAATCTGAATCAAAATTGGAAATTATGTAGTACCTTTTTAGCCAACTATAGAGGAATGAGCCATCATAGAAAATGATCTTGGCAGCCTGTCAGAGCAGCAATTTCTAGAAAAGTGTGCATTTCAGATACTATTGCTGTGAAACAGTTTCTAAGGATAGCTTATGTCTATCATATGCTTATGTTCCTAGTTTTAATGAAAGGGCAGTTATGTGAGGTGCTGATTGGGAGTCATTCATCCTTAACACCTGCAGTTCCTAATGCCAGCTACAATGTCTTGCTATGGGACATTTCTCATGTACTTGCTAAGACACACAATGACTGCAGAGACTACATCAAAGTGTATGATGTTAATTGTGTGCTTTTCAAAGTCAGGCTTTGGCATTGGCTGAATTTGATATTTTTTGAGATTAGGCCCTTGCTGTAGTTGAGATCACACTTCATGAAGACTGCAGACGAGTTATGGTCTTGGCAAGGCTACACATAAATACATTATAAATCAGAAACTTTAATGTGCATATAAGTGTTGCTATTTTATGCTTTATTCAGTGATTCTGTTTTTCATTGTAAGCAAGATTCATTACAAAAAACAACATTGTTAACAAATTCATTGTGCACAAGCAGTTGTTAGGACTACAGTCTACTTTAGCAAATACAGCATCTAATGGAAAAGTCCATGGAAGCTTATGCTACAAGTCCTTAAGGTACCACAACAGTCTTCATTGCAAGAGACTAGCACAGCTATTGCTCTGGCAAGAGAAGTTAGAGATGGCAATCTCATTGCATATAATTTATGCAAAAATTTATGTTTTTGTTTTGGTGAAGTATACGTTTCAGTTACTGTCTCAAGGCTTATTTAAGAAACAGATCAGGTAGCTGTTTATCATAATTGTCAAATTCATGGGGTCAATCCAGTTGGTACCTTTGTGCCCATGGATAGGTATTTGATCAGTTGAATGCCTCTGCTAATGGACGAAAGCTGGTTGCTTGCTGCAGCCCCCAGTGTCCCCAAAAATTGGCTCCAGGGTTTGGGGACCCTTTTGAAAAGGGTAGATGATTGGGGGACTGTCTGGGAAAGCCCACATTGGGAAGGCAGCCCTGTTTAGGGAAGCTTTTAATGTTTGATGTATTACAGTATTTTAATATTTTTTTGGAAGCCGCCCAGAGTGGCTGGGGAAGCCCAGCCAGATGGGCGGGGTATAAATAATAAATTATTATTATTAAAAAGTAAAGGTAAAGGGACTCCTGACCATTAGGTCCAGTCGTGACCGACTCTGGGGTTGCGGCGCTCATCTCGCTTTACTGGCCGAGGGAGCCGGCGTGCAGCTTCCGGGTCATGTGGCCAGCATGACTAAGCCACTTCTGGCGAACCAGAGCAGCACACGGAAACACCGTTTACCTTCCCACCGCAGCGGTACCTATTTATCTACTTGCACTTTGATGTGCTTTCGAACTGCTAGGTTGGCAGGAGCAGGGACTGAGCAACGGGAGCTCACTCTGTCGTGGGGATTCGAACCACCGACCTTCTGATCGGCAAGTCCTAGGCTCTGTGATTTAACCCACAGCGCCACCCGCGTCCCCATTATTATTATTATTATTCCTTCTGCTTCCATTAACAGGTGTTCACTGAATCAAAAGGCTGAGTGCAAGGCCACCAGTTAGATCCCACTCATAATTAATTACACCATCAGTTTTTGTAATAAGAGTTTTTGCAAGCTCATCTCAATGTCGGAAACCCCCAACTTGCTGTCAAACACTTAATTAAATGTGGCTTACCTACTGTGTGTCATAAAGCCCCATGTCCGTTAACTTATAAAGAAGAGTCTTATTGCAAATAACTCAAAGTAAAAATATGTGGCTTTGCATATAATTACAAAAAAAATGTATGACAAAACTATGAATACCATGTGTAATATTAAAATGGTTCTTTCAGCTATCTGGCAAATAGGCCACTGCACTTGGACTTTGAAATGTAAATTACATGGTGGTGATTGTTAGTCAGACAAGAACAATATCCAGATTATGTTTATCAATAATTTTTTTAAACTTTCTGCCTGGAATGTTTGCATTTCATAACACTTTTTCAGATGTTTCCTTAGTTAATATCAAGAGAAAAAGACAAACCTAGTCTTGTAACCTTAGCTGCTTAAAGTTTCAGACACACTCTTGTTTTAAAGTTATAGTTTGCTGGGGAATAATGCAAATGGACCCTGCAAATTTACTCATCAAAATTAAAAATAACTTTCAGGGAGAGCTTTGTAGCCAGGGAGATCTACCTTAGCAACTTAAAAGGCTATTGGTAGTGAGGAGAGGATGTGCCATATTTTCATTGAAACCTGGCATCTACAGTATTTTTTGCTAGGTAAAGCTAGTCACTGAAACCAGTATGATAGATCAGAAAATTTAGAATACTGTATTCGTATTCTTTTATCAGAGCCCTGGGGAACAGCTTTTTAAAGAGAGATCAAGTTGATTCGTGTTCTGTGGAATTAACAAGGTTGTTCCTTCCTCAATTTAGCATGCTTTAAAACCATTTGGAATTGCTTTAATGGAGTTTTTTGCAGTGTTGGCAGCTGAGTGGTTTAAACTTTAAACTACTTTCAGCTGGAAAGGAAACTAGATTTTATCCAGAGGCTGAGGTAGCCTAGGGCTCCAGAACTGTCTGAATTTAAAGAGAGACTAGGAACAGGCTTCCCTCTTAGCCAAGTCAGTGGACTAGTTAGTACTTCAGCCTTGTAGTTGGCCTTTGCCTGGTTGCCATAGGTGACAAGGAATTGGTTGCAAACAAGTGTATGGAATCCATCCTGGTGAGCTGGTGAAGGAAGGACAGATTGTCCACTTGGTTTCTGTGCAGGTCACAGAAAAAGTGAAGCACTTTCATCTACAACCAACAAAAAAATGTGGTAGTCTGATGGGAGAGGAAAATATATCTGTTCCTCACCTACAGGCCTACTGTATTTGTTAGCTATAGGCCACTAGACATCAGTCGGCATGCAACCTTGGAAATGTTTTGTGGACTTTCTGGCAAGGCTGTAATAAATTTACCTATGTCATACCTCTTCTTAAGACATGTCTGTTTAGTGAAATGTTTTACCAAATGCTATTTGTCTAGAAAGAGGTACTGGAACTCACCATGCATGTCTCCCTCGTTGTCTTAGAATGGCAATCGCGCCCATCTGAGAGGTGGCAGAACTAAATTGCAGCGAGTTCCAGCTGAAAAAAGCCCTGGTTTTACTAATAAAGGAGTGAAATGTTTTACCAATAGAGGGGTAATAGGACTTAAAATCTGAATGGAGGTCATTTTAAAATGTAAACATCCAGCAAAATCAATGTCCTGACCCCTCAAATGTAATGAAATTACTCTTACTCTGTATTGAGTAGTGTGGATTAATTAATTTTAAAATGTTGCTGTTCAATTGTAAGTTTTAATTTATTTTTGCTTCAGTTTCCCACAGTCAGATTACTCGTCTGTACAGTCGGTTTACCAGCCTAGACAAAGGAGAGAATGGCACTCTTAGGTAGGTACTCTTTAGCAAACTTCATTGTACTGACTCACTGCTTTTGCTTAGTGCCTTACTGTATTAACTTGCTCACTGCCTCTGCCCAGTTTCCCTTGATTTACCCCCTCTAGCTGCAGCCCTCTTCCTCCCATTCCATGCATTTCCTGAGAGTCCTCTGATCCCCAGGAGGCTATTTGGGACACACATTGGGATGCAGTGGGGGAAGGAGGAACCAGAGAATTCCTGTTGTTTGAGTGTATTGGGTGCAACCCATAATCCCTGTTCAGGTTTTATGCTTCATGCAGTTACAATCATGTGAGGGACAATGGAACTGCACTTACTCTCACTGTTGCATTACCTGCCAGTTCAGCCCCCTGCCCTGTATATGTTGGGAGGAAGGTCTACTACGTACATAGACTTTCCCCTTTGCAATCCCAAACCCTGGGTCCTAAAATGTGTAAGGAGCCTTTGTACAAGGGTCCCATGTTCAACACCCCCTTCCTCCAAAATGCATGTCTGAAGCTGTGTTTTAAGGAACAAAAGAGCGGGGCCAGTAACACATAGTCGAATTTAGAACACCAAGCCTTGTTATAATTGTCATAATCATATACATAACTGGGTAATATTAGTGGAGATGAGAAATGAGCTGCGTACGTAACAATGCACATCACAGTAGAAGTACAGCATTTCCTTTAAAAACTTTCCCCTGCATTTCAGCAAAGCTTTCAAGGCAGCACCATTTAAAAGGTGCTGAGGAGCAGAATTGAGAACAGCAAAGCAGTTGTTACTGTTGTTAAAATTTGTATACCGCCCTATACCTGTAGATCTCAGGGTGGTTCACAACATAAAATTACAATATAAAAAACAAAATATGTGATGAGAACAGAAAATAGGAACAGAAATAAACCTCCGCTTCCATACGGGAGAACATTTATTCCTTTTCCCACCCTCCATAAATCATTTTCCAAATTTGTAAGAAACACATATCTGGCCTACACAGAATATAAAAACAAGAAGGAATCATGTGACACCATCAAGGCTTAACAGTTTTATTGTGGTTATAAGTGTTTGTAGACAAGAGCCCACTTCATTGTGCCTTAATAATAAATCTTCTAATCTTTAAGGTACTACAGTACTCCTGAGTTTTACTTAAACTGTTTCAGCTCAGAATACAGGGTAGATCATTTTTGTTACCTCTTGCCAAGTTGTCTTCCCTATATTTTGAGCCAAAACAGTTTAAGCAAGAGAAAAGATCATAAATTCATGTTAAGTATGAACGTGCAAAATTTCTAGTGAGTTGGTTAATTTGGGAGTGGCTGTAGGAATAAAAGTTCCAATTGCAGTGTGGCTTTGAATCCTGACTGATTTCAGGGCAGACTGCTATTTCTCAAACTTATGGACTCTCCAGAATGGCTAAAATGCCATTCTAATAGCCCATACCATATTGATGTAGATATTAATGTCAAAACAAAGTGTTCTTTTTAAACTGAAACCCACTATTTCTTACATTTATATCCTGCCTTTCTGCTGTCATGGAACCAAAGGCAGTGTTTATATGGTTCTTGGACAATTGCACATCTAGGCACAGACCAGACCCATTTCTCACACCAGCATGCTGACAAATCCTCCCTTAAATCCATCAAAGTATATGGCTCCTGTAGTTGGAGTTAATCTCTTGACCTAAACAAGAGAGGATTATGAAATGAGGAGGATTTGGAAGTAGATACAATCTTAGGAGCAACTTAGTTTGCTGTTGAAGATGGAAATACAGAAAAGTCTAGAAACAATAACTTTTAGTATTAAAAAAACCCTCTTTGTAAATAGATTGCAATGCTGATAACAGTATTAACCGTATACTTTTATGTCAACAGACAAGGCAGGACAACTCATTACTTCATAAACTTGACTTTTTGTCACTTTCTCTTATGATGAAATGTTTGAATAAGTATTGATGGTACTGTAAAGTAAGATGGAAAAGTCAAACTGAAATAAAAATGAAGCAGTAGTACAAACACGAGCTAGTTCTGTGGTGCATTCTCTCTGTTCAAACATTACAGAAAGTGGAAATGTTGCTGAAGGTATGCCCCACTCTATAAATATGCTACAATATGTGTAAAGTATATGGTTTGGCAGAGCGATTTATTGAGTAGAAGATGTTTGGATTTCTGTGATTCAGAATAAGCCCAATGAAAGGATGCTATTAGGCTTCAAAAACACATTAATTCATGGGTAGATCCTGTTGGATAGTGTTCTATGGCATGTGAACAGAAGAAGAAAATAATTCCTGTAAGTTCCAGTCTAAGCCAGGTGAAGTCGGTTTTGCTAAAAAAAAAACACACACACACACAGCTTGCTTTTCAGTATTCATTTACTTTTATGATGTGTGTAGTGTTTTCCAGTTAGTGTTCTTACTTGGATAATGTCCCCTTCATAAGCTCAATGGCTGGTAGCAATGACAGTAATAGATTTAAAATGCAATAGTTACAGTTGGTTAATGTTTAACCTTAAGCTAAGCCATAAAATATAGAAATTAGAAGCTTATGCATTCAGATTTCAGAAGCTGAATCTTTACAAACAGGGAGGGTATGTTTTAGAACACTGGAGAGTCTGACACATACATGCAACAGGAGATTTGCTGCTTTTCATATATCTGTCACACTGTTTGGACCCAAGGGGAGGTGGAGTACTTGGGGTGGGGGGGTTAACTGCAATTTCTCCAGTTTAAATGTTTCATTGGAAATTGCTGTTTTCCCCTTCTGGGCAAATAGCAGTTTAAAGTTGAGTGCTGTTTAAATCAGGAAAATGGCACAAGGTAAAATTATTATTTAATAACAACACTTCCCCCAGCACCCCAGTCCCTATCCAAATTATTTCGCACCCCCAGTAGCCTTTAATATGAGAGAGAAGTGAAAAAACTTATTCAGATTTCCTGGGTCACATCTGGTTTGGCTCAAAGTCACTAGAGTTGCTTGGCTGTAATTATCAACTGCAAACAGAATCACCTCACTTGATTTTTTAAAAACTAAACAGCCACAAAGGTTGTAGCAGGCTTAAATTTTCTGTACAGAGGTTCCCAGTTAGCTAAATACTGTACTGCAGAAACATGTTTTTTAAAATCTAAGCCATGGACTCCCTACGTTTGAATATTTTCATATCTCTATGGTAGTTTTTGTTATGTGAATAGTGCAATGGACCCCCTGGGTGGGATACATGCCCCCGGGGTCTGCAAACCACTAATTGGGAGCCACTGGCATAGTGAATTTGGATATTCTGTAACTTACGTATAGGTGGAAACAATTTGGGGGAATATGCTAATTCATAGTGACTGGGGCAGAAGCAGAGATGATACTCTCTCTGCCCTATTGCTTTTTACTATCCTCTGAGGCTGTCTGTAACAAGACTTTACAGATTTTAGAAAGGCATTGAGGGCCATTAGCATTGAATTTGCCCACTGGGTCACTCCTGAATGAACAGTGGTGTGAACAGTGCACTTGCTACTCCATTCTTCCCAAGGGACAATGCATCTGCTTTGGAAGAGTTATTTTCCTTAGCTAATAATTCCCTGTTGCAGATTGGAACTGGCAACTATGGCTGCATAAAGAAAGAACAATTGCTATGTGAGCTGGGAAATAGAATTTATTTTATTGAAATATAAGGTGAAAGAGCCATTTGACAGTGCCTAGATGCACGTGGAAGATGATGCTTAAGAGGTTAGTATTCCATGAAATCAAGGCTGTAGCTGGAGTCAGATTGATTCAAGCCTACTGTAGGACCAACACACCACATTCTGCATATATTCTGTTGTCGAGGGGTTTCTCCTTTGAGTTTTATGGGCAAAAAATACTTAAGAGGCTTTTGCCACATTCCAGATGCCATTCATGGTGTTAGCTGGTTTTCAACATCATGGTAATGCTATCACCCAGCCCTACTCACCACTGCTGAGTGGATTCAAACCATCAACCTTCCAGTTGGCAAGCCCAAGAAGCTCAGTAGTTTAGACCACAGCATCACCCTCTCCCTGTACAGCTATATATAACCATCCTGAAAGAAGGCTGCCACTCAGTGCTGTGTTATGTATATTAAAATGTATATCGGTTTAATTCCTGAGGCAGGTAACCAGGGCAAGCAATAGTTAACTTATTTTGTTTGGGTAATTTATCTGACACCAGCTTAACCTTGGCTGTTGAATGTCAGCCAGAACTTTTTACAGCTGTTCTGAAAGTATTCAGGCTTACTCTGATAGATATCTAGGTGAAGGTTCATCTCCTCTCAAGGACATGGGAAGCAGTCAGCAAGAATGACTTTCTATGTATCTTTGTTTGGATTTGTCACATAGATGACACGGTCAAAGCATTGCTCTTAGTTAATCTTGGCTGTCATGATGATATAAAAGTAGGTGTATGGTTTATTTAAGATCACCCTTCTCCCAAGTTTACATCACCCACATCTATCTAGCAACTAAGACCATATCCTATGCACTACTATGGGACTTGCTTCCCAGTCAACATGCACTGGATACTCTATCCTACTTATGATTTCTCAGTATCTACAGTATGCAACAATAAAATAAATATATCCATTTGTACTTACTTGTTGGTTATATTCAGCATCTAATAGGAGTTTAAACTACTTAGATTCATTATTTAGCCATGATAGTGTTCTTTATGCAATCATATTCATAGTACCTGGACACTATTTATTGTTTGGAAGTACAGTATTACACATTTTGTCTTTTGCTTGCGTCAACTTGCCTGATGTGATGCCCTTCATATTCACTATGATCTGCCCATGGTATACTTTTGTACTCCATGGTTCAAAAACTATAATCAAGGGTTGCTGAAATAGTGGTTTGAATTAAAAGCAATACATTTCCTATATTTACCACTTTGTACCAAAGCTTGCAGTGTAGAAAGAGAGATCACTAGAATCCCCTCATTTTAAGAATATCACCAGCTAAATATCATGATATCTTGATGTATCATATATATCTGTGGTGGTGAAGAGCTTTGCTGGGCCTCCCCGCAGGGGCAGAAGGTATCACTATACCTCCTTGCAGCAGTGGAGTGTGTGCCGCGCTTCCCTGCAGCAGAAGAGGACCTTGCTGCGCCTCCCCGTGGCAGCAGAGGGTCCCGCTGTACCTCCCCATGGCATCTGCTTCCCCACTCAAAGGTCTAAGTGGAATCTCTGCATGCATAAGTCCCACTGAGTTCAACTAAACTAACTTCTACTTTCCTTGGAATAAGCTCTATTGAATCCAGTATGGCTTGCTTGTGAGTAGACACACATTTGCTTTCACTGCTTACGGAAAAACATCCTCCCCATCATTCTCATACAGTACCCAATCCAATCACCCATTTCAGCATAAGACAGCCAGCTAAATCTTCTCCCTTCCATTCTCCCCCCCACAGAAGCCCCCCCCCAAAGCCCTCATCCCACCACTCTCCCTTTTTATCAAAGGGAGGTAGGGAGGTCAAGCAAGCAAAAAGATAGTCTCCTTCAAATTAAAAAAAACAACAACCGTTTTTAATATGGAGGAAAGCTATTTAGGGAGAACCAATAACATAAACACCACCAGAAAAGAAAGACCCCCCTTTTTTTTTCACTGGTGAGGGAAGAAAGAAGTGTTTACCAGTTATTTGTTTACTTTGCCTCTGGGGTGGAGCCATGGGGTGTCCCTCCAGGCTCTGCATAATTAGCTGACCTCTAAGTGGAAAGATACAGGTGAAGCTGGTTTGTGTGAGGGCTTATGGTCATTTCTTATGGGGAGGAAGGAGAGCAAACAAAGCTGAAGACACCTGCAAAGTATCGTTCAGTTGCTCTGTTCCAGCTTTTGCCAACCTAGCAGTTTGAAAGCACACTAGTGCAAGTAGATAAATAGGTACCGCTGCAGTGGGAAGGTAAATGATGTTTCTGTGTGCTTTTGCTTCTGTCACGGTGTTCCGTTGCACCAGAAATGGTTTAGTCATGCTGGCCACATAACCCGGAAAGCTGTCTGTGGACAAACGCTGGCTTCCTCAGCCTGAAGCGAGATGAGCTCCACACCCCATAATTGGACTTAACCGTCCAGGGGTCCTTTACCTTCTTTTTAAAAAATCTATATAGCTATAAATTAATATTACACAATTGGGAATTTACTATTGGTGATGGGTGTTATGAACTGAAAATACAAAAGTCCGCAGCCCAAAACTCATTTTCTGAAACTGAGTTTTCTTGAGGTTTACTATTTTCATGATCAATGAGTGCCAATTAATGAGCTTAACATACTGGATCTTTACTTTTTAAAAAAGAAAAAACTTTTTAAAAACCCCTCATAGCTGTTGTGTGATATCTGAACCATAAATTTCAATCAGCCCTGTTATAAAAAATGAATGTTTAACATGAGTGTTCAGAGATCTTATTCTATTATTATTCATTGAAATTGTAGCCGTGAAGATTTCCAACGCATTCCAGAACTTGCCATCAACCCACTGGGGGACCGGATTATCAATGCCTTTTTTCCAGAAGGGTAAGTTGCACAGTGTTTCTTCTTAATAAGTTGCTTGGTGTGAAGTGCTCGTAGGACTAATTTAAGATGTGGATTCTTATATTCTATTCTTGACACTGTAAAACAATCTGCTGGACTTCAGATACAATATTGGGGACTGGAGCGTCAGTTACTAACTATTCAAAGTAAAACTTTATTAATATTAGGTATTTGTTAATGCTTTAGTTCCATTTATATTCTGCCACATTTATATAATGGCACCAAAAATATCTACTTCACTTCCCAAATTCCCTTCACTAGCTGAGAAGTAAAACCCTGACTACCTTTCAGTTGATGCTCTAAGTAGGGGTCTGAAATTTTGGGCCAGTTGTAATTGCCAGGCTCCTTCCCCCTGCTGATTGGGTGGAGGCAAGCACCTCTGCTCAGTAACAAAGAAGTTCCACAACCTTTCTCTCCTACATCAACAAGAGGTAGGGAGAGCATATTTCAAAGGAGAGCAGAGCCCCAAGGCTACTACATCAGCCAGTTTTTCAGAAGGAAAAACATAGTTAAGTTTGGAGCAGCAAATTGCACTGAGACTTTGAATAGCAGCATATTTCCAAATGCCTGTGTAAACAGGTGAAGTGAGTACCTGGTGCCAGAAGCCCAATACTATAGGGCCCATCCATGCCTCCAGGGGGAGAGAACTTCTCAGTTGAGGAGCCACAACAGAGAGAATTCTATCCCACGTCAATGTACAACTGCCTACAACAAACACAGCAAAAATAGCAAGAAGCACCTCCCTGCTAATCTAAGGATCTGGGATGGTTGGTAATTGTTGAAGGCTGACTAATTTTTATAGTTTAAGTTATAGTTTTGAGATGGTAGTTCAATAATGTTCCGTTAAACAGCAAAATAAAATAACAGCTGAGAAGAGAGACCAAAACAGTGTACATGGAACAAGTATAGAAAAATAACAGCAAAATATGAAACTGCATTCTCCAAACTCTGGTAAATTTGTTTGGATATTCTTGTTTAAAGTATATTGCTTGATGGATTTGCAAAATGTAATAGATTGTGTGTATCTTCTCTGGTATAGAGAAGACCAGGTGAATTTTCGTGGATTCATGAGGACTTTGGCACACTTCCGACCCATTGAGGATAATGAGAAAAGCAAAGACCAGAATGGGCCAGAACCACTTAATAGTCGGAGCAACAAGCTGTACTGTAAGACATTTTTAACTGGACATCTATTCAGGCTAATTGTACTGCTTTGTATTCTTCTTTGTAATCCTGCAGCTTGGAATCTGTTCCTCTTCTTTTAAACTTAGTTTAAACCTGGATACAAATCTTATGGAAACAAGAGTAGAAAGTTACCTAAGTGAAAGTGGATTTTTGTCACTTTTGCTGGCTGTGGCTGATGAGGAGTTGTAGCCCAGCCATCCAACGGAATTTCCATTTTCTTTCCTCCTCCCAAAATCTGCTCTGGATGGTCCCTCAATACCGCCCCCCCCAGCTGTTTTTGAGGGTGCACAGGGACAGGAGAGGAACAGGAAATTCCATTGCGTGCCTGGAAGTCTGTTGTGTGAGTGGTGCTACAGTGTTGGGCACAGCCAGTTGTTTCTGTCCTAATGTAACAAAGCCTATAACCAAGCCCAAGTACATGGTACTGAAATAATTGTATTTGGAAAATGCTGTGCACATTGATGGTGCTGCTTTAAATGAATCATCGTAATATATCTTCCATGACCTCACATTTTACTTTATAATATTCTTAGATTTACATAAGATACTCAACAAATCTTAAATTATTGGTAAAACTGTTGAAGCAGGCTAACTTTCCATGTGTAAATATAGGCATTCTATATAAGCATTCTATAAATTACTGCCTGATAGGAAAAAGAAATCTGTTTAATGTGCTAGCATGTATCGGTAACTGGTCAAAGAAAAAGAAAAACCCAAGAATTTAAGCATAACTATTTTGGGACAGCAAAATTTCCTTTCTTGGGCATTTAGTGTGAACCTGAAAATGTCTTCTCCAGTCAGTGAGATGAGTCCATTATGTTCCCTCTATACTCCTAAGATAGGCCTTTGGTCAGATGCAGCACAGTTACTCTCCTATTCTTAAAAATGATCACCTCAAGGAACAGTCAAGTTTTAACTGATTGGTGTCTTTGTGGTTGCCAGTAGTCAATGACTATGAAGAATAAGGGAAGAGTGTTTGTAGTATGGGGGCACATTGCTCTGGTTCGATAATGTATTCTGTATATGGCAGCAGTGGGAAAGAAAGCGGGGATTTTTAGTACAGGCACCTCCCCATTTGCACCTGATCATGCGTGCGACTGCTGACACACTCATGCCTTTTTGGGGGCCCAAGGGGGTGGAGCAGGCTGGAACATACTTGCATGTGTCCCAGAGCAGACCCCCTGCATAAGCAGGGATTCCCCTATATATCATTTTTTCCCCTTATCCAGAAATTCCCTACCAAAATGTGACAGTTTGTTTACTTTTTATTTTCTTTTGTATTTTTACTTAACATTCTGGCATTTATGGCAGTTCCTAAGCAACACGACTGGTTCAACAATCTGTGGCTTTTTAATGTGTTCGTAGGAAGGGGTTATTGGTTTTTGTTGTTCATAGAATCATAGAGTTGTAAAGTACTACAAGGGTCATATAGTCCAATCCCCTGCAGTGCAGAACTATTTCGCCCAGTGTGGGGCTCAAACCCATGACCCTGAGATGAAGGGTCTCATGCTCTGTGGACTGAGCTGTGTAGAAGAGGGTATTATGTTATGTGTTTTGATTTTGTAAACTACCCTATGAAGGGCAGTATATAAATAAATAACCTTGAATTTATTTCCTCTAGTTGCTTTTCGGCTATATGATCTAGATAAAGATGACAAGATTTCTCGAGAGGAGCTGCTTCAGGTATGTTTAGCTTTTGCAGCCCATAAATGCAAATTTTTCGGATGACTGTCTTATTTAGCCTTTAAGGTAAAGTCTGGTTGAATGATAATACTAAATTATTATAATACATAGGTATTATATAACAATATAACTATAGTAGCAGCAGAGGTAAGAAAAGACTTTGTGAATCTCTCCCCTCCATTTTAAATCCCCACACCCACACAGATATTGCTCAATCTTTAATCTCCTCTTGTCTGCCTAGGCTGTGTGACCCTGTTCCATGCTGGGGACAGGATTGTGTAGCCAGTGCAGGATTAAACCCTGTTCAGTAGTGATGTCAGCTCATGGGCAAATGGGTGTGCTTTTGGAAAAACAGCTTGGCGGCTCAAATTGGCACACAGGCCAAACATTCCTCACCCAATGTATGTCATGAGGCTAAACTCTCCTTGCTATAACAATAAAAAATATACTCTGGTTCAAAACCAGCAGCCAGCCCCAATCCTATAAAGCTGTGCTCTTGGTGGTGGGGAAAGGTATTCTGTGAACCCCAAACACTGCTACAAATGCTGAAGCCCAGAACAGCCCAGAAATAACCTGTGAAGTATCTTGTAGCACTGGAAAAAGTACTTAAAGGTTTGCACACCATGGTATGCCATAGTTACAAACTGTTAGGGCTTATCATGAAGCTCTTCTGGTTGTTCTAGAGCGAACTAGCCCACAAGTACTGGTTTGCACACAAAGCTAAGCTAGTAGTGTGGTTTGTTTGTTTGACAAACTGAGGAGCAAGGTGGGCATGATTTGAGCATTTCACACCAATGTGCTGCTCATTCAAAGAATGCCATACTTGGTTTGTGTAACAATGGCTTACTGTATTATTTTATACTTTCTGGATGTCCCATAATCATATTATATAAATAGTTGTGTTCTGTGTTATAAATCAAGCATTTCTGGGGGTTGTTTCTTTTTGCTTTCCAGTGTATTTCTTATCAATAAAAAATTTGGTGTGGCGTGAGCAAATTTTTACTCTAAAAGGGTGGCCCAGAGAAAAAAGCGGAGAACTTTCTGAAAATTGTTAACTTGCTGGTCTGAGAATTCTTGAGATGAAAGTTGTATTTGTAAGTGGTGCACTTGACATTATTCAGTAAACCTGGACTGATCTCCTTATTTCTAGAAAGAGCTTCCTTAAACTGCCTCAGTATATTTTATTTGAGGCAGTGCAGTAAATGGTGGTCTGTGCAACGTCAAGGTGTATAGTACCTAGCACCCAAGGACAGATAAGGTATTTTTGCACCTGAAGCAGGAAATGTCCCAAGCACCTCTCCTTGGGAACAATAATATAATAATAATTAAAAATTGCTGCTGTTTTGTGATATTTAAAACCAGCTGCCTGATCGGGCTGGTCCTGAAACTTCACTTGGTTGACTTAAAATAATAGCTTTACTTGTCTGGTGCCTTCTTAGCACTTACAGCATATTCTTTGTTAAACACTAACATTACATTCTTTTGGGGTTTCTGTATACTGCAGGTTTTGCGGATGATGGTTGGCGTAAACATCTCGGATGAACAGTTGGGCAGCATTGCTGACAGAACAATCCAGGAGGCTGATCAAGATGGTGACAGTGCAATCTCCTTTGCAGAGTTTGTTAAGGTCAGGAAACAATGTTTATTATGGCAAACCTGATTAAGTGCTTGGATTTCTGAATCAGATGTGCAATCAAATGAATAGAAGGCTTATGTGCATAATTTCTTCAGTTATTTTGCTATTTCCCATATCTGAACATAAATTGGCAGAGATGTGCTCTTCAACTTCATAACAATTGCAGTTTATCTTATTTGCTTAAATGATTCTTGTTAGACTTGTTAGTTTTTCTAAATATTTTTAGTGTGCGACAACTTTGCATGCTGTTCCAAGGCATGATCTGTGGGTACATGATACAGGAGCCTTTCTTGAAATTAAGCTGATTTAGTTTGGTTAGTGCTTTGATAGACTGCCCAGGGATCATCTTGAATTCCATAAATGCAATTAAATACACTCCAAATGCAAGTGTTGCTAAGTACAGCTTTCATTTTCCATAAAATATATTACTGATGACCTCTAGATCAAGATCTACAAAAAATAGTTCTGCAGCACAAGAGGACATGCAGTAGGAAAGCTGACAAGAATGGCTTCCTAAGACAAGACTAAAGTCTAAATGTTGAGAGAATTCGATTCCTGTGACAAATGGTTAACAATTCTACTTTTTTTGCAGGTTTTGGAGAAGGTGGATGTAGAGCAAAAAATGAGCATTCGATTTCTTCACTGATGGATCAAGGCCCATTCCTTGTTGTCCTGATATTTAAGGAATATAGTTTGTTTTACCCTCTCCTGAGCATTCCTGCTGGTGCATGTGAGGTACATCTCCAAAACCCCCTCAGTTTGTTCCATCGATGTGAACATTCCTTCTGCATCAGAACAAAGGAACGTGGCTGCAGTGCAGCTTGGAATGGAACCTTGAAATGGCCTTTTCCTCACACTTCTCTTTGCTTTGCTTTCTGGTTATAAATTATTTCTTCCCATGTTACTATAATCTACCATTTTATGAACTATGACAACAAAAATCTGACTTGGTAGTATTTGTATTCTCTCTTCGGTTTGTCTGGTTAACAAACTGTTTTCTTCTGTCCTTGGTTTTGTTTAAATATAGATGTTTGCCACTCTTAACTTCACAAAGTAATGCAAGGCCAATGGTTTTGTTTTCGGAATTAAGGCTTCGGAGCTTCGTCTTGCAAGTGTGTCAAATGTTACGAATTTGTCCACAGATGTGGGATGTCTGCCAAGAGAGTAACTTGCAGTTCTGAAAACATAGTAATTGGGTTCTTGAATGAAACTATTTCATAGCAAGCTGTTTCTTAACTGGAAAAAGTTGATTGCCTCTCTGCTGCCCACCCCCTGCCACCAGCTTTGTTTATGTAGACGATTTTGATTTGCATTATACTTAAATTACTCAAATTTCTTTCTTGTGCTTTTATTGTTTTTCAGTGAATGTTTGCAATACATAATTTTTGTTGCACAGCTTATAGTGGAAGGCTTTTCATACCAATTATGCCAACTGGACCTTTCGTCTCCAACATGCATGTCAAAGTCCAGATTTGAGTAGTACTGTGTCCCTACAAATTATGTGGGAACACTAACGGTTTTAGGAAAATTCTTAGCACATGTGTACATTTATTACTTCAGATTATATTTTGAAAGTTTTATTTTAACCACACACAAGGATCAAGTAACATTGTGAATTTTGATGTAAGCATCACAATACAGAACTGAGGGCTCAAAAGCAATGAATATGATGATCTTTTCAGGCTGAATTGTCTTTGCTGTTAGTAAACAATTCTGTTGCACTGATTATCAATGAACTTTGACAACCGTTTTTAACTGTGCAGTGTTGGCTTCCAAGATGCAGAAAAATACTTTGTGTAAAAATCAGTGTTCAAATGCTCCCGACCCCTGCTATGTCAGCATTTCTATAAGTATTGAGTGCAAGTTAATCTAGTTTACTTAAATCCAACACAATTCAATGATCCTTAAGAACTGCACACTATTTTACATTTAAAAAAAAACTGCAGAAGAAAATCTATTCCTTCTTCAGACAAATTATAAAGATGGGAACAAGATTATAGGGTGATTGCTTACAAATACTTTAGGATTTTTTTGATCACAATGTAAACATAGGAATTTTATAAAGAGAAGGAAAATGAAAGTAACACCAAGTTGTTAGATTTATTGTTTGAAATTTGCTTATCTGAAAATAAGCAATCTTCCTTTGGCTATAGAGGTAATCCACAGGTGTGCCTTGTCAGATCTATTATATTCATCAACTATCCATGAATAAAATCCTTCAACATACTGTGTTCTGTGAATGAATGGAGGTTTTAAATAACACAAGGTGCCTGTAGAATGCTACAGCTGAAAGACTTTATTTTCTCATATACTAATCTAGTTTTTAAGAGATTGGGTGACATCCAGTGCTGTCAACCCACTTGCACAACATACACCTGCTAGCACAACAGGACTTGCCTTTTTCCTCCCTGCTCAAAAGGAAGGAAAACGAAACAAAAAACCTGCTCTGCAGGCTCCTGCAACCTTCAAAAGATTTCAGAGAGCAAAGAGAAACCCAGCTGCATAAGCAGATGTTTGCTCATGCAACTTTGGATCTCACCTCTTGTTTTCATTACTCAAGTTTTAAATGGCTTTGAATTTTCAACCTGCAGGCATTTAGAATGTTTTACAAGCAATATATATCAACTGGAATTTCCTGCTTTCTCTTAGGCCAGGAGAGTGTGGTCCTATAGCCCTTATATCTGGCTCAGCTATTTATCAGTTTGATGGTGGGAATAAATAGGAGTTGCCTGCCTTTTACTCAGAATATGTTAAGACAGAACAGATTTTAAAACTTCAAATAAAATTAGAAATAACGGGGAATGGAGATGATGATGATAATAATAATAATAATAATAATAATTATTATTATTTTTTTTATTTATATCCTGCCCTCCCCAGCCAAAGCCGGGCTCAGGGCAGCTAACAACAATCAAATAATCCAACATTCTAAAAACATGTCATTATAAAAATTAATTAAAATCAAATTAATGGCAACCGTTGAGTGTATTCTTAACTCTTGTTAGTCCAGCTGTGCATTTTAACTCATATAAACTTCTCAACTTGATGGGTTCTGCTTAGGTTTCAGTAGCTGTACAATTCACTGTAGAGTGTAGAAACCTGAAGACTCATTTAACATGTTCCTGACTAAAGGTTGATTCTCATGTTACAGTGGATGCAAATTCCCATTTGTCTACAAAAAAGAATTCATAAAGCACTGTAAAAAGTCTGATATCAATATGGAGTTACTGCAACTATTCATTTCTTGGCATGTCTTGTCAGAAAAACAACTCAAGCCATTATTATATACGGTATGTTAGTATTAATCTATATATTAAAAGTACATAATTGTAAATGTGAAGCTTCCCTAATAGTAATTTCAGTTTGCCTTGATCCCACCCCTAAAAGAGTAAGTTAATTGAAATGATGGCTCCAACTCAAGATTATGATGAATGTTGGTTATCACCCATACACAAAATATGAATGCATAACATGACATACCTTTTGGTGTGCTATGTTATCCAAACATAATAAACCTGCTAAATTAGTACTGACTCAGTTGGCAGAGCATGAGACTCTTAATCTCAGGGTTATGGGTTTGAGCCCCACATTGGGCAAAAATATTCCTGCATTGCAGGGCTCAGACTAGATGACCCTCGTGGTCCCTTCCAACTTGACAGTTCTATGATTCTGTGACTAGGAGACAACAGAAAATTGTCCCATATAGCAAACACCTCTTCTGTTATGGTGCAACAACCAGTATCTTAAAACTTGTTCAGGTCTCTGGACAGCTTCCTACAGGATATTCCCTCTAAAGCATAGTCACAGTACCCACACCATTATGAAACTAAGCTTTTAGGGTGCTATCATAGAGCCCCAACATGAGACTTCAGAATTTTTATAGTGCCCCCCCCAAAAAAAAATTACTGTCAGATCATACCTGTACCCACTGATCACACCAGGAAAAAAGGGAGAGCTAACAATTCACAGCGCCACCTAGGAGCAAAAATGGAGAATCTGAGGTACAGATCCCATGTGAATATATATGATTCCTACATAAGTTATTGATGGTGGTGGGTGACAAATCCCTTCTGAAAACCCAGAGGGTTTCTTTTTGAGATCTATTTTTGCAAAATGGTGGAACGAGGAAGTGCAAGACTTGGTCTGTGGAGACAAGTGTGATCTGAGTTTTGATGAGGATTTTGGTCTACATTTTCTGTGCAGTTGTTCCAACTGTGTTTCAAGAAAGCATTCCCAACCTGCCAGAGCAAAAACCTAAGCAGTCTGATTTCTACTGAGGAAGCTCTTTCCTAAGCAGGGCTGGCGTGAATGTACCACCCTTTATATAATGCTTATTCTCCCCCGTGTAATTTGCAGGACACCCAGAACTAAAACTGAAAGAACTCTAGCTTGCAAGTGGCAGAGCCAACCCATGACATTTTGGCAAACCACAAAATGGCATCCTCCCTCCCTGCCAGTGAAGAAGGGGTGAGTGAAGAGCTAGACCAGAAACTGGAGGAATCTGCCTGCCTGCCTCAATGCCTGAGGCGGTTGCAGCACCTTGCCTTGTGGGTGGGCCTGGTGTGTTTAGGATTGAAGCCCGGTTATAGTTCCCTATCGGCCCATCAAGTAAGATCGCCTATTGTACACTGAAAGATCCAGCTCTACGTTCCCCATTCAATTTGGACGCGCTCACTTGAGAAAATTAGTGGCAGCGGGCACGAGCATCCTACTGAGCGAGGAGGAGGAGGAGCAGCTGCGGGGGGAAATGTAACAGAATAAACAAAAGTACGATTTCCAATTTGCGCATTCCCGCCACCGCGCACAACCCCTTCCTTCCTTTAGGAGGCGTCCTGAACGACTGAGTACACCGAACGCGTAACCCCCGCCTCCCGGCCGTCCCACTTCTTCAACGCGGCGATAGGACTCGCGAGGAGGAAGGCGTAGACCACATCGCGGTTGACCAATCGCCTCTCAGTGTCCAGCCGTTTGGGGAAAGCCTACCCAATGGCAACCCAAAGCGGAGAAGTGAGTGACAGGAGAGCGGCCCACTCGGTGGGACCCGCGTTCTGTAGAACGGCCGCTGCGTCGCCCTGCGCCGGCCTCCCATTGGGCGCTCGAAGTAAGGAGGGGAAGATGGCGGAGTGAGGGGGAAGGAAGGAGAGCGCCGTGGGCTGCGGCCCTGGGGCCTTAACTGAGGTAAGACATGGCGGGCTCAGGGGCTTCGGTGGGGAAGGTTCGTGGGCACGAGGGCCTGTTGGACAGAAAAAACCAGCCTTGAGCTTGGAGCTCACTCGGCGAAGCCCGTCGGTTGAGCCGGCCGGAACCTGCTCTCTTTCTACGTGCCCGTCCCGGTTCTGTGCCGCTGGAGAGAGACAAGTTCTGGGGTCCGGAGCTTATTCTTATTACCTCAGTTCTGGCCTTTTACCTCATAAGGGGCCTCCTTCCTCCTCCTCGTCCGGGGTTTGTGAGGGTGGAAGCAGCTCGCTTTTCTCTGCCTCCAGAGCCGCAAACTTGTAAGCGGGCTACGCCTGGAACGAGGGGGTCGAGAATCGCTGCGTGGCCTCGGTGGCCAAGCCAGGGCGATCCCCTCCTTTCCCCTCTCCCCTTTCCCCTACCTCCCCAAAGCTGGCAGGGAGCGAGGGCTTGCTGGTGAGGCCCTGCACGGGCGAGGTGCTCCAGGCACCCGGCGCTGTGCAGCGGCCAAGAAAGAGAGAGACAAGGCACACCGCCTCTCTAGTTCTCGAGCGGGTGGGGTTGGCGAGGCATTGCTGCGGGTACTTGGGCCTCACTGGGCGTCCCAGTGGCGAAACCATCGCCTGCCTTCTTTCCAGTGTTGAGAAGTGGGTTGGGGGTCGGTGCGCATTTTCCAGGGGGGTCCTCTGTAGCTCCTGTGTTTTTCGAGGGAAGGCTGGAGTTCGTCGTGCCTGCAGCAGACTAGCCCGGCCTCTAGTCATCGTTACTGCGCAGGGCCGATTATGTGTCCCCCTTTCTTTCTTGAGCTGACAGGGGTGCCAACTGGAATAAAATATCGTGGGGACCAGGTAAGCCCCACCCCACATAATCAATCACATGACGCATTTCCCACACGCTATTTGAATGGCGATGCCCGTCAACTTTGTGGGGCCCCGGCCCCCTCAAATATTTTATTGTGGGGTCCGAAGCCCCCAGGAGTTGGCTCCTGTGAGAGCTGTATCTCTTGTTGATTCAGCTCCCATTTTCCCTTGTCTTGCACTTCACAGCTTTCATGTGCCTGTGTGTATCAGAAATAGAACAAGCCATATGTTTTTGTGGGGATCAGAAAGGCTTTCGCTGTCCTGTTTCCATACTCGTATAAGTGGACATATTTATTTCCATTATTATTTACTTTTTCTGTGAATTTTGCTTTTTTTAAAAGAAAAATAACCCCGGGTCTTATTTGCTTCTTACAATTCTGTGTTTAATAAGTAACACATACAAGCAAGAGTGACAGATCAGCTGTTTTCTTAAAGAAGTTAAGAAATAGGAGCCCATCTGCAATGAAGAAATAAATTAGGACTAGCTTTGGAAAAAACATTGAAACATACACTATGAACAAGCTGGCAGATCTTATGTAGAATTGCTGGTGAGCTTCAGCAGATGGCTGGAGTGCATTTTGAATGCATTAATTTGTATGCACTGTATCCATTACTATATAGACAAAGAGCAGCTGCATCTTATTGAAGCAGATACTGCAGAAATATATTTTTTTTAATTGCATACTTAGGAGATTCTATTTATACAGCTGCCAAAATGTCTTTGAATGGAAAAGAGACAGATGTGAAGAAATGGAGGTCTAATTCAAACTGCCCCAAGTAAGGGTCTATCATTTTTGGCGAGCTTTACTGGCAGAGTCAAAATCTGTAGTTGCCAGCCCCCTTCTCTATGAGCCAAGCCCCTTTCAAGCCTTTCCCAAGGGAAGAACTAGTGGAAAGAATGCCAGGTTGCTGTCACTGCTTGAAAATGTCCCAAACCTTCAAGCAACAAATCAAGCACCCTCCCAAGGGAAGGGCTTGAGGGTAATGTAGCCAAGGCATGCAAGCCTTTCACACAGTGGTGCACAACGTACTCCACCTGCCTTTCCCAAGAGAAGGGTGGATGGGGAGAGTAGCCACTTGGGTGCCACTGTTTGAATGTCCCCCAAGTGCCTTCAGGCCAGTGGCGTAGCTAGCCACTTGGGCGCCATGGATAGCGGGGCAGGGTGAGCAGGGCACAAAGCCAGAATCCCAGCGCCTGAGGTGTTACGTTCCGCTCAGGCGTCCTGCAGGCCCGCGTTTATCTTTCAAGCAGCACAGAGCCTGCAGGAAGTCCGCCCAATGCTTCCCCCTCAGCTGGAGGGTAATTGAGAGGGAGGCGTTGGGCAGAGGCCAGTCCCACAGTGCTTTTTGGGGCGTCACGGTGTCTGCAGGTGCCCAAGACACCATGGCTCAGGTTCGCTGTGGGCCCAGCACCGCTCGTGGGGCCAGCTCGTGCCAGTTGCATCCTTCTCGGCTGCCCCCCCCGGCAGCTGTGGGGGATGCAGCAGCTTGGCGCCCTGCAAGCACAGCCCTGGTCCGCACTGCGCTCTGAGGTGCTTGGATTTGGGTGTCACCTTGGGCTCCAGCACTCAACACAAATACACACCCCAGCTTCTGGCAAGGACACTGGGAAATACATGGAAAAGATGAAAGCACTAAAAACTGTTATTTTGCCAACCCAAAAACCTGGGTGTTAGTGATATAGACATTTCCCCTGGAAAAAATTAATTCCAGCTTTGAAACTGCCTTATTTGATAGATAATTGCTAATTCATTTTATAAAGCAAAGCAATGCATTTTTATGGCCTTTCTGACACTAATGGGACTAAAATTCTAAAACTGCTGATCTCTTCCTAAGTCTATCTCCATCTTCTCCATCTTTGCTGGCATGACACAGACACCATTTTGCAGAGCTGGTGGTTGCTGTGTTGAGATTGGGCCTTGATCCAAGGCAATGGGATATTACGAAATATATATATATAGTCATATATATTGTCCAGTAGCACCTTAGAGACCAACTGGGTTTGTTCTTGGTATAAGCTTTCATGTGCATGCACACTTCTGGATATATGGACTCTGTTCTGAAACTGTATGCCATCAGTGATCCTAGCTACATAAGTGACACCACAAACTTTCTGAGGAAAATACAATCTTTGAACAGGTATCTGAAGAAGTGTGCATGCACATGAAAGCTTATATCAAGAACAAACTTAGTTGGTCTCTAAGGTGCTACTGGACAATTTTTTTATATATATTTTGACTGCGTCAGACCAACACAGCTACCTACCTGAATCTAAAAGAATGGAATATTACGTTGTACTGATATTGCAGCCATTGCACTTGAGTCTCAGCGGTGCTGTTCCATTATTAGATCTTGCTTTAAATTAGATGAAGTACAGAAATTTCAATTCCTATAACAGCCCTTTACTGTTGAGTACTGCCAAAGTACCTGTTATAAGTAATTACATTTTACTATCATTCACTTCATTGGTTTTATTTACTATTTTAAGAAAGCAGATTAAAACTGCTTGGTACTAGAATCATTACAGCTGCTGACTAAACTGTGTCCTATTCCCCTGCTCTGCTCAGTGCAAAGTGATTATTTTAAAACATAGCTTCCAGTTTATATTTTGCTGAATGGAGTAGGGAGATAAGAGTTTCAGATTCTTTTTTGGCCTTAGTCTTATTGATGACAAAATTCTGTAAATGAAGAACCACTGTTCTGGGGAATTGATTTGCATCACAAAATAGTCCTGGGCACCCCCTTCCTCCAAGCTTTACATAATGCCATGTTAGCATCATGATAATATTAATACATTAAACATTTCAGTGTTGCTGTTCAGGGTGAAGGGGATTTATATTATTAATTGGGTGAGTAGACAACCTGCTTTGTGAATGTAGCAGTGATTTCAAAAACACAAACCTATTTTTAAATCTTGCATTACAGTTTCAATACCTTGACTTGCATCTTCACCTTCCACGGGTTTTCATGTGAGTTGGGTATAATTCCATCATGTCACTGGAAAATCTTGCATTATTTTGTTATGAAAATACTCTCAGATATGTGGAGAGGTGACTAGAACTGAAAGTAGTACGTATAGCAGCCAAGTTCTCCCACTCTCCCCTTCCTACTTTCTTATTAGTTAAGTAGCTCAGCATTTCAGTTACTGTAATTTATCAAGAGAATTGTCAAAGAATTTAAATATGCTTTAAAAAATTCTTGAGTAGTTAATGCGGTTTGATTTTTAAAATGAAATTTCAGAGTGCAAGATGGTATGAGAATTTAAAGACCATCTTAAATGGCTAGAAATTTCTAAAGGTGCTCACACTTCTTTGCCTTTAAAAATATTGTGTATTGCAGAAAGTGAATAAGCACCAGAATGCCGCTGTTTGTATGTACCGGGTATATGTGTGTGTTTAATTGTATGATGAGCACCCCTGCTCACAGGTGATCCATCATTCTACTTCTAGACTTGTCAGCTTTGCATTCTTAAGACCTGAGTGTAGTCCTTCCCTTTGAAATTTAATTAGAAACTGCAGATTTTCTGATTGTCTCTATTTGAAACACTCCATCCTTTCCCCGAGAATTGCATATTACTTGATTAGATAGTAATTTGAGGGAAATGTAACCCTTTGTGCTTCTTTAGTTATGACTGCACTGTTATAAGCTGTTGAAGAAATGCAGAGGCTCTGAATGAAAAATGCATTCATTTGAGTATTGCATTTCTGACTGCTCAGTGAAGGCTAGGCAAATATGATCTTGATGAATTATACCCTGATGTTAAATGCATTGGCTTGAAGATAAGAGCTCTTTGATGCAATACCACTGTATGGAGCAATAAAGACAAAGTCCAAAGAAGGAATTGTAACTCCAAGCAAACAGTGGAAAGGTACCAGGAAGGCAAAATCAATTGGTAGCTCCTGTGCACATGTCCCCAAGCGTTTGGGATTCACCTGTACCTTTCAGAAGTGGTGTGCATACTTGTTGGGTTTTAGAGACTGTTGTAAATCATGGTTTGCCACTAATCATGATTAGAAGCTTCTGGTTGTGTCACATTTGCCAGGGGCAGGATGAGAACAGGAGTGTGCAAGTCAGCTTCTTGTGGCATAGTTAGCATTGCATCTACATAATCCCATTGATTACAATGAGCACTTCTATTTATTCCTTAAGACAAAACTTAGGAGATAATTTATGCCTCATCTTGAAAGGACATTGTCTGTTATACTAGCAGGCTGTGCATTGTCATCATGATTTATATGGGTTCTGGCACTTCTTTGGTGCGTTCCAGCACCTCTGTAGCATTGCAGCACAGGGGCACAGTTGCTCAGGGCTGCGCACCAGAGGCTGCAGGTGGCACTGCACTCCATGCTGAGCAACTGAGGCTGTGAGTGGCACAGTCTCCGGTGCGGCGCAGCAGCAGTGGGGTGAGTGGGCAAAGAAGAGAGCCCCCCCCCCCCAAAAAATGGTCACCAACTTTGGCTGGGCACTCCCCTAAGAAAAGCTCAACAAGTTCCAGCGCATCTTCCTGGAAGAAAAGCCCTGGGTGGAGACTTTTTTCAATACTAGGAAACCCAGTATCTTTGGATAAGAAGAGCAACATGTGATACATTTTTTTCTGTGGCCTGAACTTGAGTTCCTTTCCTGTTGTGTGCCTAGGTCCATGCATGCACCATCTTGATTGGCAGTCAGAATAAGAAAATTATCAGAAAGCTAAAGGCAAGAGTTCCTGGTTATAATTTATGCAGCCATAAAGCAAAAGGTAAGTGTTGGTTTAACCCTTCTTTGGATAATATGAAAGCCGTTTGCTGCCTAGCATCCTAGGAATAGTGTTTATGTTATACATTAAGCCTGCAACTTACACACATTTAACTACTGCACATTAAGCTTTACCACTTGGCAAAATAATAAAAATAAGTAAACGGATTTGCACATCCAGGAAAAAAGACTTTGGCAATTGCACCCAATGTGTTTTGACTATACATGGTTTTGACTTTAGGCACAATTCCTGGAACATAGCCTCCAGGTAAGTTGCGGGCTTACTATTCTTGGTTCAGATGAGAGCATACCATTTGGAGTTTTTACTAAGAAACTTAGTAGTTTTGTTGACAACTCCCTTCTCATGCAGTTCTAAAACCAATAACTATAAATAACCCCTTCCAAAATAAAGACACCACACATGAAAGTTAGCTTTTTATGATATTGCTTGACTGATGTATGATTTTTAAAAGCTCTCAATCTTTTCTTACACAGGGGAAAACATTCTTGTGGTTGCAGTCAAAGAATCAGGAGTCAGAAAATTACAGTAGTCTTATGCAACAGTAAGTAAATATGGAAAGGTGGTGTTAAGCTGAATTGACAGAAATTATTTCAGGTCCTTGGATAGAAATCTATAAATGTATAAAGTTGGATAAAAGTATCTGGGTGTTTTCCACTACCCACTTGAAAGTGTTTTCCCAGCAGAGGAGAAGTGGAGTCTTGGATGTGTTTACACTGCCCTGCTCGGTTACCTAAGTGGGCTCGGCAACGTCTCTCCAAATTCACTTCCTGCCAGCTGGACTGCAGGTTGACAGTTATCACTCTCTCTCACTAGATGAATGCATGGGACAATGGCAACCCAGATTTTCTTTTTCTTTTTTCTTCCATCAGTCTGCCTTTCTGTGCTCCCCCCTTTCTCCATCTTAGCAGGATGAATCTGCCAACCCTCTCTGGAGTCATCCAACTAGGGGGGAAGGAAGCTAGGTCTCCCATTTCCCCTCATGACATGAAACCGACTCATAGTCTAAGTGTGCTGTATTGAAATGATGAAACACTCACCAACTGCTCACAGTTTCTGTTTATTCTCTGAAGTTTTCTTCCTCTGGCAATCTCTTTATTCCATTGCAATATTTGAATTAATTAGCATTTATCCCTGAAAAAGGCTTATTTCATACAGCTTGAATGATGTACCAGGTAGACTTCTAGCACTGCTTGTATATAGCATTGGCCACAGCAATCAGGATCTGTTCTTGGTGTGTGAAACCTGAGGGGTCCCAGAATAAGAACTGCTTGGAATACCATGGGGGGGGGTCACAGGCACTGTAATTCACCTGTAAAACAATTCCTCCAAATCTTTAAAAGTTCCAAGGTTCCCATAAAATGTATGTGTGAAGTCAGTTTCAACTTAATTTAGAGTGAAATTACTTTCTTTTTTAATTAGCTAATTTGTGTGTGTATGTTTCCAGGTCCTTTCCTGTCAACCCAACACAGGCTGCTAAAGGAGCTTTGACGGCTTCTGGTGAAGAAAACTCCTTCCTTTATCTCCATGAGGGAAATGAAGGAAAATGAAGAAGCACTGCTTATTTTCTGCTCCACTCCTTAACATGAATTGGAGATGTAAAGCCTGTATTATAGAAAAAAAAACTACTGTCCTTTCAGAGCAACTGAAATTAATGGCTGACATTTCACTGAAACATGCAAACTTTTTGTTCAGAGTTTTTGCACTCTATAAATGATTGCATATAGATAGAGGCATAACCCTAATTTGATTGGCATTTCCCCGCTTTCAAACTACCTTGGTAAAATAACTGCCTACTCTCAACATAGCATTTAGAGAAGCGAGCAAATTGATATATCCTTGGAACTTGTTACACAAACCTTTAAAGAAAATATTGTGCAGAAATAAAAGAATATACAGGTGTACTTAAAATGAGGAATAACTTCTTAAAAAGGAAAAAAAAACACCTTGCGAAATTGCCCTGTTGGAATTTTTCTCCTTTTAAAAGGAGCCAATTTATAGGTGTCCATCTTGATGCCATTATGTGAAGCAGTTGAAGCACAGTAGCATTTAGTAATTTTGTTCACTGTTTTGAGTAGACTATTAAAAAACAAAACTTGCATATATAAATTTACATAATTGCTGGAAAGGAGAGGTGATCCTGTGAGTTGCTGCTTTTCTAGCAAGATCCTTCCCAAGGGGTTGAATTCTTGAAACCAAACCCAGGAGCAATGGGTTTTACATGGTATCCTCAGTCTTCCTAGGGAATTCAGCAACAAAAGGAAGAATACCTTTCTCCAAGCTTTTACCCAAAGGCACCAACTGATAGTGTAAAATATATGTGAAATTTCCCACCAGTTGGATGAACAAAGACAACACATGCTCAGAAAGGGCTTCTTCACTAATTCTGTGGGTCACTGAAAGTTAACGTGGAAATTCTGTTTCTAACATGTTTACAAAATATGCTTTGTCTCAATTGCACATGATTCATATAGGACATTTTCTTTAGCATGGAATAATAGCTGATTTATTAGCCACACCTTGCAAGGGTAGATTGATTCCTGGTTTTTGAAAAGTCTCCCCCGCTTCCTTATGCTGAAGCCCTCAGCACTGCACCTTCAGTCTTACTGAAAATGTGAGTTTAAAATCTGCCAATGGCTTCAAAATATTTTCAATCTGGGTAAAAAAATGGGAGTGCATGTTATAATGGCCAGTCTTGGTTATTAACATTTTCAGTGCTACTTGATGTCTGGTTTGAGGTAGCAATGGCAATATTTCCTGAGATGGAAAACAGCGGCTGTTTGGGGTATTTAATAGTTTTGAAAGGAGCATCCCAAGCTAAATACTGGTATTTGCTCATCACTTAATCTTATGTTCCTTTTATATAATAAAAGATTCACATAAATACTTAGGAAAGCTTATTCAGATGCTTTCCTTAATTCAAATCAGTTTTTTTAAAATGGAATGTTTAATAGAAGATTATCAAACAGGTAAATATTTATAACTACTGAACATAATCAGATTTATGACTTGGGTCAGCTTGCTGGGGGGGGGAATTGTCATGGTTGTCATTTAGATTGGCTTTGAAGTATACTTAAATCCTAATTCAAATAGAAGTCCAGAAATAAAAGTAGTTGGATTTCCTTCTAGGTTCTTCTGAACAGGAATTCCTGTTTAATTTATTGGGATTTTAGATATAGGGTTAGGCTTCTTAGTGAAACATTCTCTCATTCTGGAACTGAAAATTCAGAAGACATCAAGTGTAGTGATGATTTGCTTCTATGTCAGTAGACTTTATGTTGTCTTCCTTACGTACTTCTTTCAGATTTAATTTGTAAAAGAATATGCTGGCACAGAGTGAAAATGTTTAGTTTCCCTAAATTGTCAGGATAGATATAAGAGAAAGTGGCCATATCAGTTGCACAAAATTCCAGCAAAGAACAACTCCCCCATCCCTTTCCCTCAAGCTCCCCTGACTACATGAGGACTCAGTTTAAAATCTTGGAGAAACGAGTGCTGTACATGGCCCAAGAAACCTGTTTGTAGTACTTCTCCTGTAGCATCTTAAAAGTACTGTGTCAAGGCAATACTGCCTTAATCTTTTTATTTTACATTTTGATCTGCATCTGTTCATGTTGGCAGGAAATCTTTCCCTTATGAAAAACAAATACTGGGCACGTGCAATAGTATAATATATACATATAAATATATTTTAATACTTGTGGACAAAATGTTACAAGTTGTTTGAGAACAACAAAATCACCAATGTCTTCCATTTTGAGATGTGTATAGTTCCATAAGCATTAGTGCTTTGTAGCAAAACTGTAGTGCCATGTTAGGATCAGTGCATGAGCCTAGTAGTACTTTTTTTACAATTTCAGAGTGACAAATTAACAAGGCTGATGGTGTAATTCATAAGAAACTGACAAGATTATGGTCATGGGCTAAGGATGCAGTGTCCTTTCTAGGCAATGATAGCTTATATTGGTGAATAAAATCAGTAGCATGAGGAGTGCATGGATCTTGAATCTGTAAGCAGGTAGAAGTGCACCTCAAAGAAACTACAATTGAAACAGTCCTTAACAAATCCTTTTTTGAGCAAATAATATTTTGCTACAATGGGAAAATTCACTGATCTCTTGGACCAAGAAGTTTCACAGATTTAAGTGTGCATAAGGCTAATCTTTGCCACAACATGTTCTCATAAAATGTCCCTTCATATATGACTGTTCTCCATTCAGAAGAGCCTATAAACTTTTACTCAGTTACCCACTAGTTGCATATTTGCTCATAAGTACCCTTATGTTAGAGCAGCACACCATCTATCAAGTTGAAAAAATGACTAAATTATAAATAATAACACTGCTACTGCTATTCAAGATTGGTAGTATTCATTTTTGAAAGCAAATGATTCTCATTTTTCTACTTCCATAGAAAGCACCTGAAGGAGTTTGCTGTTTTAAAAATTTTTAAATCATTGCAGTACAACTATTTGGGTCACTAAGATGTCTCCCTGCTTATATTATCAATTTGCTTTTAGTTCAAATAAGTGAGATCAGCAATTCAGGCACCTGATTTTTCTGTGCAGATCCTGTAGTCTGGACTGCTATGATTCTGTTTTTAGAAAACAACTACTTGTAGCTTAAAGAGGATACTGCATCTTTTTCTTGGTCTTGTCTGTAAATGGCTACCTTGGTGAGGAAAAAAATATTTCTGGTTTTGGTTTACCATTGGCTAAAAATTCATAGGAAACATTTAATTAACCACAAAACAAGAGATCTATGTTTAAAGGTCTCTGCCTATTCTCCCTTGAAATTTGGGAAGGTGGGTTGTTTACAAATGAGCAGTGAGGACCTGAGCTCAGCCAAGGTTCTGTTGGAAAGAAATGTATCTGTCCCACTGAATGAAATAGTTTTTAGTGCTTGGGAGAATCAATTGATGGAAAAATACCTCTGAAACTGGAATGCAAAATAGCACAGTATGTAGGGGGAAAGAATCCCTGATGCAAATAAAGCCATAAGATGACTTAATCAATAGAACTTTAGTAGCAATAACTGTTTGCATGTAATAGGAACTACTTGCATTAGCAAGTATTGTATAGTAGAATAAATGGTACTAACCAAATAGGTTTGTGGTGCTCTGTGTTGCAGGGAGTTGCCTGACATGATGAGTTTCTCTTTAAAATGTTAGGAAATTCCTCAAAGGAAGTTGGCACTTGAATGCTTTATTGAAGAGCCTGTTTAAAACTCCTGCATAGCTCCCCCCCCCATTGATGCAACTAGGGCAGAAATTTGTTGTGGTCATGGGCTAAAGATGCAGTGTGCATGAGAAAGTGGATGAACCCCTGTCCTCCTTGTCAATAGATAGCATGTAGTTGAACTTCTGGTGTGAAAGGGAACTCTTCAGAGACTGTGAACAGGGCCAGGTTCAACCTAAACATGCAATTTAGATTTGATTGTGGAAACTTGTTGCCATTACCTAAAGCTGGTTAGATGTGTCAAATTTTTGAGGAATGTTGGCAAGGTACAAAGCATCCTAGCACCTAGCAAGTGTTGTGTCTCCTGAAAATGTTATTTTTCTCTTTCAAAAACCTTTTAAAAACTTGTACGCCTGTTACGTGGTTTCACTCTTAATTATAAAAGCTACTTTTGAGTTTGGAAGCTTCTATTCTAGATGGGTATGCCTGGCAATCTTACCCTCACCACTCTATAGAGTGCAGTTCATACCTCTTTAAAATGCAGCTTGCACTAACCTAGTATGCATGTAAGACCATGTAAACTGTAAGCCTAATATGTAACTCTGCCTTAAACAGGATTCAGCTGAAGTAGAACAGATTCATCTACAAGGTTGGGATGTATACTTGAAGGCTTTACCTTTATTGTTTTCCTTAATTGCAAGGAGTTATATCCCAGCTGGTGTGTGTCTGCCAATAGAAGGCTTTTGAATAGGGATCAAGGCTATTTTGGGTAGTTCCCCTCCCCTCAACAGCTGCCCATACTGTTCCAAAGGGCCCACCAATTCTCCAGGTCAGATTTGAGTGGGAAGGAGGAATCACTGAAGAGTGCCTCAACCCTTTTTCCACTGATGGCTCCACTGTACTAAAGAGCCTTCCATAAGCAGAATATGGCCAGAGGGTAGCCAGTATCTATCATCAGTCTGATCAACACAGCCATCTGTTCAAGTGGATGGAAGAAGCCCATATTTTAAAAGTAGAATTGATATATATTCTGTACAGAACGACCCCTATATATTCATTCTGTAATATGAGCTTTACTAATGGTTTCCAAAATAGTGTTTGAAATCTGAATCAAGGAGACTGTCCTTTATATGTGAAAAAATAGTCAACAAAAACCTGTGACTATTTTGTCACAAAATATACAAGGCACTTTTTACTGTTTTCAAACAAACATGATTCTAGGGCTAAGGAAATTTGCACTTTGTTAACCATTCTGAGCAAACTAGCAGAATCTGAAAGGCATATCACGGCTATGCCACCAGTAGGACTTGCTTTGCTCTAAATTTATTTTGAGTTGCTGGTTTGCAGATACTTTTCAATTTGCAAAACTGGTGCTTGACTGACATAGTGCTGCTGCTACCCAATTTAATAAATAATGAGCTTTTTAGCTTGGTATCTGGATAAGTGTGTGAGCTTCATACATGCAGGATTTGCTGTTGTGGTGCTTAGTCAGAAACATTTAGGATGTGGTTAACTGTTTGAAGATGCTTGGCTATCTTGCATAACCTCATAATGGAGAGCTTTGCTGCCTAGATCTATAGAAATGAGGGGTTCTGTTACTCCAGAGCAGCCTTTGCCAGCCTGGTGCCCTCCAGATGCTTTGTGCTGTAGGTCCCATCAACTCCAGCAGCACATCCAAAACAACTGGAGGACACCTGTGAGAGGCGGCTTCAACAAATTGCACTTAAGCAGTTTGCACCTCAGTAGCTGTAGTATTTAAACTCCTGAAGGTTTAGCACTGAAATTTGTTTCCATAAGCAGTTAATGAGGGGAAAGATCTTTCTATGAAGTGGCTCTTCATGGCACATAAGCAGCACTTGGGGTATACATGGTGTATACACCACCACCTCGCCTTCCATTTATTCTCCTAACAGCCTTTATTCTATCAGTGGAGAACAGGATTTCATTCTAAGTATATTAAGTGCCATTCTTTATGAATGGTTGCAGGGGGCTCTTTTTTAATAGTCTGTCTCTATTCTACATGTGCACTAGTTTTTACGATAAAATCCCCCTTACTTGACTTCTCCCTTTTAGACCTTTTATTCTTGCTTTGCACTTTGAAGAATAGTAATTATTGAGCAGTAGAAGTCCAAGCACAATACATGGGTGCCAATAAATGTATTTTCCAAACAGGCTTCTGGGATATAGATGGTAAGTTTGCAAGTGGTAGCGTTGGATCTTTGCAACAGGATTTGGAGGCCTAAGCTGAACTGAATTTTTGTACCATGCTTTATTAAGTACTTGAAGATTGAGGGTGGGGGTGGAGGAAGGACAAGGAGTTTATGCCCTCACCCTGTACACAGAAAGGCAATGAGTTCTCCCTGCCCTGAAATGTAGAGGAATGGTCAGCTAAGTGGTGCTCCCCAAAGACTACAGGAATAAAAGCTTAGTAGGGTATCTGCTGAACAAAGAACTCATTTGTATGAAAGGACTCCTATGACGGGAATGTGGAAAACAAAATACTAGAGAATGAGAATATGTCATGTGATGGGGCAGGGGAGAATGCCCCAAGGTGAAGATTTCCTACCTAACTAGATGAGAAGAAAGCAGGTTTAGAGCTGGAAATTGGTTCTATCTGAGGGGGGGGCAGGATGAAAGCATTCGAGTTTGATCACTTGCTAGTTCGTTTTAGATGGAATTGTCAACTTTCCCTAATTACAGCACAATGAACATTCCACAGAGTTTAGCATTTAAATAGTTGCAACTTATCTGTCCTCTGCTATCTTTGACAAACCCTTGGACGGCAGATGAGGTTGTGAAACTCAAGTATGGAAAACATACATGGAAAATTGACAATGGCACAAGCACATAGGCTCACAAACCAAGTCTTTTATAGAGGTAGTATTCTAATTATGCATGATTAAGATGTCTAGTGTTATAGTTATTACCAGTAAATTGATATATGCATTTATACATAATGAAGCAATAGGAACTAATATACCAATAGCTTGAACTTACTGCTTTGATTCTCAGATTTTGATTTTAGAGAACATTCTGTCTCTTTAAAGGAGGCAGAATGTACAAATAAGAGAAGCATGACACCAAAACTGTGTATTTGAAAGAAGAATCAGCAGAATGAGCCCTTTTGACCTCTTACCAGGTTCATTGTGTTCCCTTGAGCCTACATAATATGAGCATGGTTGGTGGTAAGATGGGTTTCTTGGCTGCTGCAATTGTACAAATAAAAAAGGTGCAGAGTTTCAGAGTACAGAGAAGGCACTAGATGAACCCCAAATAGGGCAATAGCAAAATGTTGTATGTAGTAGGATTTTTCAGGTAACAAGAAGGAAGGAACCTGGATCACAACCTGTTGGCTGCAAATAAATGAGAATTTAGGTGGATGAAATCATTAAGCAGTCCTTACTCTTCAGGTATTGAGTTTAAATGACAGGTTCTCCCCGCCAGGTATCTCTCACCCTGTTAGGCAGCTATACCAAGATGAACTGGTTTCAGACCAGCATTAATATACCTTATAATAACTAATCTGAAAATGGCAAAGTTCTGCTTTAGACACAAAGCAAGGTAAAGCTTGCTAAGTAGGAGTGGAGCTTGCTAACTAGATTCAAGAGAGTAAATGGCACCCCCATAAAAAATTATTGGTTTAGTTACAAAAAAAGTAAAGTGGGTGCATTTAATGGTAGAATATATATGCTGAATACGTAGAGGATGGTAGAAGCATAGCCCTTTTATCTAAACCTGGACTAGAAAATTATTTTCCTAATGTGAAGGTGCTGCTTAAAATAAACACTGAGTTTAAAGTTCCTTAACTAGATTATGGCTATACTAGTTTCTGCAGAGCAAGTTACAAACACTTCTTCATATCAAAGTTTGTTTTCTCATAGATCTGAAAAAGGGTTCGTTATGGCAAGTCTGCATTTTATGTTAGTGGTTATTTTCCCAATCATTTATTTTAAGCTTGTTATAGAGGCCATATTTTTTACATTGCCAGTCTCAGTAATTAGTAGCTGCCAAATAGATGTATGAATATTGGAGACGTGAGTGCAGGCTTGTAATGACATCAGTTTGACTTCCCCTCTGATTTCATGTTAACATGAAAATACTCCATAGTATTTTATCATTGAATTGTTTTCCCCAAACTCTGTCCCTCTTGTAGGTTGTGATTTAGGTCTCTGCTAATTAATTTCTTCTTTCAGAGCAAAGAAAAGATTGTCTTTGCAAATGCATAGGATAACTGATCATAATAAAAGGATTGTGAAAGCTAGTCTGGGAAAATGTACAGAAATATTGTATAAATTTTAGAAGTAGGCTTAAATTTTGTCAACTCACTTGAACAAGCAGTACAGACAAGGAAGGTATAAGCCACTGCAAAGTATTTACTCCCATTGCACAATTATGTAACAAATACCACAAATCTACCCATGTATATATCTGAAGATTTCCAAAAGGCAGCTTGCTTTTATATCTATGCATCTTTTGGGGAGGGAAAGAGGGTGTTAAAATTATTCTTTTGACACTGTAAACAATAATTGTTCAAAACTGAACCTGGAAACTCTGCACCTGTATACAATTTTTTAGCAATAAAGCAGCATGGGCTGAGAATGCACTTAAAATGCCATTGTGTCATTTATTCTAGGACAAACTCTTGAAACGATAGAAATGTAGGTTCACATATTTCAAAGTTTGCCTTCATTGTGGAGCAGGAGAAAGATGTTTAATCATTGCAAGCTTATATGATTGCTGTGAAACCCCAGCAGCTTTTTAGCACATCTGAGCCACTTCATACTCATGTATTTTTCAACAATTATGTGATTGGTTGCCATGTGTTTTGCAGTGCCTCTTCTCCCTCCTCTTCCCAATATAGTGGTACCTCGGGTTACATACGCTTCAGGTTACAGACTCCGCTAACCCAGAAATATTACCTTGGGTTAAGAACTTTGCTTCAGGATGAGAACAGAAATCATGCTCCGGCAGCGCAGCGGGAGGCCCCATTAGCTAAAGTGGTGCTTCAGGTTAAGAACGGACTTCTGGAACAAGTTAAGTACTTAACCCGAGGTACCACTGTACAGGGCTTTAAGTTAGCTGCATTGTTTTTTTCAGAAAACTATCAGGTGGCGAAATGAATAGGAAAGCAGCGCCATCAAACATAAGCTAACTGGTCAGTCCATTCTGTCAAATTTGTGTCTACACCATTTAAACAGCACTGGAATGCACATTCTTACATTGGACTTGAAATTGTTTTTATTGTTAAATTGCTTTGAGATGTTTCATAGGAAGCAACTCATAAAATTAATAAGAGAGATACAGAAAAGCCTTTATGTAGGCTGCCTCACATCTGTACAACTTTCCTAACCTATGCTCCACCTTTGGTAGTTTAGGCAGCATTTTAAAAACCCGGTTGTTAGCATAGAATTCAACTGGTGTTACAGTTAAGAGTTCAAGTTCGATGAAATTTTAATAGTTTTTAAATTGACACTTTTAGTTTACACAACAGGTTACTGGGTAGACTGAACTGCCTCAAGCCAAATTTAAAATAAAATGCTGAATTGAAGCCACCAACAAAACTGTACAAGCTGTACATTTCCTCTAAACAGAGGCTGCAAATGCATTCACTGTATAGTTTAGGATAGTATTAACAGATGCAACAATTCCAAAAAAATCCAGGCAGAACTATATGTGCACATCTAAAAATATAGCAGTTCATATGCTTTGTGTAATCCATTTGCCAGTCAAAGACACACTGCCTTTTTCAAATACTGTACAACCAAAACAGTGGTTGTGTAGACGACAAGTTACAACCTCATGTTCATCACAGCCAAATGCAGATATGTGACTTGCAGAAATTCTACCAGTTAGTTCAACTTCTTCCTTGTTCCCCCAGATGCTAGTCTTGCTTTGTAGATCTGCTTTTCAGACATCAACTTCTGCTGGTTTCTTTCTTCGAGTTTCTCAATCAACCGTTCTATCCGTATGTGCGCTAAAACAAGGCTCTCCTTTAACTACAAAAAATAATAATCACCAAGCTTAGATAAAACAAAGTGATGCAGAAAACCAGTTATATCAGCCAAATCTTTGTCAGTGAAAACAAAAAAATTGTCCAATATTTTAAGTCCAGCGACACACCTTGTAACTATGCATTTGAGAGGCATCTCTGTTAAAGGTGTGGGAGAAAATCAACATTGCACCAAGGCTATTCTGTCAGGTCAAGCATTTTGGCTTGCTAGATGAATCAATCCCCTTTACCTGTTTTGGGTGTTCTCTCAACCAAACACCCCCTTGACCCAATTATAGAGGGCACAGGGGAAGGAGGGGATGGAACCCCAGTGCACAAGCAGAAGTCCTTGTTCAGGGTATCTCTCATGTATCTTGGGGAAGTGACTAGGGCAGCTGAGCGCTCCTTCATGATAGCTCTCCAAACTTGATTGGCATGAACCCAGTATGCTGACAACCAATTCTTCAAACATCGTGTAAGACAGTTTGTCATGTGCAAATTTGGTTCCACTTGCTCCTCACCTTTTAGCCCACCTCACTGGCCTCGGATGAAAGCCGCTACTGTCAGCTGTGTAGTCTGACACTTAATCATACTTGGGAAGATTTAAACTCAGATAGGTCCCCTATGGCCTACCATAGCTGTTTGCTAGCATGGCCAAGGGTTGCCCATCCCTGATTTAAACAGTTCTACTTGATCTAAAGAAAAGATGAAGCTGTACAGGGCCTGTTCCAAACCATTCCAACTGCACAGAATCCACTGCGGCAGCTATTTCATTTGGCATTTGGGTAATGGCAGAAGCCTCAGAATATGTGAGGAGTCCACAATGCAGTTCCTACCAGAACTGGGGCAACATTAATGCAGGAAGAAGCCGTGCTGTGGACTCCTCTTTTATAGCACAGGAATTCTCCTGTTTCCTCAAGTGGCACAGGAAAGTCAAGCTGGAACAGCTCCTATTTGTCTCCGATAAAGTGAGGACACACTCTCTGAATATCTTATTAGCAGAGTATACCATATTTGCCTTTGGTATTCAGCTGCCAAATGTGTTCATGTGCTCTTTGGTTTAAATGAGCAAAGGACTGCATTAAGCTCAGTTTTATGGACTGCTTGTTTTGAAAAGCTTGTTTATGAAAACAGGATGCTGTAGTTAGTTTCCAGAAAATATTTATAATTCAAACTGAAAAATGTTAATATTTACTAGTTTAAAGTATAAATATTCTCTGGAAACTAACTAGAGCATCCTATTTTCATACAACCATGTGCTTGAAAGAACAACCGGTGTTGGCTAAGTGTGCCTGGGAACTACCGTATTTTTTCTATTTCACAGACTTGGAGGGTTGCCTTTGATTTGCCAAGCCTCAAAACAGTTTGTGCCCATTATTATTACTAGAAAAGAGCCTATGTTTCCATGTTCCATAAATGTCTGAAAGACTGCTCTGACTACTCCTTTTAAACCTCAGTCTAGTATATTGTGCAACAGTCTATACGAGAAACCCGGGTTCAAATTCTGCCCTGTCAAAGACTATCAGCACAATTCTATCTATGTCTGCTCATAAGTAAGTCCTATTGAATCAGTGATTTCAGTGGGCCTTATACTCCCAGGTGAATGGGGTTAGGATAGCAGCCTTAAAAAAGTTCACTAGACGCTCTCTGTTGCAAGGGTTGCAAAGCTGATAAGAGCACTTGGCATGTTTTGTAATGGTACATATTTTTGTACATTTAGTCACATTTTTATCTGCCCAGTTCCCCTGTGAGAAGGGGAAAACAGTAGTTAACAAACACAAAAACAGAAGAACACTTACTTTCTGTACTTGTTCCTTTAGGCTCACAGGAGGACAGGTCATCGTTGAGGCTTCAATTGTCGTTTTAGCTTTTAACAAGTAACTGAAAAACAAGTTTAAAGACAATACATTTTGAAATTAGCTGATCAGTCATAGGAATGTATGAATAAAGGAGAGGATAAAAATAATTTATATTGCAATTTTTCAGAATATTGTGTCCAATTTTTTCAACATTTTTGTCTACTCCAGCAAGAGAAATCTAAGCATTCAAAAGTGAAGATTATTCATAATAACAACCATGTAATAGTATTTTGCCAGCATCCTGATTTCAATAATTATATCCTAACTTGTGATATAATTTCCTGAAATTAATAGGTTTCCACAATCTGATACTGCAGGACATTTCAGATTCGTAACAATGTATTTTGAAGGACCTAATTATTCAATATACAACACTTATTTTATTTTCAAGAAAATAACTTCTCGCCTCTCATGTCCCTTCCTCAAGTAGGCTAAACTTTTGTGGTCATAGATCACTTCTGTTTTATAGCCAGTTTTAAGCCCTTTCACACAGCATATTCAAAGGTCAATGCCTTATCATGAAGTAATACTTAAGCAGCCAATCAACAAGTAAATGTCATCCACTGAAAAGCACCGTCTTGAGCTGTGACATTACGGTTTCTCATTCACAAGTCAAAACACAAGACTGCATGATCATTGTTTAGCGTAATAGCAAGGCTATTCAAATCCCAGGTCAGCCATGAAGCTCACTGGGTGACTTTGGACCTGTACTTCCCACTAACCATATAGTACTGGGCTGTCGGGAATCTAAACTGGAAGGGAAGCAGTCCCCTGAGCTCTTTGTAGAGGTGATGGGATAAAAAGGGGGGGGGGACAATTAAGTGGAGTCGCCCTTAAGATCAAGAAAATATGAATGGTACTTTCCAGTTGCTAATTGAATAAATCTCCTAAACTTGTATCCCACTGGAAAATTAGTTTTAGATCAGCTCTCACAACAGCATGGTGTTACTCCTGGAATAGTTATTTTCAGTTGTATAAACGCCTGCTTCTACCCAAACATTAGCTACATATTGTGCTGCCGTAACTACCACAGCATAGTGTCTACAAATGATGCCATCAGCCAGTATCTCTTTTGGAAAAGCCTTTTTTTTAATCCTTTGCATGCCTTTTTATGAAACCTTCATATATAAACTTATACAGGATGTCTTGTATGTGTCAGTTTGTTACCCTTCGTTTTACTGGAGTTTATCCGCATGACTTAACCATCTGATCAGTTCAATATGCATCTGGACACTAACCATATGATGTTGTCCTTCAAAAGGCAAAAGAAGCCTCGCAGGTGAGCCAGAGGTTTTGAACAATAGAGTCTGAAACCTATTCCCGCTTTACATTCTCGACAGTACAACATGTTGTAGGTGCTGGGGAAAAAAGACCAGGTGTGCAGTCAGCATTCCATAATCTGCTTTATGACCAAACTAGGGGCTGCAGCCATCATAAGCAACATTTTTGGAATTTGCCCTAGAAAATCCAGAATTATTCAGTTATAAAAACCAAATTTAGAGTAACTTTTCAGAAGTATGCATCTTTCCATTAGTAGATAGCAGGCATAGGCAAACTCGGCCCTCCAGATGTTTTGGGACTACAATTCCCATCATCTCTGACTGGTCCTGCTAGCTAGGGATCATGGGAGTTGTAGGCCAAAAACATCTGGAGGGCTGAGTTTGCCTATGCCTGGTATATAGCTTCCAAGTTTACAGGGGAGAGGGGTGTTGCAAAAGCCTGTATGAACATATTCCTTGTGATAAGAATGCAGCATGGTTTCCTTACTACAGAATATGCATCCTTAAACAAAAGATGCTGCATTCATCCAAAATATTTACAAAGAAGTCCTATGAGGGCAGCGGTGGGAGAATCCAAGGTGGATGAAAAACCAAATCGAAAGCTCTGCGGAGCTGGTAGGGCAGAAAATTGGGGTGGGGAACAAGGAGGATGTTTCCGAATTTCTTCTTTCACTGGTTCCCATAACATCTTATTGTTTTCACAGTCAGAAAGCTAGAGAAGGCAGAAACCCTTCTCTGCCCACATCTTTCTCTATCTATACTCTTCTAGGACCCCAGGATACCCGCCCCAGGAAACAAAGGAAAGAAGAGATGCAAAAAGAGCCATTTCTCGGAGACAAAGGGTGCTCACTGGGAATGAAATAAACATTTACTTAAGCCAGGCATTTTATTTTGAAAAAGTACTAAAAAAAACAAGTCTGGCAAATAAAGTATCTATTTCATTAGCCACCTTCCCCAAGTCACATGCAAATAGAACAAAAAGGTGGCATAGGGTTCCAAGATATTCTTGCTCTTCCAAGCATCTGATGTAGTAAATTTTAATTAAAAAACAAACTCACCATCCATTGAGGTCTCCCTCAATGCAGACCATCAATTTATCTTCCACTACAACATCATTTGTAACCTCTGAAAAGAGAAGCAGACCTTTTGCAGATTGAATAAAGCTAAGCATTCATCAATACATTACATTCAAACACTTTATTTCATTTAATATTTATTCAGGGACCTGTTAAGACACCTGTAAATTATTCAAATAAATCTCATAGAAACAAGACTATCTTCATGCTTGAAAAATAAGAGACATCTACTGCTAGAATTACTGCAACATGCACTTTAGGTTTAATATATATTATTACAGGCATATTTAAATTACTGAAGCATTTTACGCAAGCTAAATCTAAATTAAAAATGTCACTTTCAGAAATCATAGTAGAAAAGGGACTCTCACTGAAGACTGCAAAAGTGGATTCCTGTTATGATAGAAATTAATGCTGTACTTTGGAATTCACACAATTATTTAGATCATGGCTTGATGTTGATTTATTTAACATTTGTTAAGATTAAACAGTTTATTGGTTTGGAAATGAAAGTTTCTGAACTCCTCATGGCTATGCCACATGAGGAGAAGAGGCGGGAATCACCCCAACAGAAGGCTCTCCACAGCTTATTCACATCACACTAAATTGGTTTAGTGTGTGAATGTGAATGTGGCCTTCTCAGCCTCAGAATGGTTGTGGGAATAAGGGCAAGTGGAGTGTCATATATGGCCTGAGGTCCACATTCATGCTTGGTCAACCCTGTGGGGTCTCTCTCTCTATATATATACACTACTCTCTCTCTCTCTCTCTCCTGCTGCCAATACTGGCAAGGTCTCATGGGACTACATCATTTTTGTTTTTTAAATGTATTTTTATTGCTTTTATTTCTTATGCATTATATTTCAGTTTGAATTACATTTGAATTACAAGAAAATACAACATAAGAAATGAAAGCAATCAAAATCAAACAGCACATGGCAGAAGACATCACAAAAATCATGAGCCACGACCACCAACATTTTTCAAGTGGCCAGCGGGGGGGGGGGGGAGTTTTGAGCTTCGCACGACCCCTACATAAATGTAACAGGTGTAATGATAACCCGTGTACATTGCCACGTGCGACAACAATCCTGCGTGTATTTATTTGAACATCTGTGCAGCCTGACTGATGAAGAGCCCGGTGTAGCTCGAAAGTTCGCGCCTTTTCTTTTTCTAAAGAAAAGAAAGCGCCTTTCCCTTTTCGCTCCGAGGCTGCCAACCCAACACTCAAAAGAGTGTGACCCACTCACTGAAGCAAACGAGAAGGCGGAGCTTCTCCTCCTGGGCGCAGAGATGAAGCGAGTCGCCCAGCACCGAACGGCAACCGCGGCACTGGTAGAGCACGCAGTCCTCCAGCCTGAGACTCCGGGAGCCCGGAACCCGCTCCCCGGGCTTCTCCGGAGGCTTTGCGCTTTGCTGACCATGGCGGCAGCTCTTCGTCCCGGGTTCCGCCCGATCCACCCTGATCACGCCTCCCAGTTGGGGCTCCTGGAAGAAAAGCTCCAGCTGCCGCCGCACGGCCATGTTTCTTCCCGCCAACTTTTCAAACTCAGTCCCCACCCCCTGGGGCGCCTATTGGGGCAGTCCCTCATGACGCTTGCAGGCTTTCCCCCCTCCGATTGGGTGCCGCTCTTACTCATCAAGCTTTCCCCAACCAGTCGCGTTTTCCACCCAAGGGGCGCTTTCGTTTTACCTCGGAGCGTGTGGAGAGCCGGAGAAGCCTTCGCGCCTTTTCGAAACAAGGAAACGAAACGGTGGTGGGGTTTGTTTGTTGTTTGTTTGTTTGTTTATCCGGGGTTCCTATTGGCTACGAGCCTCCTTCGAGCCCCACCCACTTTCGCTTGCGGCTCGACCAATGAGACGGTGCGAGAGGTGATTTCGAAGGCAGCGCGGCTGGGAGGAAAGACGGCGAGCGCTGAGCGGGCTGGTTTGAAGTGCGGCGGTTGGAGCGGTCGGTTGGCTAGAGGCGAGCATGGAGGCTCCTTCCGCGCAGCAGCTGGAGGCGCTCAAGTACGGCGAGCTGAGGCGCCTGGCCAAGAGCGCGGGGCTGAAGGCCAACCTCAAGGTGCGGGGGCTGCGCGCAGTGAAGCGGGGCTGGGGAGGGACGACTGGGTGCGGGCGAGGCGAAACGTGAGAGGGCGTTTTTCGGAACGAGAGTCGAGTAACATGGCCGCCGTTCTTTAGCCGTCTAACTTGCCTTGTGAGCCTCAGAGGAGCTCGCGCGCCCAGGACGATCTAATTAACTTGACACAAGCTATAGCTTAGGGCCCCACTCTCTTGGGCCCCTCCCTAACAAAAATTAAAGGAAAAAAACTTGGATTTCCAAAATATAAGATAAAAAACCAAATAAAATAAAACCTACACACAGCAACAGTGTTTTGTGTTGTGTATGGACCAATTAGGTTCCTAAATTACCATACAGCATACACTCAACGCAAAAAACAGCTACAATTTGTTGTTGACAAAGGACAGCTGGACATATAAAGGGCCCCATTACCTTCAGTTGCTTAGGGCCTCATCAAACCTAAATCTGGCCCTGCACACACTAGTGGCCAAAATTGTGGAAACCTTTTGGGAAAAGTGTATTTCTGAGGTTTGATCGCTCATAACACTACCTTTTTTGGAGCAATACCATAAAATAATGTATCAATGGAAAGATAATTTAATGAAGAATATAATGCAACAAAGTTTGTTCAGTTATCTGTATTCTATCAATACAATTCTATCAGCAAAAACGTTAAATTGCGACCCGCGCGTGCACCGACGCGGCACTGCGGGTTGCAAACGTGCCTCCTGCATGGATCGCATTCGCTACCTGAGGTTCCACTGTACATCGGAGGCGCTAGTCCATATGAACTGTGCCCACTCAAGTTGCCTAGTCAATTTGAAACAGGCGCCCTACTCAAAACAATTATGCCAGAGGGCGATCTTTTCTAGATTGCTTTCCTGTGGTGCATTTAACTGGCCGCAAACAAACACCAACTGGCACCAGCTTTGTAGCGAGTGCTTCTAGATGGCTTTATTGTGGGATCAGGGCTTACCCGTTGCACCCCTTTGTATACAAATTGGGGGTTGGCTTTTGCTGTCCAACTCCCCAAGGATATTCAAGTGCCCTGAGTCCATGATGGGTCAGAGAAGAATAGCCCACATACTTTCCATCAAGTTCTGCCTGCTGGTGTGAACAGCAAGTGGTGGAACAGCAGTGAATGTTATCACTACAAAAACAGTGTATGGAAGCTAATGTGCCAAAGACACAGAAAAATCTGGTCTGAATGACTTCTTTGTGATATTAAATATCCTTTCCTAGGAGCACCCAGTATGTTCCTCTTTCTCAAATACAGGGTCCCCAATTCTGTTAGCTGAACCATATAGCAGTGAAAGACTATGTAACCTATTTCTATACCTAATGTTTTGCCAGGAGTGCCTGGCATGCTCTGGTCCATGGGGTCACGAAGAGTTGGACACGACTAAACAACAACAATGTTTTGCCAACTTGAAAAGACTGCCCATTCTTATTACTCAATATAATCTATCAGTATAATCTATCATGACTTGTCTATTTAATTTAAAGTGACTTATAATGATGTATTTAATTTTATATGAAAAAACCTGGTGAAATGAAACCTTGTGTACACTGATCTCACATTATGCTGTAACTGTTTTGTAGGCAGACAAGTTGTTACATTTGTTGAAGCAGCACTTCCTTGCATCAGTAAAGGAAAATGGAAGTATGGTAAGCACAAAATATATTTTGCCTATCAATTTCTGTGTTTTTCATTGCCTTTAAAACACCATGCTCACTTGTTAATTATGCATATGCTGGCGCAGAAGTGATTCTCACCTGATTTTTATCAGAATTATTCTTGGGGTATAAACTGTAAACCATTTTCTGAAATCACCAAATAAGTGATTTGAGTTTCAGCTAGGTGGGAAAATCTCCCCATGTTGCTTCTTCAATGTTTACAAATAATTTGGAAATAAGAATGATGTGGTCCAATTTACTTGGTACAGGTAAACAAAAGAGGCTTATCTACAGATACAGATGAGCTGGACAGCAGTCAAAGGCTTGTAAACGAGTCCATGGTGACTAAAAGGCGTAGAAAAGAGAAATATGATGATGCCCAGGGAAACTCAGAAGGAAAAACAGAACTTCCAGAGAAAGAGGTGACTTTATGTATCATTGAGTCTTTGTATTGTAAATATTTACCTGCTGCTTTTGGAAGTTTATGTTGGTATTTTGTGCTTTTGAAAAGAGTTTTATATGAAAAGGCTATAGTACTTTATGCGATGATCAAAAGGTAACAACATTTACTAGTTGTGTGTAGTATGTCCTTCAAAAAGGTGTCAAGAAATGTCTGATCCTGAACCCTGTATAAATTAAGTTATGAATAAGTTACTTTGTAACATTGTTAGTTATTGGGTGCAAAGAACTATTCAGTGTACTCTCCGGCTTTTGAAATCCATGTTCTGATCGCCCTATCATTTGCCTGTATATTTACAAGCATGCATTGAAGCCCTAAGGCTTTCTTTTACTGTTCTACTGTAGCAGAAAAGCAAAATGCTTATTTACAAGTTTATTTTTTTGAACTTCAGATTCTGACAGAGGTGACAGAATGTGAAGAGGCCCAGGAAGTTGAGTCTAGAAAAATGCTGAAGACCAGCCAAAACAAGTGTCTATTGAACAGTGGAACTGTAGAAAATTTAGCAGATAACTCAGATACTGAAGCTCAACAAAAAGAGAAAAAAACCAGAAGAAAGGGAGGTAAAGTAACTTGTGCTTTTAAGTAAAATGCTTGTTTTTTACTAGTTCAGTACAGTGTGGGGGGCAAGCTGTTGTCTATATTTTCACACTCAGTAAAATCTAGGATTCTTGGGAGCTGAACAATAGTTTGTAGACAGTAGTGGCAGCAGTGTGCAGTGCTGCTCAGGCTAGTAGTCTCGTGAAGGATCTAATGTGAGAGGAGCTTTAATGTACCACTTTCAAAATCAAATCAAATTTATTAAACGGTCACAGACCAGATTAACTCGTACAGCTAGTCAGCGAAGCATAACACCGGAAAAAACAAAGGACAATTTCAATACATAACTGCAATTTAAAATTAGACAGCATAAATAAAAAATTAAGTATTTGCCTTCGCCTGCGTAATGACATTGGAAAGCTCTTGTTTCCTGCGCCTAATAGCGGCTACACAAAATTTGGCCACATTGATCGTAATTTCAGAAACCTTATCTTCTACCAAGGCTCTCATACGTTGGAGTTCTGGTTCATTTTTAAGCTTTTGTAGAACTGGGGCAATAAAGGTCAAGCGTAGATCCTCATAGTAACTACAGTGCAGCAATACATGCAGACTTGTTTCCACTTCCGATGAGCCACACGGGCAAACACGTGACTCATATGGTTTGCCCTCATATCTGCCTAGCAGCAGGGCAGAGGGCAGAACGTTAAATCTGGCCAGGGTAAAGGAGTGTCTGTACTTAGGTATTTGTAAATCAGCCAAATAATTTGCGGGTGAGAACCCTCTCCCAAAGTCTCTAATTATGGCATGTTTATCCATTTTGCCCATATGACATTGCAGCTCTATGTCCCTAATGCGTTGGAGCACTTGACTTCTGGCTCTCTCATATCCTGCCGCTATCAAGATCTGCGGGGAGAATCCCAAGCTTCTTATCTTTTCAAACAGGGAAGCTTTCCAGGTGGAATGAAAGGTGTCTAAGAGTGTTAAAGGAGCCAAACCGGCCGGGGAAAAATAAGTTTTAACCAGTAGTGTATCTTTAGAATCCACAGCCGCGCATTAACGGGTGGTTGTCCAACTTCTAAGCGGACAGCTATATTAGATACACAGGGGGGGATCCCCAATAAACACCGATAGAATTTTGTTTGAAATGCCTCCATAGGCGCAAAATTTTTAAAACTGCAAACCTGGGATCCATAAGTAAGTTGTGGGAGTATTTTTGCAGCAAAAACCTGGGAGGCCGCCGGAACGTATTTACCCCCTTTCCCGTGAAAAAATCTTGTAAGGGCTTTATTAGCCCTTCCTGCGTTGGCAATGGCGTTTTCATCTGTTGATGCCACGAGACCCTTTCCTGAAAAGTTATTCCCAGGTATTTGAAAGTTGCTACATGGTCAATAGGTTGACCATTAATTCTCCATTTGTGTTTCCTTCTTTTTTGAAAACACCATAATTTTAGATTTGCTGTAATTTATTGATAGTTGTTCCGCTTGACAATAGTCAGCAAGTGATCTCAAAAGCTTCCTCAGGCCAATGCAGGAAAAGGAGAGTAGGACTGCGTCGTCCGCATACAGAAGCACCGGGATGGGAATACCTGCCAGTTTGGGAGGGTGGGCATTTTCTTTCGCCATATTTACTGCTAGAGAGTTGATATAGAAATTAAATAGCGTTGGCGCGAGGACACATCCTTGTTTAACCCCATAGTGCGTTTGAATTTCTTTAGTTAGATGGCCTGACCGATCGCATCTTACCCTCACCCTGGTGTTTTCGTATAGACCACGGATAAGGCGTAATAAGCGTTTATCTATGTTTGTAGCGCCAAGCTTTTCCCAGAGTCTATCCCTTGGTATTAGATCAAACGCCGATTTAAAATCCACGAATGCTGCATATAA